TCTCTTCCCTTAATTTGGGTTTCCTCTCTTTGCTAACCATTGCAGGGAGGCTCCCTGGACCTAGTCCAAACCCTTTGTCTTACAGATGAAGAAATCTAACCACAAAGTAAACGAGGAAGAAGTTAAGGAGATGAATGGAATTTTAGAACAGTTAAATATGGTTGACCTCCGGAGAAAACTGAATGGGGACAGAAAGGAATATACCTTTTTCTTAGCAGTACATGGCACCGACACAAAAATTGACAGTGTACTAGAGCATAAAAATCTCACAATCCAATGCAGAAAGGCAGAAATATTAAACGCATCCTTTTCAGATCATGATGCAATAACAATTACATGTAATAAAGGGCCATGGAAAGATAGATCAAAAATTAATTGGAAACTAAATAATCTAATTCTGAAGAATGAGTGAGTCAAACAACAAATCATAGAAACAATCAGTAGCTTCATCCAAGAGAATGACAATAATGAGAAAACATACCAAAACTTATGGGATGCCCCAAAGCAGTCATTAGGGGAAGCTTTATATCTTCCCCTAGGGGAAGCCATGTCCAAATCCAATATCCTCTTCATAGGTCTATGAGACTTTTCCTTTGTTCTGTGTCAAGAATTGGCAGCTAGGCAGTGCAGTAGATAGAGCACCAGGTCTGGAGTCAGAAAGACCTGAGTTCAAATCCAGCTTTAGACACTGACTAGCTGTGTGATCCTAGGCAAGTCACTGAACCCTGTTTGCCTCAGTTTCCTCATCTGTCAAATGAGCTGGAGAAGGAAATACAAACCACACTAGCAACTTTACCAAGAAAACCTCAAATGGGGTTTTGACAAAGAGTCAGAAACAACTGAGCCACAACATAGCATTCATGGACAGCCTCAGATCATTCTGAGCTTTGGTTTTCTGAACATAATTCTTACAGGACCCCTTTTGTATTCAACTTCAATGACCTGCCTTTGCTCCCATCTTCTATACATATCTTCATAAAATCTGAGCTAGTTGGGTTTCCTTTGCATTCACATTGGTCTCTTTGGGCAACTCTCTTTTTTCTTCCTCACTGGGATACTTTCTGTTTGTGTCTTTAGGATTTCATTCTTGAAAGGTTCCTTTTCCTCTTTGGTTGGCTTTTCCATCAAAATGTTAAGCCATCATACCTATTTTTCCTCCGAACACTCTGAAGTCTGCTGTTCCCAAATCTAGGATGCATGTCAGACTGTGCCTGACTCCCTTCTGTTTCTGTCATGAACTTAGTGATGGAACAATCTCTTGCCACCATGATTTCTGTCTCCTGGGTAGTGAGAAGCGGGTCCAGAAGAGCTTCCTTGTCACTTCTAGCTTTAGAAAAATGAAATTATCATCAAAGCAAATCACAATTTTTTTAATTCTGCTTTTAGCAGAGTGCTAACAGATGACTGGATAGTTGAAGTTTCCCATCACAATATCATGCTCCTGTGCCATGTGTTCAATATGTTTTCCAAAGTCTTCTTCTAATTCCTCCTTCTGTCTCAGTGGTCTGTAGTATACCCCTACAACAATACTGCTTCTGCTTCTACTTTCACTGATTTTTACCCAAATGTTCTCTGATACCAGGCTCCTAAATTTCCTCACCTGAATATATAGGAACAGACGGTGCTGCTCAGCTCCACCCTACCTCCACCCAACCTTCTGTCTAGATTGCCCTTTTTTTGTTTTTAAATTTTTAGTAATAAGATTTGTTTTTTGTTCACCTTTATTTCCCAATATATCTTTCTACCTTCCCAGTGACAATAATAATTGTTGTTTGTTATTCAGTCATTTTGGTCATGTCTGAGTCTTCATGACCTCATTTGGGGTTTTCTTGGTAAAGAAACCACATTGGAATGGTTTGCCATTTCCTTCTCCAGCTCATTTTACAGATGAGGAAACTGAGGCAAACTGAGTGAAATGACTTGCCCAGAGTCACACAGCTACTAAGTGTCTGAGGCCAGATTTGAAGTCAGGTCTTCCTGACTCCAGGCCTGGCACTCTCTCCATTGTGCCACCTAGCTGCCCCTAGCTGTAAAATGGCATTAATAATAGCACTTATTCCCAGTATTTTTGTGAAGATCCAATATAAAGTGCTTAGCACAGTGCCTGGCTAGTAGTAGGTGCTTAATAAATGCTTGTCCCCTTCACATATCCTGTTCTTTTTCATTTAGCCCAGCCACTGATGAAGTGCTAAATGGTGTGGCAACTGGGGACTATGTATCCCATTCCTACCTAGCATACAGGTTAGGCCCAGAATGGAGCTGGGCCATACTTACTGACTCACAACAAATAGTAAGAGGTCTCAGAATCTCCAAAGTCAAAGGGACCTTAGAGGCAGGAGTGTGTGCTGGAACTGGCTTAAACAAGCTGGCTAAAGCCCATTATTTAATTTTCTGTGCGAATGTTTACTCCTTGGAAATAGGCAAACACTACATATCAGGGCCTGATTTAAGGTTTTGTTGATTGTCTGGGCTTAAGAATGTGGCGACAATGTTAATAATGCAATGTGTACTTTCCCCCCTCAAGAGCTGGTTGTTAAACATTTACTAGCACATCCCTGCTCAGAAGCCAACCCATCCCAGGCCAAGAATCCTTGCTACAATGTCCCCAACAAATGGCCATCCAGTTTCTATGCCCAACCTATTTCTACCCAAAGCAATTACTTCTCACTTAAGGGTGGCTGTAATTGTTAGGAGCCAAAATCTGACTTTCTGCAATTTCTCCTTATATTCTTAGTTTTGCCTTCTGGACAAATTTGAACCCTCTTCCAAAACCTGTTTTTCAGATACTTAAAGACAACTGTCAGGCATCCCAAGGTCTTCCATTCTCCAGGCTGAACAACTTCTGTTTCTTCTCTCCGTTCACCATCCTCGTCATTCTTCCCTAGATGCTTTCTGGTTTATCATTCCTAAAATGGGGTGCCCACAATGTAAAATGAGGGCTTTGGATTAGTTGGCCAGCATGGTCCTTTCCAACTATAGACTATCCTGGCTGAGCAAGGTATTCCAGATGTGGTCTAACCAGGGAAGAAAGAGTACATGAGATGGTCACCTCCCCAGGCCTGGAAATGATGTCACTCAGTACAGCATTAATTTTAATTAATGCTGCATGAAAAGCATCAGCTTTTTTTGGCTTCCATATCATAATGTGGATGTATATTGAGCTGGCTGCTTACTAATATCCCCAGATCTTTTTCCTCCATCCTGTACTTGGGCGTTGGAACTCTTATAAGGGTTCAGAGAGAGAAAAGATTCCCTATAGAAGCAACTTGTGGTGCGGCAAATAGAACCCTGGGACTCAAGTCAGTAAGATCTGAGTCTAAATCCACTCTCAGATTAGCTGTGTGACACTTAATCTCTGTTTGCCTTAGTTTCCTCAACTATGAAACAGGGATGATAACAGTACCTACTTCAAAGGGTTGTTGTGAGGATCAAATGAGATATGTGTGTAAAAAAAAAGTAATTAGTACAGTGCCTGGTACGCAGTAGGTGTTATATAAATGTTTATTCCCTTTCTCCCCTCCCCACAGGCTGGGCTGGCTAGTGAAGTCTTCAGAGAGGACCAGAGACTTGAGCTAGGACTTGAAGGATAGATCGGCTTTTTATCCATGGGAAGAAAGAGGGCATTTCCTGAAGGGGGTGAAATGAGTGAAGATAATGAGGCTGGAAGGGATGTAGTGCATGGGAAGTACAAGGCAGAAGCCCACCTGAATGCCACACAGTCAGTGTTGTTCTTTTATTTCCTGTTCTTCCTGATGTTATTTGTTCTACACCCTCTTTAGCGACCCTCCAGTTGGCCCAAAGAATACCTCGGACTCCCAACACCGTATTTCATTTCCTGAAGAAAACCCACTGCCATCACTGTTTGAAGAAGGTGAATGGAGTCAGCTCCTGACCAGTTTCACCAGCCCCCTGCCAGGGAGCATCACCCAGGTCTCCTGGAGTCCACCCCCAACCCCAAGGTCCCTACAGGGACACCATACACCCCGAGTGGTCAGACAGATCTCCATTACTAAGCCAAACTTCTGGCAACTCAATCAGGAGTCTCCTTCAGACGCAGAAGTGCCTCCAAGAAGCCCCCTAGGGCCATCTCCAGCACCTACTATTGTGCCAGAACTCAATGTTGCTGGTGGGCCAAGGCCTGAAGAGACTTTCCAGTGGGACTTTCAGAGAGTACTTTCTGGAGAGCCAGCAATCACTACTGGGGGACAGACAGGTCCTGTGTCAGGAGATTCCCTGCCTACTCAGGTTCTGGTTGGGTCTGGTAAGGGGATTGAGGATACAGATGGAGATGAGGTGGGGCAGGGAAATGGGCCCACTTCAGATATGCTGTCCAAGGGCTACAGCTCTGAGCGGTCACTGCAGACACTGGGCCCCTCTACAGACATGCAGGCCAACACCTGGGAAGTGGGTCCAGAGGAGACACCTCATCCAGGTCTGCATCCAGCTGGCTTGGAGCAAGAAGTGGGGTCCTGGGGAAATGAAGTATTCCCACCTGGACCAGATGTCCCCTCTGAGACTCCTGAGCTAGCGTTGATGCAAGACAGCATTCCCACGAGGGAGCAAGAACAAGAAAAAATGAGTACAGATGGGAGGGAAGTCGAGGCCAGTCAACAGAATGCTCCTTCTGGTCAGGAAACTGGGCTCAGAGAGTCAACTGGGCCAGATGTGGGAGAGGTTCCTGGTGAGGGATCCAGGAGCGCAGAATCACCTGAGCCAGATGTGGGTGAAGTTCCTTGTGAGGAATCCAGGAGTGCAGAATCACCTGAGCCAGATGTGGGTGAAGTTCCTTGTGAGGAATCCAGGAGTGCAGAATCACCTGGGCCAGATGTGGGTGAGGTTCCTGGTGAGGGATTCAGGAGTGCAGAATCACCTGGGCCAGATGTGGGTGAGGTTCCTGGTGAGAGATCCAGGAACGCAGAATCACCTGAGCCAGATGTGGACAATGTTCCCAGTCAGGAAACTGGACTTACAGAGTCACCTGAACCAGATATAGGTAATCCCCATGCACAGAAAACTGGTCATGTAGAACCACCCAGACCAGATGTGGATTGTGTTCTAAGTCAGGAAGACCAGATCTTAAAATCACTTGTGTTAGATGTGGGAAAAGCTCCTGGTCAGGAGACCCAGCTCATCCATTTAGCCAAGATCATGCAGCTACCTGGGGCAGTTATGGGAAAGGTTTCTGAAAAGGAATCTGAACTCATAATGTCTCCCAGAGCAGATGCAGACAATGCTTTCGGTCAGGAAGCGAAGGTCCTGGAGTCAGCCAGGTTGGATGTGGGAAATGTTCTTTGTGAGGAAGTTGGGCTCCTAAAATCAGCTGAGCTAGAGAGAGATAATCACCCAGGCCAGGAGGTCGGGCTTCTTCAGTCACCTGGTCTAGATGTGGATGTTTATCCTAGTTATGAAGCCAGGCTCCTAGGGTCATACCAGCCAGGTGTAGGCAATGGAACAGAGTTACACTGGCTAATTATGAGAAATGCTTCTGATCAGGCAGCTGGATTCATGACATCACCTGAGGCAGATGCTCCTAGCCAGGAACCCGTGCTTATAGGGTCACCTGGGCCAGAAGGGGATGATATCCCTGGCCAGAAAACCAGGCTTATGGAGTCATGGGAGATAGACATCAAAGATGCCTCTGGTAAGGAGGCTCAGGTTTTGCACTCACCTGGCCCAGATGTGGGAGAGACTCCTAGACAGGAATATGTACTCATGAGCTCACCTGGGCTGGATGTGGTTGATGCTACTGGTCAGGAAGCTAGAGTCACAGAGTTGTGTTGGGGTAATGCCGGAAATGCTTCTGATCAGGGATCTGGACTCATAGAATCACCTGAGCTATATATAGATGACACTCCTGGTCAGGAAAATGGGTTTATTCAACTGGGTGAAACAGACATGGAAGATACTTCTGGTCAGGAAGGTGAGACTCTGTATTCACCTGGCTTAGAAAAGGGTGATATTCCTGGCCAGCGAGCTGGGTATATCGAGTCAACTGGGTCAGATGTGAGTGATATAGCCATTCAGGAAGCTGGACTCACAAATTCATCAGATCTAGGAAATTCTCCTGGTCAGGAAGACAAGTTAATGGGGTTACCTGAGACAGATGTAGGTACAACTGCTATTCAAGAATCTGAGCTCATAGATATAGAATCTGGGCTGGTTATAGGGGACTCTCCTGGCCAGGAAATCAAGCTCTCTGAGTCACCCAGGCCTGATGTAGGTGGTACCTTTTTGTACTCAACTGGCCCAGATGTGAGGGATGCTCTTAGTCAGGAAGCTAGCCTCATTGAGCCGCCTAGGATGGATGTGGGCGATGCTACTGTTCAGGGACCTGGGATCACAGAGCTCTCCATGGTTGATGTGGGAAATGTTTGGGATCAAGAAACTAGGCTCATAAGATCACCTAAGATTGATGCTCCTAGTGGGGAAACTGGGCTAATAGAGTCCCCTAATCCAGAGATTGGAGATGCTCCTGGTCAGGAAGCTAAGTTTAGGGAATTGTGTGAGACAAATGTGGGAGATACTGAGATTGCTGAGATGATATGTTTGCCAGACCCAGATATGGGTGATTCTCCTGATCAGGAAGCTGGGATGGTGGAGTTACATGGGCTATATGTGAGTAAGAGTCCTATTCAGGAAGCCAGAACCTTGGAGTCCCCTGAAACAGATGTGAGTGATGGTCCTGGTCAGGAAGTTGTGATTAGTGAGTCATGTGAGGCAGGTGTGGGAAATGCTTCTGCTCAAGAGACTGAAATTATACATTCACCTAGACCAGGTGTGAGTGATTCTGTTGGTCTGGAAGCTGAGAGCATGCCTTCACCTGGCCCATATGTGGGAGATTCTCCTGGTCAGGAAGCTGGGCTCAAGGAGTCATCAGTACTGGATCTGGGAGGGGCTCCTGGTCAGGAAGGCAGGTTCATGGAGTTACCTGAGGCAGGTGTGGATTATGACTCTAATCATCAGATTGGGCAGACGGGGTCATTTGAGTCAGATGTGAGGGATACTCTTGGCCAGGAAGGTGAGTTTAGGGAGTCTTGTGAGATAGATGAGGAAGATACTTTTGGGCTCATGGAGTCACCAGTGCTAGGTGTGGGAGAAACTCCTGGTCAGGAAGGCACATTCTTAGAGTCATCTGAGGAAGGTGTGGATAATGGATCTAGTCAGGTAACTGAGCAGACAAGGACACCTGGGCCAGACATGAGGGATGCTCCTGGTCAGGAAGTTGGGTTTAGGGAATCTTATGAGACAGATATGAGAGATGCATTGGGTAAGGAAGTTGAGTTTGGCCCAGATGGGGATGATGCTACTGGTCAAGGAATTCTGATGCTAGAGACACATGAGCCAGATGTGGGGAATGCTTCAAGTTCTGGTCAGATAGCTGGACTTATGCAGTCATGTGGACCAGAAATGGGTGATATCCCTAATCAGGAAGCTGAGCCCATGCACTCACCTGGCTTGGAGAGGCATGATGCTTTTGGGCAGGAGGCTAAGTTTAGGGAATTGTATGAGACAGATGTGGGAAATGCCGAGATTATGTATTCACCAGTGCCAGATATGAATGATTCTCCTGGTCAGGAAGCTATAGTCATGGAGTCACCTGATACAGATGTGGGTGATGGTCAGGAAGTTATGATTAGGGAGTCATATGAGGCAGATGTGGGAAATGCATCTGTTCAAGATACTGAAATTATGCACTCACCTAGGCCAGGTGTGAGTGATTCTGCAGGTTTGGAAGCGGAGATCATGCATTCACCTGGCCCAAATGTGGGAGATTCTCCTGGTCAGGAAGCTTGGGTCACAGAGTTGCACAGGCCAGATGTGGGAAATGCTTCTGATCAGGAAGCTAGATTCATGCCATCATCTGAGGCAGATATGAGTGATGCTGCTGGTCAGGAAGCTGAGATTCTGCATTCACCTGGTCGAGATGTGGAAGATTCTCCTGGTCAGAAAGCTGGGCTCAAGGAGTCATCAGTACTGGATCTGGGAGGGGCTCCTGGTCAGGGAGTCAGGTTCATGGAGTTACCTGAGGCAGGTGTGGATGATGAGTCTAACCATCAGGTTTGGCAGACGGGGTCATTTGAGCCAGATGTGAGGGATACTCTTAGCCCGGAAGGTGAATTTAGGGAGTCTTGTGAGATAGATGAGGAAGATACTTTTGGGCTCATGGAGTCACCAGTGCTAAATGTGGGAGAGACTTCTGGTCAGGAAGACACATTCTTAGAGTCACCTGAGGAAGGTGTAAATAATGGGTCTAGTCAGGTAACTGAACAGACAGGGACACCTGGGCCAGACATGAGGGATGCTCCTGGTCAGGAAGCTGGATTTAAGGAATCTTATGAGACAGATATGAGAGATGCATTGGGTAAGGAAATTGAGATTCTGTATTCACTTGGCCCAGATGGGGATGATGCTACTGGTGAAGGAAATCTGATGCTAGGGACACATGAGTCAGATGTGTGGGATGCTTCGCGTCCTGGTCAGGTAGATGAGTTTATAGAGTCATGTGGACCAGAAGTGGGTGATATCCCTAGTCAGGAAGCTGAGCCCATGCACTCACCTGGACCAGATAGGTGTGATGCTATTGGTCTGAAAGCTAAGTTTAGAGAGTCATGGGAGACAGATGTCAGAGATTCTCATGGCCAGGAAGCTCAACTTAGGGAATTGTGTGAAACAGATGTGGGAGATATTGAGACTGATGAGATGATATGTTCGCCAGACCCAGATATGAGTGATTCTCCTGATCAGGAATCTAGGGTTGTAAAGTTATATGGGCTGTATGTGAGTGACACGCCTATTCAGGAAACCAGAGTCTTGGAGTCACCTGAAACACATGTGAGTGATGGTCTTGATGAGGAAGTTGTGATTAGTGAGTCATATGAGGCAGATGTGGGAAATGCTTCTGCTCAAGATACTGAAATTATGCACTCACCTAGGCCAGGTATGAGTGATTCTGCAGGTTTGGAAACTGAGAGCATGCATTCACCTGGCCCAAATGTAGGAGATTCTCCTGGTCAGGAAGCTTGGGTCACAGAGTTGCACAGGCCAGATGTGGGAAATGCTTCTGATCAGGAAGCTAGATTCATGCCATCATCTGAGGCAGATATGAGTGATGCTGCTGGTCAGGAAGCTGAGATTCTGCATTCACCTGGTCGAGATGTGGAAGATTCTCCTGGTCAGAAAGCTGGGCTCATGGAGTCAGCAGTGCCAGATCTGGGAAAGACCCCTGGTCAGGAAGGCACATTCTTAGAGTCACCTGAGGAAGGTGTGGATAATGGATCTAGTCAGGTAACTGAGCAGACAGGGTCACCTGGGCCAGACATGAGGGATGCTCCTGGTCAGGAAGCTGGATTTAAGGAATCTTGTGAGACAGATATGAGAGATGCACTGGGTAAGGAAGCTGAGTTTCTGTATTCACTTGGCCCAGATGGGAATGATGCTACTGGTCAAGGAATTCTGATGGTAGAGACACATGAGCCAGATGTGTGGGATGCTTCGCGTCCTGGTCAGATAGCTGGACTTATGCAGTCATGTGGACCAGAAATGGGTGATATCCCTAATCAGGAAGCTGAGACCATGCACTCACCTGGCTTGGAGAGGCATGATGCTTTTGGGCAGGAGGCTAAGTTTAGGGAATTGTGTGAGACAGTTGAAGGAGATGCTGAGATTGCTGAGGTTATGTATTCACCAGACCCAGACATGAATGATTCTCCTGATCAGGAAGCTAGGGTTGTAAAGTTACATGGACTGTATGTGAGTGACACCCCTATTCAGGAAGCCAGGGTCTTGGAGTCACCTGAAACACATGTGAGTGATGGTCTTGATGAGGAAGTTGTGATTAGGGAGTCATATGAGGCAGATGTGGGAAATGCTTCTGCTCAAGATACTGAAATTGTGCACTCACCTAGACTCGGTGTGAGTGATTCTGCTGGTCTGGAAGCTGAGATCATGCATTCACCTGGCCCAAATGTGGGAAATTCTCCTGATCAGGAAGCTTGGGTCACAGAGTTGCACAGGCCAGATGTGGGAAATGCTTCTGATCAGGAAGTCAGATTCATGCAATCATCTGAGGCAGATGTGAGTGATGCTGCTGGTCAGGAAGCTGAGATTCTGCATTCACCTGGCCCAGATGTGAAAGATTCTCCTGGTCAGGAAGCTGGGCTCAAGGAGTCATCAGTACTGGATCTGGGAGGGGCTCCTGGTCAGGAAGGCAGGTTCATGGAGTTACCTGAGGCAGGTGTGGATTATGACTCTAATCATCAGGTTGGGCAGACGGGGTCATTTGAGTCAGATGTGAGGGATACTCTTGGCCAGGAAGGTGAGTTTAGGGAGTCTTGTGAGATAGATGAGGAAGATACTTTTGGGCTCATGGAGTCACCAGTGCTAGGTGTGGGAGAAACTCCTGGTCAGGAAGGCACATTCTTAGAGTCATCTGAGGAAGGTGTGGATAATGGATCTAGTCAGGTAACTGAGCAGACAGGGACACCTGGGCCAGACATGAGGGATGCTCCTGGTCAGGAAGCTGGATTTAAGGAATCTTATGAGACAGATATGAGAGATGCATTGGGTAAGGAAATTGAGATTCTGTATTCACTTGGCCCAGATGGGGATGATGCTACTGGTGAAGGAAATCTGATGCTAGGGACACATGAGTCAGATGTGTGGGATGCTTCGCGTCCTGGTCAGGTAGATGAGTTTATAGAGTCATGTGGACCAGAAGTGGGTGATATCCCTAGTCAGGAAGCTGAGCCCATGCACTCACCTGGCTCAGAGAGGCATGATGCTTTTGAGCAGGAGGCTAAGTTTAGGGAATTGTATGAGACAGATGTGGGAAATGCCGAGATTATGTATTCACCAGTCCCAGTTATGAATGATTCTCCTGGTCAGGAAGCTATAGTCATGGAGTCACCTGATATGGATGTGGGTGATGGTCAGGAAGTTATGATTAGGGAGTCATATGAGGCAGATGTGGGAAATGCATCTGTTCAAGATACTGAAATTATGCACTCACCTAGGCCAAGTGTGAGTGATTCTGCAGGTTTGGAAGCGGAGATCATGCATTCACCTGGCCCAAATGTGGGAGATTCTCCTGGTCAGGAAGCTGGGCTCAAGGAGTCATCGCAGCTAGATCTGGAAGGGGCTCCTGGTCAGGAAGGCAGATTCTTGGAGTTACCTGAGAAAGGTGTGGGTGACCAGATAGGGTCACCTGCGCCAGATGTGAGGGATGCTCCTCATCAGGAAACTGAGATTTCTCAGTCCCCCAGCAGAGATGTGGGTGATTATCCTCATCAGGGAACTGACAGGCTCATAGACTCCTCTAGGCCAGTAATGGATATTCTTTCTGATGAAGTCCAACTCCCAGAGTCACCTGGGCCAAGTGTAGGGGATGGTCCTGAGCAAAAACCTGGCCACGTAGAGTCCCCCAGGCCAGATGTACTGCCTGTCATTCCAGAACGTGGAGGACTGCAGGACCAGAACCCAGAAGATGTGCGGAGAGCTGAGGACAGGGGACTCCAGAGGCAAGCTCAGGAAGGGTCCTTGCTCCCAGAAGATTCTTCTGGGAATACACTTGGCCCTCAGGATTCAGGACAGGCTCTTTCCATCCTGGCGGAGGCAGGAGCACAGTCAGTATCCAAAGTCCTGGAAGGACAAATAACACCCCTTTCCTCAGAACCAAGGGAAGAAAACGGGTCAAGAGTCACCAAGGAAACCAAAGCCCAGGCAGCTGGAGCCAGCCCAGGGGGAGAGTTTTCTGACCCTGATTACCTCTTCCATGTTCTTTTCCTGGGAGATTCCAATGTGGGCAAAACATCATTTCTGCACTTGTTACACCATGATTCCTTCGCTGCAGGCCTGACAGCGACTGTAGGTAAGATTCCTAGCCCTGGGTATGGGGGAAGGGATGGAAGTTTAGACTCAGGGGGATCTCAGAGAACCTCGTACCTTACAAGAGGAAGCCAAAGGTAGTCCTACCCTTATGCATAAGCAAAATAGATGCTTGTTATAGGATTTGAGGGGAGCTAGGTGGTACAGTGGATGAAGTGCTGGGCCCGGAATCAGTAAGACCTGAGTTCAAATCTGACCTCAGACATTTACTAGCTATATGACCCTGGGCAAGTCACTTAACCTTCTTTGCCTTAGTTTTCTCATCTGTAAAATGATCTGGAAAAGGAAATGGCAAACCACTCCATTGTCTTTGCCAAGAAAACCCCAAATAGAATCATGAAGAGTCAAAAACGATTGAACAATAACAACAAAATAGGATTTAAGAGACAATGGCAATCTCTCCTCTAGTTAGGAATGACTCTTTTGTAGAGTCAGGAGACCTGAGTTCAAATTCTACCTCTGATATTAACTAGGCTGTGTGACTTTATGTGAGTCACTTTTTTCCCCTCTGTTTTCTCATCTCTGAAATGGGGATAATACTTATACTATCTACCTTCTCCAAGGGCTCTTGGGAAGAAGTGCTTTGTAATTCTAAAAGCACCATGGAGATATGAGTTATTATTATTACAATGCCAGAAATTCAGGACTGAACACTGAAATTGTGTACTAACGGCACCCTAGAAATAGAGCCGCATTTTTGTGTAACTGGACAAGGGTGGGGTAGGTTCTAGCTGGGACCATCACTCCCAAATGGGGCAATGCTTTGGTTTTTTTTGTTTGTTTTGTTTTGTTTTTTGGTAAGGCAATCAGGGTTAAATGACTTGCCCAGGGTCACACAGCTAGGAAGTATCAAATGTCTGAGGTCGGATTTGAACTCAGATTCTCCTGACTCCAAGGCTAGAGCTCTATCTACTGAGCCACCTAGCTGCCCTCCCCCCCTTCTTTTTTTCTGTTGTTATGGACAATGCTTTGCAATGTTCTTCTGTGGTTAGGACTGGACCTTGCGAAAGTCCACCGGTACTCACCTGTGGCTTTAGGTTAAGCGTAAAGAAAGCTGTTAAGCTTTAGGTCTCCCTCTCCCTATTCATGTTATTCTAAAGTGTGAACACCCCCAGTGGGTAGGAGCAGATTGGAAGTGGGGCATGCTTATCTCTGACACCTCAGGGTGGAGTGATTTATCAAACGTTTATGAGGAAGGGAGTCACAAGAGCCCTGGGAGAATTTCAAGTCTCTTGTGGCCTACTTGTACGACCAAGTTACTTCCCTTTTCTGGGCCTCAGTTTTCTCATCTGGAAAAGGGGAAGGCTAGATGAAATGTATTCTGGGCCCAATTAATCAGAAATTAATTAACAGCAATTAATCTTCTGGTCCTGTATTTGGTTGTGGGGTCATGGAGAGATCTGGCAAGAAGGGCAAACGTCTTGAGGGAGGGAAGGGGAGAAAATTTAAAATGCAAAAGCTTATGGAAGTGATTGTTGAAAACTAAAAATAAATTAATTAATTTAAAAAAAAAGAAAGAAGGGCAAAAGCGGGAGGTGGGAATCTCGGGATGGTCTTTAGCTCTTTAGAGTTTTGCAGTGGGTAAGCTCAGCTAAGAACCCATTCTTGGGGGCAGCTAGGTGGTACAGTGGCCCTGAAGCCAAGAGGACCTGAGTTCAAATCCGGCCTCAGACACGTAACACTTACTAGCTGTGTGACCCTGGGCAAGTCACTTAACCCTGATTGCCTTAAGGAAAAAAAAAAGAAACCCATTTTTGCCATTCTTCTCTGGTGCTGATGGGCAGCAGCTTTTTTGAGCATTTGTTCCCGGATGGGGGTAGGATCTTGTGAGGAGGGGGCCTGCTTTCAAAGGTGTTAATCCTGACATTAAAAATGAGGAGAGACCCTCTCCCAAGAGCTGAAATTGAACTCCAGGACCTCAGGGAGTCCAAGATGTAACTGTCATTTCTTTGAGAGATGAGAGGCAATGTGATACAATGGGTAGAGAGCTCTGGTTGGAATCGAATTAAGGGTGGGGATGCACCACTCCCAAAATTCTATCTCTTCCTCATAGGCTTTAGGCTTGGAAAGATCATGTATCCAAATGCCCCCATTTAACAGATGAAGAATCAAGCCCAGAGAGATGAAATCACTTGCCAAAGGTCGTAGTATATACATTTGTGTATATATGATCCCTTATATACACAAATATTGTGTGCATACATGTATATATACATGTGTGTATATAAGATGCCTGTACATACACATATATTATGCATATATGTGTATATACACAGATTTTGTGTATATATACATTTATATGTATATTCTAAATATACATATACATGTTCTATATCTACACATACATACACACATAAATATATTTGTGTTTATATACACTTACGTGTATTCTATGTGTTTGTACGTGTATGTTGTACACATATATGCATGCACATATATACACATAAATATTTGTGTATATACATTTATGTATGATATGGCATATCTACATATATTATATATATACACATGTATATATATTTGTTAACTATATTATATATAAAAATATAAATAGTGTGTGTGTGTGTGTGTGTGTGTGTGTGTGTGTGTGTGTGTGTGTGTGTAAAGAGAGAGACAGGTCACCCAGTAGTTACCCTCCACAAATTGTGAGGGGTAGGGGTTGAAGGTGGTGATGGAGAGAAATGACTTCCAGGTCTGGTGACTTGACTGAGAAATGGCAGTGTTGTAGGGAGAGCTCTGGTCCTGGAGACAGCAGATCTGGGTTCTGGTCCTACGTCTTTTACTTACTAGTCATGTGACCCTGGACAAGTCACTTCTCTCCAGACTCAGTTACTTCAGCTGCCAAATGGGGGGTGGGGGGAAGGACTGGATTAAGTGTTCATTGATGTCACTTATAACCCTGACAGGTTATGAATCTAAAGTCACTTCATTTCTCAGACCTTTGCTTTCCTTATCCATAAAATGGGGATAAGAATTCTTACACTCCTTTAAAAGGCTGTTCTGAGGAAAGTGCTTTGTAAACTTTAAAGCATTGGGGGTTTTTTTTTGCTTGTTTGTTTGTTTTTGGTTTTTTGGACCCCCATCTATAATTCCATTGGCTGTAGGGAATTGAGGTAAAGGCACTCTCTGACAATGCACATCAGTACCTGCTTAGCAATTTACATTCTGACAGCATTGACTGGGTCACTTAGAGGTTAAGTGACCTGGGCCAAGTTGATTCACTTTTCTGAAACCTCAGTTTCCTCACCTGTAAAATGGGGATATTTATCGCAAGGTTATCATGAGTGAGGCTCAAATAAGGTCATGGATATGAAAGTGTTTTGTAAACTGTAAGATCTCATATAAATAATATCTCGCTTACACAGACACAGCTAAGTGTGCTGGGCCTAGAGGCAGGAAGACCTGAGTTTAAATGGGGCTTTAGGCACTTACCAGCTGTGTGTCTCTGGGCAAATAGCTTAACTTCTGTTTGCCTCAGTTTTCTCATCTGTAAGATGGGGGTAATGATAGGACCTCCCTCCAAGGCTTGTTATGAGGATCAAATGAGATGATACTTGTAAAGCTCCCAAAACGGTGCCTGGCACCTAGTAGGTGCTTTATAAATACTTCCTTCCTTCCTTCCTTCCTTCCTTCCTTCCTTCCTTCCTTTAATATTGCAAAGCTGTATGTCGCATATCATCTCATCTCAGCTTCACAGTAACACTATGAATGAGGTGCTGTTATTATCACAGTTGGAGAAACTGAGGCTGAGAAAAGTCGGAAGACTTTCCTAACATCTACTAAGTGTCTGAAACAGCATATATCATACATGTTTGTACATTGTTGTGTAAATACACATATAAATATCTGTTTGTGTTTATACATGTATATAATATGTGTATTTGTATGTACATGCATGTATATATGATACATGTGCATATACAGATTGTACATATATGTGTATGTACACATAGATTTTGTGTATATATAATTTATGTGTATATTCTAAATGCACACACACATTGTCTGTATACAAGTACACATATAAATATATTTGTGTTTACATATACTTATGTATATATTATGTGTGTTGTACATATGTATGCATATACATGTATACATAAATATTTGCATGTATACATTTATGTATAATATGGCATATCCACATATATTGTGTATATATTTATATTTTATATTTATTCATTAACTATATTATATATAAAATATAAATGTATTTTGTGTATGTATATATGTGCGTGTGTATGTGTGTGTGCGTGATGGGGGAGGACATCACTAGTAGCTGGGTTGTTGCCTTTCTCCCTAGACTGTAAGCTCCTCAAATGGAGGGACCATCTCACTTTTGTCTTTGTGCCCTCAGCGCCTAAGCACACAGTAGTTGCTTAATAAATGCTTCTTGATTGACTTCCATTTCATTCTAATCAGAGTCACGGAGGATGACCTTGGCCTTGGAATGTGGGAATAATAATAATTGCTCCCATTTGTATAGGGTTTTAAGGTTAACAGAGTTTTTAAAAAATCATTTGTTATTATCATTAGTTCTCAAAAGACTTCTGTGAGGTAGGTGCTGTCATTATAATACCCATTTTATAGAGAAGCCAACTGAAGCTGGGAGAGATTTAGTCGTTGGCTCAGGGCCACACGAATACGCATCTGAGGTGGAGTTTAAGCCCAGGTCTTTCTGTCTCTAAGTCCAATGCTTTAACCACTAGGGGCTGAACCCTGAATGGGGCCCTGCCTCTCATCTCTCCAATGTATCCTAGGGATGGATTATCGAATCAAAAACCTGGTGGTGGATAATAGACAGTTTGCGCTGCAGCTCTGGGACACAGCGGGGCAAGAGAGGTAATGAGCCTTCTTCACTGTCAAAGTCTGCTGGGGACCCCAACGGGGGCTCAGTGATGGGGTGTGAAGAGAACGGAAGGGGAGGGAGGCAAAGAGGAACAAGGCATTGTCCAAGTGCATAGTCTGGGAGAGCAGGATACCCACACACAGGAAAAGACCCACATGATAGAAGACCCTTGGCCGTCGGCTTCTGGGCCTCCCAGGATCATAGATATGTAGATGGAAGGGACCTCAGAGGCCATCTGTGGCACCCCTTCCTTTTATAGGGGAGGAAACTGAAGGCCAAAGAGGAACTTGCCCAGGATTACTCAGGGAGCAAAAGCTGGCGTTCAAACTGAGGTCCTTTGATTCCAAAGGATGGCTAGGCGGTTGCAATAGGTAGAGTACTGGGCCTGGCGTCAAGAAGACTCATCTTAGGGAGTTCAAATCTGGCCTCAGACACTAACTAGCTGTGTGACCCTAGGCAAGTCACTTCACCCTGTTTGCCTCAGTTTCCTCATCTGTAAAATGAGCTGGAGAAGGAAATGGTAAACTACTCTAGTATCTTTGACAAGAAAACCCCAAATAGGGTCACAAAGAGTCACACACAATTAAATCTTTGATTCCAAATTCGGTGTTCTGAAGGAAGAATCACTAAGGTCTATGGTGTCCTACCTCAGCAGAAGTGAGTCATTTCCCTTTTCTGGGCCTCTGTTCCTTCATCTGTAAAATGGGAGAGTCTATCTATCTATCTATCTATCTATCTATCTATCTATCTATCTATCTTTCTTTCTTTCTTTCTGTCTGTCTGTCTGTCTGTCTGTCTGTCTGTCTATCTATCTATCTATCTATCTATCTATCTATCTATCTATCTATCTATCTATCTATCCTTCTATCCATCCACCTACCCACCTATCCACCTATCCATCCATCCATCCATCCATCCATCCATCCATCCATCCATCCATCCATCCATCCATCTATCCATCTATCTATCCATCTATCTATCTATCTATCTATCTATCTATCTATCTATCTATCTGTCTGTCTGTCTGTCTGTCTGTCTGTCTGTCTGTCTGTCTGTCTGTCTGTCTGTCTGTCTATCTATTCTATCTATCTATCTATCTGTCTATCTATCTGTGGCTCTTTTTCCTGCTCGATAACGATCTCTGGTGTGCCCTTCCAACTCTCCAAGCTAAGAATTGCTGTTGCCTAAGGCAGCCTGTCTTACTAGGAATCTCCTGGTAGGTACCACAGCATAACCAAGCAGTTTCTCCGGAAGGCTGATGGTATTGTGCTCATGTATGATGTCACCTGCCCAGGAAGCTTCACCCATGTGCGGTACTGGCTGGATTGCATCCAGGTGAGTGGGTTTGCTGCCAGGGCTGGTCCTGGCTGGAAGGGGCTAGCACACTGTCTATTTGCTGTTCATCTTCTTTCCCTAGCAGGAGCATGGCTTTGACAAAGGAGGGAATAGGTGTCCCCATGCTCCAAATAGATGTGGTGGGGTGAGTGAGGAGAAAACAAGTCCAATACTATGAAGCCACAACCACACAGTGGAGCCCTGGACAAAAACTACTCCCTGCATATCCTGTGATTTTTCCCTACTTGATGTTAGCCCTGGATATAGTTACAATGCCCTGTCCTTGGCTGTCATGGAGACCTGCAACTCTTGCACTAGGTCATGTGATAGGTAGGCTCATTCTGCCCCAACTTCCTAATCAGTTGATCAATACAACTTTATTGAGGCTCTGCTGTATCTCCAGTCCAGGGCCACTTGCTGAGAGGAGTCTAGGAGAAATAGTAAGCATAGTGCTTGCCCTCAAGGAGGTCATATTCTATTTGGGGAGAAAGGATACATACATGCTATATACATGTCTATTCACAAACATTTTATTTGTGTATTTATTTATTATATATTACACATGTGTGTATAATATAAACACACGTACACATGCATGTACATGCACAGACACATATATACAATGCAATGCACATATACATATAACTTGATGTATATGCTTTGCATACTGCACTCATATGTATACCTTATGTACATATATAGATAGTCTAGGAGCATATGTATAACTTGTGTGCCCTTCCAACTCTCAGAGCTAAGACACATGCATACGTGTTCCTAGACTATCTATATATGTATAGTACAATGTACATGTATACACACATTCTTGTGTACTTATATAAACATACATGTATACATATGTCTATGTGTATACTTACATGCTTATACACACAAATATATTCATATGTTTATATACATAGAGGCACCTAGGTGGCTGAGTGGATAGAGTGCTGTGCCTGGAGTTAGGAAGATCTGAGTTCAAATCCAGACTCAGACCCTTACTAGTTTGCGTGACCCTGGGCAAGTCACTTAACCTCTGTCTGCCTTAATTCACTGAAAAAGGAAGTGGTTAACCACCCCAGTATCTCTGCCAAGAAAACCCCATAGATAGTATTGGCATGCTATGGTCCACAGGGTCACAAAGAGTTAGACACAACCCAACAACAGTAACAACAATGTTAATATATACATTTATACAATGTTGTGTACATGCATGCATATATCTATGCACATCTCTATATATGTACCGATAAACACATTTGCACATATAAAATAGTATGTTCACACACATGTGTATATGTGCACACGTGTCTATATATGTATCTTTATGTGTATGTGTGTGTATGTATATACACACATACATGTATGCATGCACCCACACATCTCCAAGTGGTATACTGCAGAGCCCAGGTAAGAGGAGCCCACATTTCTATGACACTTTAGAGCTTCCAAGTACTTTCCTCACACCCAGTGAATTTTATAGTGCAAGTGTTAATTTCCCCATGTAATGGCTGAGCAGTTATGAACTCCACAAGGTTACACAGCTCAAGAGTGTCAGAGAAGGGACTCAAACCTAGGTCTGATGACGCCTCCTTTTCTGCCTTTGCTCTTTGCTGCCTTTCTTTGTGTGTCGGGGGGTCAACGATGTGGCTTAATCAACAGAGTGCCAGGCCTGGCATCAGGATGACCTGAGTTCAAATCTGACTGCAGACACTTACTAGCTGTGTGACCCTGGGCAAGTCATTTAACCCCATTTGCCTCAGTTTCCTCATCTGTAAAATAAGCTGGAGAAGGAAATGGCAAATCACTCCAGTGTCTTTGTCAAGAAAACTCCAAATGGGGTCAGGAAGAGTAGGACACAATGACTGAACGGCAACAAAAATAAAACTGGAGTTGAGAAAAAGAAGATATCTCTGTGGGGCTGGAGTAATCAAGGAAGGTTTGGCTATTTGGTAGGGAGGATGAACATGCAGAGATCTGAGAAACTAAGGCTCATAGGGTTTATCAAATGACTGACACAGGGCGACACAGGTAGCGAGTGTCAGAGCCTGGATCAGAAACCAGATTTGCTGACTCAAGACCCAATCTAATAAGCATTTATTAAGTACCTACTATATATAGAGAGATATTGTGATAGGTGCCAGGAGTACAAAGACAAAGTGAAAATCAATCCTTGCCCTCAGGATGCTGGGAGGACATAATGTGTAAACAGACATATGTGTGTGTGTGTGTGTATGTACACACACACACACACGATCATATGAGTAGGGAGAGTGCACTAACAACCAGAGGGATCAGGAAAGTCTTCCTATAGGAGGCAGCACTTGAGTTGAGCCTTAAAGAAAGCTAGGAGAGAAAGAAGGAGAAGGAAAACAAGCACTTATTAAGCACGTACTATGTGCCAGGCACTATGCTAAGTGCTTTACAAATTTGATCCCTAGCTCATTTGATCTAGGGATTTTTTTTTTTTAGCTAGGCAGTGGGGTTAAGTGATTTGCCCAGGGTCACACAGCTAGTAAGTATTATATGTCTGAGGCTGGATTTGAACTCAGGTCCTCCTGAATCCAGGGCTGGTGCTCTATCCAATGTGCCACCTGGCTGCCTCTAGGGATTCTTAAAGATGTAGAAACAGAAGGTAGCACAATCCAGGAATGGTTATGGGAGATGGAATGCCTGGCTTAGGTAACTATAAATAGGTCGGTTTGGTTGGAATGTCTAGAGGGCATCAAGGTAAGGTGAAATATCTGGAAAGGTAGCGCCTAGAAGCTTTAGGTCCAATTAGGAGGCTGTTGTAATAGACAAAGCAAGACCTAATAAAGAGAGAAGGGGATAGATGTGTGAGGTGTTTTGGAGACTTGATTGGACATTGATTGGGGAGCGAGATGAAAGACAGGGAAGAGATGAAAAGGACTCTGTCATTGTGAACCCTGTTGACTGGATGATGGTGCTCTCAAGAGAAGTAGAAAAGTGATGGTGGGTTTGGGGAGAAAGACGGAGGATTCTGTTTGGGACATGTTGAGTTTGAGATGTTGATGGAACAATAAAGTGGAGTTGTCCAACAATTTGTGATGTAGGTAGGAAGAAAGCTCAGGAGAGATAAAGGCTAGGAATCATCTCTATGGATTTACTAATTAAACCCATGGGAGCTAATGAAATCACCAAGAAGGGAATGTAGGGAGAAGGAGAAGAGGGCCAAGGACAAAAGCTGGGGGAATCCACGGTTAAATAGGGTTATTGGATAATGACCCAGAAAAGAAAGTGAAGGTGTGGATAGACAGGGAGGGAGAAGGAGAATCAGGAGAGAGGGGAGTAATGAAAACTGAGAAAGGAAAATGCACAAAGGAGGCAGCCAGGTGCTCAGTAGTGAGGTCAAGAAAGACAAGGACTGAATTAAATTGGATTTAGTTATTAAAAGATCTTTGGTAACCTTGGAGAGATCAGTTTCAGGAGCCAGATCACAATGGGTTAAAAGGTGATCAAGAGGAGAGAAAGTGGAGGTGATGAGTGTAGATAGCTTTTTGTAGGTCCAGAACACTTTTAAAAAAAACAACTTTTTTGTATTTTGAATTTAGCAATTATCAATAAACACAGGCATTCTGATATACAAAGAACAAAGAAGAGAATTGTGTGTGAAACTGTGAACTGCTGCTCCATATAGTTTGTTTTTCTTAAACAGCATATTAAATTTAACAAGGTAGTAATAAAGCCACCCTGCCCCCCACCCCTTAGTAAGTCTCCCTTGTAACAAGTTTTAATAGAGTCAAGCAAAACAAATCAACACATTGGCCATGACCAAAAATGTGAGTCTCGTGCTGTACCCCAAGTCCGTCATGTCTCTGGGAATAGATGAGAGAGGCACTTCACCATCAGCATTCTGAAGTCACGATTGGTCACTGGGGTCACAGTCCCGAAGTCTTTCAATGCTGTTTTCCTTCATATTACTGTGGTCATTGTGTAAGCTGTTCTGTTTCTGCTCACTCCATTCTGTGTCAGTTCAAACAAGTCTTGCCCAATTTCCCCAAACTCTTCACATCCGTCTCATAGTGAAATAATAATCCAATACAGTCATATGCCATCAGCTGTTCAGCCTTCGCCCAATGGAGGGGTGCCCACTTTACTTCCAGCTGTCTACTATGCAATGTGTTTTCCACCTATACCTGCCTTAAAGAGTGAGACCTTAGACCAGGAAGGCCTTGAAGGTAATTGAATACTCTAGGTAGACAAGAAGCCTGAGCAAAGATAATAAAGGTAGATAAAACCTAGTGTATTTGGGAGACAGAGAGTTAAGAAATAGCTCTGATTGGAACAGAGGGGAGCACATGGGTAAGAGTAGAAACTCAGGTTAGCTAAGTAGGATAGGCCGAACCTTTTGGTGGCTCAGATTTTATCCTATTTCTGCCTAGTTTTCAGCCCCTCAGGACCTGTCCCTCGTCCTTCCCAACTCTGTCCTTTGAACTTATAGAATGGAGCCTTAAAGAGAGTCTTTGGGGTATCTTGGGATGGAAAGGAAATTGTGTTCCCTTTCTACAAAAATAGTGTGTGTGTTGTACTGCAGGAAGCAGGACCTGATGATGTTGTCATCCTCCTCCTTGGGAACAAGATAGACTGCGTTGAGGAGAGGCAGGTGTCCACAGAGGCTGGACAGCTCCTGGCCAAGGTAAGTATCCTGGTGAGCATCCCAGACGTGCCTGTTCTCAGAGGAGGGACAGCTCCTGCGAGATGGAGGCAGAGCTGCCGCCTAGTCATGGCAACCTAGGGGCAAACTCAACAGAAGCCACATTGCAAGGGTCCTAGGCAGCTAGGACTGCAAGGAGGCAGTATGGTGTAGTAGAAGTCGTAATGGTTTTAAAATCATAAGATTTAGGTTTGAAACCTGGTTGTTTTTTTAACCAACTATCTGTGTAGCCTTGAGTAAATTACTGTACTTTTCTGGTTTTCAGTTTCTTCATCCATATCAATCAATCGATTAAAAAAAAAAGCCATCAAGCAGAGCACTGGCCCTGGAATCAGGAGGACCTGAATTCAAATCTGGCCTCAGACACTTGATACTTACTAGCTGTGTGACCCTGGGCAAATCACTCAACTGCATTGCCTAACCAAAAAAAAAATGTTTAAAAAACAACTATTAAGCACATATTATGTGCCAGGTACTATGCTAAGTGAATCAAAAAGAGGTAAAAAGCAGTCCTTGCTCATATTCTAATATGAATAGGAATGGCTAATAGAAGCTAAGAGTCTAATAATTTTTTGGTTGGTAGTTGTCCTTCATTCTCAAAGAGGACCAAAATGACATCACCGTGTTGGGGTCAAGGTCCAGTGTGTCCAACGTGGACACTCAGACCAATATGAACTCAGGATGCACAGGTCGGGCATGGATTCTAACGAGGGAGACAATGAACACAAGCTATACAGAGGATAAATAGGAAATAACGAACAGAGGGAAGGCATTATAATTAAGAAGGGTTGGGAAAGGCGTCCTGTAGAAGGGGGGATTTTAGTTGAGACTTAAAAAAAGCCAGGGAGGTCAGTATATGGAGTTGAGGGAGGAGAGCTTTCCAGGCACAGGAGATAGACATTTGTGACAGGACGCTGGCCTCTGATACAGCTCCTGACCTTTCAAGATTTTATAAGGCCCTGTATCAAAGGAGGCTGCCCCATCCCAGACACACGTTTGCCTAGGAGGCCATGTACTTAACTAGGTTCAAGGGGACCCAAGGCTCCTCCCCACCCAGAAGCTCTTAGCAGTTTATCCCCCTCATTCAAATGCAGCCAGGAAAGAAAAGAGGTCTGTTTTTGACTATTTGCTGCCTTTTGTTTGCACACCAAGTCTTGGGTCAGCAACTAGTCAAAAAGCCCCTCTTTGCTACACAGGAAACAGTTGAAAGATACCTGTCCACAGAGCATGATCCTCCATTATGCATGCATGGAAGCAGGCTCTCTAAGCATCCACTCAGGGGATTGCATCAGGCAGAGCAAACTACAAATGTAGCTGAGGACTGAGCTCTCATTGGCCAGTCCCCTGTTATGCACGAAGTAAGGGGGTTGGACCAAATGATCTCTGAGGTCCCCTCCAGTTCTAGAACCATTCGATTTACTTAGATAATTAATAAAAAGACCTATGTGGGAGTGGATCCAGTGCGTCAGAAAGAGAAGAGGAAGCCTGGCTTCTCCCACACCCCATAGAAAACACCAAAGAGAAGAAAAATGGCTAAAATGGCCAATGGGAGAAAATGAAAACCGGTAAAATTTTAAAGGAGCAAAGCTGAAGGCAATTCTATTTTTTAAAAAAATCCTATGGACTAGCTGAATCAGCTAATATATTAGAAATACCAGAGGTGGAAAAAGAAACCAAACAGATATTCCAATCAATCAACGTTCCCATCAATTTTGTTGTTCAATTGTTTCAACAGCATTTGGTTCTTGTAACCCCATTTGGGGTTTTCTTGGCAAAGACACTGGAGTGATTTGCCATTTCCTTTTCTAGCTCATTTTACAGATGAGGAAACTGAGGCAAACGGTGCCTCACCCAGGGTCACACAGCTAGTCTGAGGCTGGGTTTGAATCCAGGTCTTTCTATCCACTGTGCCACCTAGTTGTCCAATCAACAAGATATTCCAATCAATTAAGAACCTTATCTGTGTTATTAAGTACCCGCTATGTGCCAGGCACTGTGCTAGCTGGCCAGAGATAAAGACAAAAATGGAATAGCCCCTGCACTCAGGGAGTTTACATTTTAACATGACAATGTGTATATATGAGCATATAAACAAAATATGGACCAAGTAAACACAAGGCAATTTGGGGAAGGAGCAGGAGGTTAGTTGTGGGGGGAGTGAGGAAAAGCCTCATGTAGGAGAAGGTGCTTGAACTGAACTTTGAAGGAAAGTAAAGATTCAAAGAGGGAGAGGGGAGAACAGAGTGCATTCCAGGGATGGGAGAGGACAGCTCATGCCCAAGAAAGAGATGAGTGTTAATTGTAAGGAGCGTTGAGAAGTCCGGTTTGATCTGATCAGGAAATGTGTGAAGGGAAGTAACATACCATAAGCTTGGGAAAGTAGACTAGAGCCAAGCTGGAAAGGGCTTTTAATGCCAAACAGAGGTGATTATATTTGGTTCTAAAGTTAATAGAAAGCACCCTATTAAAAGAAATGAAACATAAACTGGGAAAGCTAAGAAAACCACATGGTCATGTTTTAAAAGTTGAAGAAAGTAAAAACTTTCTCACACTCACAAAGTTGAAGTTAGAATTTAAAAAACAAAAGTGAGAGTTATTAAAAATTAAATTAAGGCAGGTAGATGGTGTAGGGGATAGAGCACTGGCCCTGGATTCAGGAGGACCTGAGTTCAAATCTGGCCTTAGACATATGACACTTACTAGCTGTGTGACTTGGGGCAAGTCACTTAACCCCATTGCCTACCCAAAAAAAAAAACTAATTAAAAAAATTTAATGAAGAAAATTATCTGTATGGAGAGTAGTACAGAAAACCTCAAAAAAAAAATTGAAAGTAACTAGCATCCGATATAAGCCCAGAGCCAATGGAATTGAACCAATGCTGAGGCTCCTGTGATAGTTTATATTTATATAGTGAGTTCTGCACAGTAATAACTCTATATCTCCACCCAGGACTTCCTCTGCTCCCATGCTTCAACCTTTGCCTGACATCCACTATCCTACATCCAAACAGCTCCCTGTCCCTGTCCCATAACCCAAACCCTTTTCTGGGTGATGGGAGGATAAGCAACAAATCCCGACTATGGTGTTATTCTTCTTCCCAGGTAGCACATGCATTTAATAGGGACCTTTTGGAGTCAGTGTCTAAACCCAAAGAGATAACTCTAATGATGGAATTTCAGGTGCCATGATTACCATGCCCTCCCACTGCACCTACTTGTACAGCTGGTCCCCTGTTCTGAAAACTGTTGGACAGACTCCAGACTGACCATTCGAGAGAAGATATTGCCTGCTTTTGTGCCACATGTCCTCTGTTTCTGTTTGGCTTTGTAGGAAATTGGGGTCATCTTTGGAGAATGCAGCGCTATGTTGGGACATAACATCTTAGAGCCCATTGTGACCTTAGCAAGGTGAGTGTAACCTGTCCCCAAATTCCCATACCCAGCATCCCATCCTGGCACTAATATTCTGCTTGTGTGGGGTGTGTGTATGTATGTGTCTCTGTGTGTGTGTGTGTGTGTGTGTGTGTGTGTGTGTTTAAGCAATTCTGCACAGGGTGAGCTTGGGAGTTCCAGTGAATTGGAAGGAATTTTTTGTGTGTGAGGCAATTGGGGTTAAGTGACTCGCCCCAAGTCACACAGCTAGTAAGTGTTATGTGTCTGAGGTTGGATTTGAACTCAGGTCCTCCTGGCTCCAGGCCGGAGCTCTATTCATTGTACCACCTAGCTGCCCCAATGGGAGGGAATTTAAAGGGAATAAGAAGGTGATCTGTCAAGTCGTTAGGATTATAACATTATTAACATAGCACTTATTTATAGAGTGTCTTAGAGTCCTAATTTTCTTGTATCCTCCAATAGAATGTAATATCTCTGAGGGCAGATAATATTTAGTTTCATCTTCTGAGCAAGGCATGAGATACAAGAAAGAGGTGGGGCAGTGCAGGATTGCTTGCTGTTTGTCCGGGGCAAAGACCTAGGTGGGGCTCTGTAATAAATAAATAAATAAACAAACAAACAAATAAATAAATATAAAAGGCCTCTGGAACGAAGGGCAGCATAGTGAACTCCAATAATAGTTGGAGTCAGGAACACCTAGGTTCAAATTCTTGTGATGTTTATTAGCTGAATATTCCTAAAGTGCAGATCTAACTGTAGAGTCATAGATTCAGGGTTAGAAGAGACCTTAGAGGCCATCTAGAAGCCATCCTCTTCATTTTACAGATGAGGAAACTGAGGCATGGAAAAGTTAAATGACTTATTCAGAATCACAATCTAGTAAAGCATCTGCAATAGGATTTGAATTCAGGTCTTCCTGACCCCAAGTTCAGTCCTCTATCTACCACTCCATACTACTTCCACTCTCCTGCTAGAATTTCCATAGCTCCCTATTGCCTTTAGGATAAAAATACAAACTTCTCTTTTGAGTCACTGAAAACCTTTCACAAGCTGTCTCTGGCCTATCTTTCCTTATTTGATTAAATGTGATTCCTCCACACTCACCTTCTATTCCAGTTCAGCTATCTTACTTGTTCTTTCTACTTCTCTTTCCATCTGCTATCTTCTCATCTTTACATGCCTGTCCCTCATAGCTGGCATGCTCTCTTTCCTCCCCCCTGCTTCATGAAACACTCACTTCCCTTAGAGTCTCAATTCAAAGGCCTTGTCCTTTAAGATGCCTTTTCTTATTTCTTTAGTTAGTGCCCCTTGAGTCCCCAATGAGTTTGCATTTATGTGTACGTGTTTGCATGGATGTTATATTGCACACACATAATACGTGTGTCTTTAGTAGAATGCAAGCTTCTTGAAGGCAAGAGACTTTCTGTATCCCTAGTGCCTGGCACATAGTAGGTGCTTACTGAATATTTGTCCATTGAAATAACTTAATTTCTCCAGGTCTTAGCTTCCTCATCTATAAAATGAGGATAACAATACCTGTAGTTCTTACTTCAGCCTGTGGTACGGCGGTGGATAGAGCTCCCAGTCTGGAGTCAAGAGGACCTGAATTAAAATCTTAGCTGAGACACTCACCATATCAAATCTTAAGTCTGTTATCCAGTGTGATAGCTATCCCTCCCAGCTCAGTGTCATCTACACAGCTGATAAGCATGCTCTGTGAGCCTTCCTTCAAGCCAGTGGAAAAATGTTGAACTGTACAGGACCAAGGACAGATCCCTGGGGCACGTCTTTATCAGTTTCCTTTCTCACATCCTACTAAATCATCACTACTTTTTCCTCATATTTCCTACTTCATCTCACTAGTTCTGACTACCCAGATGCTCTTCCGCGAACTACTTTTCTTCATTCCTTTAAAAAATATAAATTGAATTTTCATTGTTCTGTATAACAAGCTATAACAAGTCCTCATTTTACAGATAAGGAAATGGAGATGCTGAGGCTCAGAGGGGAGACGTGACCTGTCTGGTGACACACAGCTCATCCTGTTCATAGGATTATAGATTTATATATATTATTATAGGGTCACTGAGTCCAACTCCCCACTGCTGCCTTATTTTCCAGATGAGGAAAGGAAGGTTCAGAGAGGTTTGCCCAGTGTCACATGGTTAGTGAGCAGCTGAGGTGAGATTTGAACCCAGGTCTTCCTGACTTTTGTCAGCTGCTCCATCTGCCTGCCCTAGTTAAGCTTCTGAGAAGCCCAGAGCAGGCTTTGTCCATCTCACTTCCAATAAAAGATCAGCTCTCATTTTAGGATACAACCAGGAGTGCATTTAGAGGAGAGTGAAGAAGATAGTAGGTGTCCAAGTCCATAGCAACAATTTGGTGACCGGAAGGAGGTTTTCAGAAAAGAGTAAGATAGGTCAATGAAACATAAAGCAACAGGTCTTTATTAAGGCCTATTTTAATTTGCCTCAAAGAAGGAATAAGGCCTCAAATGAAATTCCTGAGGACAGGGATAGGGTCAGGGGGGAGCAGGGGCAAAGGGTGAGGGATTCAAAGCCAAAGATAACACCAGATCTCAGTTGCTCAGAGAGGATCAGCAAACCTTGGGTGTGATGGGTCTTAAAGCCAAAAAGAAGGAAGAGAGATGGGGATCCTTGAGAGAGACCACACTTGACCTTGACCCACACAAGTTTCTCCAGCTCTCTGCCTCTCTTCCCAGTAGATATGTGGGGTGTTTAGATCCTATACCAGAGCAGTTCAGTGAGGCTGCTGAAGGTTATGGGTTTGGTTCTGGACTGTCTGGTTGATATTCCACCTCTGATATTATAGGTGGGGAGGTGCGGATTTGGTGAGGAAAGGCACCCACTCATACAGTCATAGGGCATGGAAGTTTCCAGAAAAAGACAGGATGGGAGTGTCAGAATAGAGACAGCTTGCTGCATAGCCCTGAGTGTTTTAGGGGCTGAAAAACTAGAAAGGTTTTTTTGACATCTCAGTGGGGATGTAGAGACCGTACTATATAAAGATGGATGGAAGGAACCAGACATATTTAGCTTAGAAAAGAGAAAGCCATGGAGAAAGATGAGTGATCTCCTCATTTAAGTGGGGAGATGATGGTAAATGTTTAACAACCAGGTCTGGGAGGGGGAAAAGGATCTATGATGTACTTTAAAGTTTATTCTGCATTATTCACATTTTTCATCACTTTCTTAAGTCTAGACAAAATAGTAAATCAGTCCCTAATTTGTAACATTTACTGATTTCTGAGGTATAAATCCTCACACTGAAAATTTAACAACCTGCTCAGCTTTGAATTGGCTTCATCTTATCCCTGGATAGGAGCTGTTCTGTGTGGCCCCAGTGAGCAGAGGTAGAAGCCGCAGGTAGAAGTTGCAGGGAGGGAAATTTTGGCTCAGTAAGAGGAAGAATGCCTTAATAATTTGAACTTTTTAAAATGGAATGGACTTCATCATTAGGTTGACAACCTCAAGGATTCATTCATTCATTCAATGATGTTGAATTCTAGGAAATGCCTGCTATGTGCAGAGCACGGTGTCAGGTGCTGGGGAAGATACAAAGTTTAGATAATCAACAAACATTTATTAAGCACTTACTGTGTGCAGGTCACTGTGCTAGGTGCTGATGATACAGAGACAAAAGTGAAAGAGTTCCTGTCTTCAAAGAGCTTACATTCTATGGGAAGAAAGATCATGCATGTAAATAATTATATGCAAAATAAATGCAAAGTAAATGGGGGAGGAGGACCACCAATGTCTTAGGGTAGGCATTGGGAAATGCTTCATGTAGAATGTAATGCTTGAATCCTGAAAGGAAGCAGGAAAGCTAAGAGGTGGGAGTAAGGAGGGAGTGTGGACGAGACATGGGGGAGAGCCCAGGCAGAGGCTCCTACACAGGGGTGAAATGGGTGAGCAAGATGTCAGGTTGGCCATGCTGGAGAGTTCACAAAGGTGAATAATCACCCTGGAAAGCTAGAATAAAGTCCAGCTGTAGAAGGCTTTAAATGCCAGATCTCAAAGGTCGTCTGGTACAACTCCCTCATTTTACCAATGAAGAAATTGTGGCCCAGAGAGTCTCAGATAAGTGACTTGCTGAAGGTCACACAGGAAATAAGGGTCAGAGACAGGGCCCTCTGACTCCAAAGCCAGTGCTTTTTTGAGCTTATCTTCTCTGTCTTCCAAGGAATTTATATTTCATCCTGGAGGTAGTAGCTGGGGCAGCTACGTGTCCCAGTGGATAGAGCTCTGGACCTGGAGTCAGGAACACTTGAGTTCAAATCAGACACTTACTAGCTGTGTGATCTTGGGCAAGTCACTCAACCTTTTTGCCTCAGTTCATCATCTGTAAAATGAGCTGGAAAAGGCAGTGGTAAACCATTCCAGTTTCTCTGCCAAGAAAACCCCAAATGGGGTCACAGAGAATTGGATACAACTGAAACAACTGAACAACAACATAGATAATAGTTAAGACAGTTCCTATCTTCATGGGCATCAGATATGGTTAAGTATAATATATGGTATTACACAGTCATGTGTGTGAAGCAGGGCAGTACAGGCGCTCTGCTGGGGATGGCTACTTTTGGGGGAATGTATCGGAGTAAATCAAGCTTTAAGTAGGGGGTTGCCCAGCTGATCTTCTTCCAGCTCCAGGAATCTAGGTTCCTAAGCCCCAAAGGCCTCCCTCACTTAGTCACGCTACCTGGGTCACCTCACAGGGCAATGCAAGAACAGGAAGCCAGACTGAAACACGATGTGGTAGAGCTGGAGAAGAAGGAGGTGAAGAAGAAGGCCGGCTGCTGCTCCTGAGCAACGTGGGCTTGGCAGGCTTGGAGGGGCCAGTGGTGCAGGACGGTGGCAAGACTCCATCCCTTCAGCTTCTCCTCTGTCCTATCTGACTTTGACAATCCACAATGGCAAGGAAAACCACGAAAATGCATGGATCTTGAGAGTATCCATGAAGCATTTCTTTTAAATGCACAGAAAAAAGCAGAAGGATGTTTGGAAGGAGACACAGATGAGCAAGGCAATGTGCATACTTTTGTGTTAAATTCAATACAAATTTTAAAAGAATTGTATGGAACAAACTCACAGTTTCATATATAACCCTCTTTTTCTGGTCTTTGTATATTGAAATCTTTATATTTGCTAATTTTAAGTTCATAATAAAAAATTTATATGTGTATGTGTATATATATATGCGTATGTGTGTGTGTGTGTATACACACATAAACACACACACACACACACACACACACACACACACACACACACACACACACACCATATCCCAAACCTTACTGAATTGGACTCTTGGGGATTCAGAAGTTTAATTATGGAAGAATAGACTCATCCTCCTGAGTTCAAATCTAACCTCAGACATTTATTAGCTGTATGACCCTGGGTAAGTCACTTCACCCTATTTGCCTCATTTTCCTCACCTGTAAAATGGGCTGGAGAAGGAAATGGCAAACCACTCCAGTATCTCTGCCAAGAAGACCCCAAATGGGGTCACAAAGAGTTGGACATGACTGAACAACAATGACAGAATAATGGAAACAAAGGCCAAGAAGACTTAGGTTCAAGTCCTACCTCTGACACATACTGGCTGTGTGATCCTGGGCAAGTCACTTAACTTTTCAGTGTTCTAGGAGACTAACTAAGACCATTGCAGAGAAGGTGCCAACCTGAATGGGTTGAGGGAATTTCCTCACATGGGAGTTCCTTATACTGATGAAATCTCAGGTCTAATTACTACCCTAATAATCAGTTCTGGGTCTCGATTGAAGTTCAGTTTTGTACTCTGAAGGAAATTTGCTTGAGCAAATTAATATCATAAAAGAAATTGCAGGCTTAAATGGTTTTAAACCACTTAAGGGAATGAACTATGTTCAGACCCAGCCAAATGTTTTAAAAATAACTGAAACCTGGATGCTCATTAACCTGGCTAGGCTAATTTATTCAACAAACATTAAGCACCTACCCTGAAGAACACTTTCCTAAGCTGAGATATACAGAGTTTAGATAAGGATGGGTCCTATCCTCTTTGAGCTAGTTAATTACATCTTGTTCTTACCTGTTCATTAAAGCAAGTCCCCCAAGGATCTCTACTTGGCAACACAGGGTTAGTCTTATCACCATGCACTTAAAAATAATCAAAATACATTTCCTTGAAAATATTCTGCAGTTCAGACTTGGTGTTTATCGTAATTGGTGAGAACGGCCCCTCTCACTCCAATTCATCCAAATCAATGTATCTAGACCCAAACAGTCATGGCGGCCTATGACACAATTCCTTCCCCAACCACAGCACCCAGCTTTAATGGACAGCTTGCATGTAGGGGACATCCGTTGTCCCAGTGCCCTCTGGATGCCCTCTGAAGTGGTTACTTGTCCCAGCCGACAGACAGTCCATCAGTGTTTATTAAGTCTGTATGACATGTTGAGCACAAGTCTAGCTTCAGGGTATGGAACTGTGAGAATACATAGCAGAGACAAACCGTTCTTGGGTGAATGGAAAGAAGAGACAGTGCTATTTACCCACCAGAATGCTGGTTCGGGAGTCAGGAGACCTTTTATCCTTTCCTAATCGACTTTCCATTGCCTTCCCCACTGCAAATGTTCCCAATCTTCTCTCCTTACTGGAGAAGGGAGAAACTGAAAGTCTCTCTGTCTTAGTCACTGAGTGATCAAGTCTTGGTGATTGTACATCCTCAACATATCTTGTCCCCATCTGCTTTTCTCCACTTAGAGTCTCCTACATTGCCCCGCTCCCACTCAGGCTAGGACTTCACCTGCTTAGCACAGTGACTGGCACATAGGAAGCATTTGACAAATGTTTGTTGACTTGACCTCTGAAAAGTAAGAAATACAGGTGATGTTCCGTTACCTCCTCTATTTTATACCTCCATGTCCCTTAGTACCATCCTGCATTCTCTCCTCCTTTGTGCCAGTCTCTGACATCAAGACTCTCCCCATCAAGACCAGCTTCCATTCTTGAACTCTTGATCATACCCAATCATTACCCAAGCCCCCCCAGCCTCTCCCAATCATGTCTCCCCATATCTATAGACTCCTTCCCCACTGTCTACAGACAATCCAAGTCTTCCTCATTCTCAAAAACAACAACAAAAATAACCCTTCAATCTGAGCCAACCATACCCACGGTTATCATCCTGTCGCCTTTCACAGCCAAACTAATACCCCCTTTTTCTCTTCTGATCTTATCTTGTTCTGACCTTGTCACAGGTCCTCGCCATCTCCTGCCTGGACTATTGCAATAGCTGGTCTCCCTACCATAAGTCTTTCCTTAATCCAGACCATCTTCCACTCAGCTGTCAAAGGGATTTTCCTAAAGAACAGGTCCATTATTGTAACCTCCTCCTCAGTAAACTCCAGTAACTCCTTATCCATCACCTCCAGGATCAAATATAAAATCCTCTGGCTTTCAAAACTCTGCATAACCTGCCCCCCCCTTCCAGTCTTCTTAAACCTTACACTCCTTCCAAACCCCACCCCTCACACAAACTCACATGAAATCTTCTATACAGTGATATGGGCCTCCCTGCTGTTCCTCAAAAAAAAAAAAAAAAGAACTTCCTCTCCCAACTCTGGACATTTTCTGTGGTTCTCTGGAATGCTCTCCTTCCTCACCTCTGCCTCCTGGCTTCCTTCAAGGCCTGACTAAAATCCCATTTTCTACAGAAAACCTTTTCCACTCCACCTTAATTCTAGTGCCTTCCCTCCACTGATTATTTCAAATTTATTCTGTATATGGCTTATTTGTACATAGTAGTTTACATGTTATGTCCCTTATTAGATCATGAGCTCCTTGAAAGCAGGGACTGTTCTTCCCCCCCCACACACCCCCTTACTTTGTATTCCCAGTGCTTAGCATAATGTGTGGTGCATAATAGGAGCTTAATAAATGTTCATTGACTGACTGATTGATAAGTTCCCCACTTCTCTTCCACTCACTTTTTAGCCCCTTTCCATCTGACTTTGGGTCTCACCATGCAACTGAATTGCCCTCTCCAAGCTACCAACTGTAGGGAGTTATAGGAGGTTTGCCTTGACTGTGGTTGAGGTCAGTAGTTTTATTGAGATCAGACAGGCATAAGAAAATCAGGGGTGGAGACCACTGGATCTTTAGGCTTCACCTAGCCCTTTGGTCCTGACCTTCACATTCATTTGCATGAAAATCAAGGGGCAATCTGGGAACTGAGGGTACGTAGCATCATCACCCCTTCTACTGAAGGAATTGAGAGGATTGAAGCAGCAAGTGGTGGTGGGAATTGAGAGAACCTCACTGCTTCCATCTTGTGACTCAATTCTGGAATTAACTCAATGCCCTTTCTATTCAATTATGGGTTTAGTCCAACTTCTGTCTCACGAGAAAACTATTCAATTGTGGAAAGTGGGAGAAAACCTTGTTGCATTGTTTGAACCTAGCCCTGCATGGCTGGGAAGCTGGACCACCTCTACTTGATGCTTGGAGACCCTTAACCTAGGTTTTGCTGAGTGGAAACCCAGTCAGACCCAAAGATAGAGGCAAGGAGTTTTCTCACAATTATACATCTCAAGCAATGTCTGTCTTGTCCGAAGACTGGCCCCATACGTCAATCAGTATTGTTTCCATGTTCCTTCAATTGTTCACAAACACTTGGGGGGGAGTGGGACACCTCTTTTTCTCATTTCGGGGAACTGTACCTGTTCACTCTCCCCTTCCCAACTTGGAAAGTCCCTAATCTCTCTTCCAATTAGAAATCAGATTACCTGATGTTGTATCCTGGTTGATTGTTTCCTTTTAATTAATTGGCCTTATTTGATTGTTTTTAATATGTATAAAACAAACAAACAAACAAACTATTCCCCCCTCCATTCAGGGTCCAGGCCTAGGCTGAAGAGGTCTGGCAGGCATTGCTTAATAAATTGAGATGTTTGAAAGCTTGAACATTTGTCTCCTCAATCATTTCGTCATTCACTTGCCACACCACCATAGAGTTCACATGGGCACTCTGTTCAATGGAGTCCCTGAAATGCTTTCAGGGAAGACAAACAAAACTAAGTTATAAAGGACTCTGTTGTAAATCAGATAGTTTACTTGCTTCTCAGATTGGTACCACTTAATATTAGTTCTAGCCTGGACCATTTTGCAGTCTTTTGTTGGCTACCTGACTGTAAATTTAGTCCTCCCTTACCAGGGAGAGGCTTTCTAGCTGCTGAACTCCAGCAGATGGTAGCAGAGAGCAGTAGTAGATGGTCCTTAAGAAGTTAAAGACCAGTAGATGTAGCAGTGAACAGCTCAAGGACCACAATACCCAAAGAGATGCCCAGAAGAGAGTGAAGACGCTGTACTTAGCAGAGACGCAACTCACCCAGCAGAGATGACTCAGCATACAGCAAAAAGCAATATGATGGCATCACCAGAGAACACTGGAGGTTCTGTAGCTCTAGGGGTGTGAGCTGCCCTGGTCACAATCCATCTTTGCTATAAAGGTCTAACCCTGAAGGTTTGTCTCTATGCCTATTTCCTAGTCATACATTCTCTGTATGTGTCCATTTCACCACTGACAGTGGAAGAATGTACCCCTGTTTGCCTGAAGGGTTTTTTTTTTACTCACTAATCATACTCTGTCATTTAATTAAATGTCTTTTTCTTTGAATCAATATATCCTTTCTGGTTAAAAATTAATGCATTGGTTGGGGCCTGTGAGGATTTAAGTAGATTCTACCTCATACCCTCGATGATCCTCAAACCTAAGGTAGTATTCTGGGTGTTCAAGTGACAATGGGGTGCTATACAATCATATTTTAATTGATAAACGTGATGGCCTTTCTGAATCTCTCTATATACTGTGATCACTTTCTCCTACTAGATCTTCTTTCTTCCCTGGGTTTTTGTGACTGCTCTCTTCTGCTTCTCTTTCTACTTTTCTGATGACTTTCTCAATTCCTTTTGCTAGATCCTAGTCCTATCATGATAAAAAAAAATAATCTTGGCTGAAGAGAAGGCAGTAAAGTTCTGAGCATATTCAACTTATTAGCAAGGCTAGCAACAGCCAATAAAAGGGATTCAAAGCTCCTCAGTAGCCAAGGTTGCAGTTGACAGTCAGGGAAGTTCTTTTATAGTCCTGCAGAGGAAAAAAAGAGACACTGAAAGCAATCTGGAATTGCAAAGGTATGCCTCCCTTCTCATTGATTAGTGCTAAAGTCATTAGCCCCAAATTACATCCAGGTGAAGGGAAGTCTCACCGTTGGCAATTTCTGAGGGAGAACAGGGCACTTGTGGTTCATATGGTAGCAATTTTTGAAAGATTATAATATAGACTAGAATTTTGTGGCTGGAAAGTCCTGAGGAGGAGAACTTGCAACTGCAGGCTTAAGAAGGTCAGAGGGAATTCAAGTTTACATATTAGGGGAAAGTAACTAATACCTAGCAAATTGATCATTAATACATAGTAAATTAATTAAGCCTTAATAAAATAATGAGGCAGCTATGTGGTGATATGGATAGAGCTCCAGGCCTAGAATCAGGAAGACTCATCTTTCTGAGTTCAAATCTGGCCTCAGACCCTTATTAACTGTGTAACGCTGGGCAAGTCATTTAACTCTGCCTCAGTTTCCTTCTCTGTAAAATGAGCTGGAGAAGGAAATGGCAAACCACTTCATTATCTTTGCCCAGAAAACCCCAAATGGGGTCACAAAGAGTTGGATGTGACTGAAAAATGACTCAACAACAACAAAAATAATAATACAAAATAGTGGGGTGTCAATTTTTAGTTCCACACCCATGTTCTGTCCCCCAACCTTGGGTGTCCCTCAAAGCTATTTCCTGGACCCTCTTCTCACCTTTGCACTCTCTTAGTGAACTCATCAGCTCTCAGAATTTCAATGATCTTTTTATGCAGATGACTGAGATTTATATATCTTGCCCTCATCTCTCTCCTGAGCTCTAGTCCCACATCACTAACTGCGTGTTGAACATCTGACCTGATGTGTCATAGGGACTTCACACTCAACACGTCCAAAATGAAACTCATTTCGACACTTACCCACCACCCCACCCCCAGCTTCTCTCTGCCCACTTTGGGCACTACTATCTTCCCAGATTCAAAAATGCAGAGTCATTCTTGATTATTTACTCTCCCTCACTTCTGTTATCTAACCTTCACGCTTCTGCAGGCTAGGAGTGACTGACCAAGCTGCTGGAGGTCACTGACTTAGCGAGACCAAGGAAAGCAAATGGCTTTGCTCAGTATCTCAAAGCATAGTGATGACAGGGTATGGTGGGGAAACTGTCATGTGTGATTTCTGTTCACCGATTTGGTTTATCAGTCTAAATCAGTCACTTCCATCACAGAGGATGTGGGGGCCCTGGGATCCTTTAGGAACAAAGTGTTACAGAGGGAGACAGGAGCCGGGAGTAAAGTACGTATGCCTCCAGGGCTGCCTCAAACCTCTGCTGGTATCTAGGGATCAGACTGCCTGTAGATGTGGGAAACCCAGGCAGGCATGTGGACTATTTCAATAGCTACAAGTCTCTCCCCTCTAACGCATCTTCCACGCAGCTGCCAAAATGATTTTTTTGTAAAGTGAAGGTTTGACCTCATCAACCATTACAGTGTGAACTCCTTGAGGGCAGGGGCATATTTTCTGCCTTTCTTTGTATTGCCAGCTCTCGGCACAGTACCTGGAGCATAGTAAGGGCTTAATATATGCCTACTGCCTGACTGACTCTGCCCCATTCCCTCTGCCCCTCGTGAAAAAAATTCCAATGTCTCCTTAGTATCTCTAGGATCAAATATAAATAAAGGACCTTATATTTATGTAAACATATTCATATAGGGGCAGTTAGGTTGCGCAGTGGGTAGAGCACCGGCCCTGGATTCAGGAGGACCTGAGTTAAAATCCGACCTCAGACACATAACACTTACTAGCTGTGTGACCCTGGGCAAGTCACTTAACCACATTGCCTAGCCCCCCCCCCCCCAAAAAAAAAAACCAACCCAAAACATAAATATATTCATATAAAAATCTAACATGGGGCATAATGGATATAACACTGGCCTTGGAAATCAGGAAGACTCATCTTCCTGAGTTCAAATCTGGCCTCAGACACTTACTAGCTGTGTGACCCTGGACAAGTCACTTCATTCTGTTTGCCTCAGTTTCCTCATCTGTGAAATGGGCTGCAGAAGGAAATGGCAAACCACTCCAGTATCTTTGCCAAGAAAACCCCAAATGGGGTCATGAAGAATTATACAAGATTGAAAACTACTAACAACAGTCCAACCAATTCAGTTCAATTCAACAAAGATTTGTAAAGGGTCCACTGCATGCAAAGCATTATGCTGGGTGCTGGAGACAAATTCAAAAATGAGGCAGTCTATGCCCTCAAAGAACTCACTACATTGTATTATATGAATACAATGGACAGACCAGTAAGTAAACTGGAAATGTCAAAGTAATCTCAAGAGGGGAAAGCAACCACTGCTGAGGGGATCAGGAAAGGCCTCATGTAAGAGGGGGCACCTGATGAAGTTGTACTTTGAAGGCAGCTAGGGGTTACACAAAGTGTGTAAGGAAAGAGGGCTTTCTAGGTATGGGAGACTCACAAGAAGTTGGGGAGATAGAATGTCATGGACAGACTGGCTAACTAGCAGGGCAGTTGACTGGAATGGAGAATGGGTAAAGGGCAGTAGTTTGAAAGAAGACTAGAAGACGAGGTGATGCCGTGAATAAGCACCGGCCCTGAAGTCAGGAGGACCTGAGTTCAAATCTGGCCTCAGACCCAACAGTTGACACTTACTAGCTAATTGTCTAAAAAGGAAAAAAAAAAAAAAAAGAAGACTGGAAAAGTAGGTGAGACGCATATCGTGGAGAGCTTTATTGTATTTTGTCCTAAAGGCAATAGGGAGCCATCGAAATTTTTTGTAGTAAGTGACTGATGCTCTCAGATCTGGTTTTTATTAATATCGACTAGGCAACTATGTGAGAAGATGGATTAAAGAGGCAAGAGACAGGAAGCGGGGAAATCAGTTAGGAGGCTATCATGACAGCTGAGACAAAGAGTGATAAAGGACTGGAAGACAGAAATGAAAGATGGAAGTGAGAGGTGGTGGGAAATGAAGAATGGACAATACCTGACAACTGATTGGAGAGAAGGGAATGCAGGAGAGGGAAGTTAGCAAAGCTGAGAAGTCTGGAGGAGGAAGCATTTTACAAAGGAGGAAAATAAGGCCCAGAGAGATATAACCACTTGCCTCGGGTCACACGGGAAGTGGCAGAGCCTAGATGCATCTTGGGATCCTCATTTCACTTTCTATGATGCCAAAATGCCTTTCACTTTCCAGCTGGGGCTCTTGAGGATCCTGTCTGGGTTCCATTTCCCCTGACCCCGGGTCCTGCCCCTTGCCTACTCACTTCCTCCATCACCCAGCTCCTACAGGTCCCCACCCCACACCGTGACACAGTGGAAAGAGTGCTGGCTTTGCTGTTAGATGTTATTCAGTCATTTTCAGTGACTCTTCATGACTCCATTTGGAGTTTTCTTGGCAGAGACACTGGAGTGGTTTGCCATGTCCTTCTCCAGCTCATTTTACAGATAAGGAAACTGAGGCAAACAGGGTTAAGTGACTTGCCCAGGGTTACATAGCTAGTAAGTGTCTGAGGCTGGATTTGAACTCAGGAAATGCCTGACTCCAGACCCAGTGCTCTATCCACTGGGCCACCTAGCCTTCCTGCAACAATTAGATGACCTGGGTTCAAATCCCACCTATCCCATTTACTATCTATGTGGCCTTGGGCCTCTCCGGTCCTCAGTTTTCTGTAAAATGAGGGGTTTGGCCTAGATCTCTTCTAGCTTCCAGTCCAGGATAGTCTAAGCCTGTGTACTCATCCCCATGTCATACAGAGCAGGAAAAGGTTTTGAAGAGCATCGATTCCAGTGCCCCGTTTTACAGATGAGGAAGCTGAGGCCTGGAAAGCAGAAGTGACTAAGAAGTGACCAAGATGAAGTCACCTCGCTGCTGAATCCCAGAACAAAGATCTGACCCAACTCTCTTTCTGTTCTACCAGATTTCCTTGACTGTCCTCTCTCTAAGCTCTCTTCACTTCTCTCTGACCTTTTTCTAGAGGAAGGGGAGAGGAGGTGGGAGAGGGAGTGTGGGAGGGACAAAGACAGAGGAACAGAGATGGGGAGGGAGGCAGAGGCAGAAGCAGAGAGACACACAAGGAAAGTGAGAAAGAAGGGAGGGAGGGAGAAACAGCAACAGAGAGATAGGGAAAAGGGGAAAGGGAGGGAGAGACCAAGAGAGAGACAGAAAGGGAGACAGAGAGAAATAGGGGACAGGAGAGAGAGTAGAGACAGAGAGACAAAGACAGAGAAAGAGAGACCCAGAGGTGGTGAGAGAGGGAGAGACAAAGAAAGATCAAGGGGAGGGAGGCAGAGACAGAGAAACACACACACACACACAAAGAAAGTGAGAGAGAGGAGTGAGAGACACAGAGAGATATAAAGAGAGAGGGTGAGGGTGAGACAGACACAGAAAGAGACAGAGAGATAGAAATAAGTGAGAGAGAAAGAGGAGAGAGAGAGAGAGAGAGAGAAAGAGAGAGAGAGAGAGAGAGAGAGAGAGAGGAGAGAGAGAGAGAGAGAGAGAGAGAGAGAGAGAAGGTGAAGGTGTCACCTGGAATTGTTAATTACTGGTTGCCTATAGTTTTGCCAACAGCCCTTCCTTCCCTGTATCTCTCAGGGCCCCGAGCGCTAGGGAGTAGTGTGGACATCTCAGCCCTGTGGGATGCATGTATGCATGTGTTAATGAGGCAGAGTTGGCAAGGTGTGATTTAGAAGAGGTACGCACAGGGTATGACAGTCCTCTCATCTGTCTTCAGCAGGTCCTGGAAAGGGGTGGCCCCTGGGGCTGCCCCCTTCCCAACTTAGTTTATCTTCTTGCTCCCTCTCAGCCTAGAGCTGGCCGGCGGAGGAGCTGCCATCTTCGTCTCCAGTCTTTATGGAGTGGATGGAGTGAGCCAGGACCCCCAAGTTCAGCCAAGAGGGGCAGGAGCCACGGTTGGGGTAAGTAGCAGCAGGAGAGATGTGTGAAGCTATGGAATGAGCTTCCTAGGACTTGGTGGAGGTGGGGCACTTCTCTATGGGCTATTTAAAGAATAGAAAGTCAGCACTCAGTTTGGGGAGTTTGAGGGAGGGATGGTGGTTGGAAAGACTAGGAAAGGGGGATGGGAGCAGGCTATAAAGACAGAGGAGAAAGCAAGGGAGAAGGACAGCGACTCAGGTAAAGATGAAAGAGGGATGAAAAATGAGGACATTGAATTGTGCGAGGTCGCCTGGCTAGCTAGTGATAGTGTTACAGGGGCAGCTAGGTGGCACAGTGGACAGAGTGCCAGTACTCAAGTCAGAAAGACCTGGGTCCAAATCCAGCCTCAGGCACTTACTGGTTGGGTGGTCCTGTGCAAGTCACTTAACTCCTTCAGTTTCCTCACCTGTGAAATGGGGATAATAATAGCACCTACCTCGCAGGGTTATTATAAAGATCAAATAAAACTCCGAATGAGCTAATATTTGTAAAGTTCTTAGCACAACGACTGATACATAGTAATTAATAAAAGCTTATTCTCTTTCTTCTGCCCTGATGTTCCAAGTTTTGTCTGTAAAGGTTTTCTCTCCCATCAGTGAGGAAGGAGCAGCACCCACCCATGTGACTTAAAAAAGCTCCTTGTCCAAGTTGAATAGAGAAAGAGCTTTTTTTTAAAAACAACAACAACAACATACATTTAGAGCAAAAGGGACCTGGACTCTTTGTCCGATCCCTTCATTTTGCAAATGAGGAAACTGAGACCCGGAAGAAAGCAACATGGTACAATAGAAAGCACCTCGAATTTGGAGCTGCAGGACCTGAGTTTGAATATTGGCTCTGCCACATACAGCTTGCGTGACTATAGGCAAGACCTCTCTGGGATGCAGTGTCCTCATCTGTAAAGGCAGAGGCCTGGACTTGATGACCTCTAAGGTCCTTTCCAGCTTTAAGTCTATATGCCTAAGGTTTGGCTTGCCCAGGGTCCCATCCATGTATGATATCTACTAAGTATTAGAGTTAGTATTTGAATCTCACATCTACATCTTACAATCCCATGTTGCCTGCTAGGGTCTTCCAGGCCCCATGACAGTGATCAGGGGCAAATAGGCAGGTCAGACCCACAGAATGTCAAGTAAAAGAAAATGAATCTTTTACGTGACAACTCTTTAGGTGTTCAAAGGAGGCTCTATTGCTGGGGTTCCCAACCTGGGGAGACTCCCAACCTGGGGAGACATATACTCTCAGGAGTATAAAAACCTTGTCAGAAAATATTTGATAAATAATTATGTTATGCTACTGAAATGAATTAATTTCTCTGTTTTATTCTTATGTTCACATACATGACAGATTGTAGGATATATTCCCTCTCATATTGAATAGGGGGTATGGGAAGCTTTACTGCAAGCCAAGAGGGTCAAGGACAAAAAGTTTGCAAATCATCTGTTCTGTTGTGTCTCACTTGAGCCTTTTTTTCCTCCAGGCTAAACAGCCTGGTTCCTACAACTGATCCTTGTATGACATTATTTTTTCCAGGCTGCTCAACACTTTGGTTATTCTCTGCTAGACATGTTCCATTTTATTGCTAATTGACCACTCCGTCCGAAGGCAGGGGGTTGGATCTGTTGACCTTTCCAAGTCTCTTCCACCTCTGTCTGGGAGGCAACCCTTTATGGTGGAAGGAGCACTGGATCAGGAGTCAGAAGAATAAGGTTCTAACCCAACTCTGCCACTGACTTGCTCTTTGACCCTCAAAGTTATTTCTTCTCTCTGGGCCTCAGTTTCTCTATCTGTAAAATGAAAGTGGAATGAAATTATATGAGGGAGAGGTGGGCAGGAATGATTTCTCTCTCATGATGTCTCTTCTGTTCCTCCCTTCCCCCCAGGCGCCCATTCCCTGAATTCTAAGACCTAAATGATATTGCTCAATCGATCAATAAGCATTTCTTAAGCACCTACAGTGTGCCAGGCGCTAAATATGCTAGGTACAAGGGATAAAAATACAAGCAAGCAAGGCAGTCCCTGCAATCAAGATGCTAACATTCTAATCAGGGAGACAAGATGCAAGTATACCAGGTGTCCCAAGAGCCTTAGGGCAGTTTTTAGCTTTTAAAGCTTAAACTTTAGTAGCTATTAAAGCTTAAAACTGCACAAAGACTTTTGGGACACCCTGTAAAAGTGTTTATAAAACACATGCAAACCAGACACAGAGTACCTTGGTGAGCAGGGGGAGGGCTAGCAGCTGGGGATGGGGAGGGAGCCCCGGAAAGGCAAAAGGCAAAAGGCAGCCCTTGAATTCCCTCTGGAAGGCAGAGCTGAAGAGAAGGGCATTCTACAATACGGGTAATGTCCGGGGCAAAGACACAGAGATGGGGAATGGGTGTGAGCAATAGTAAGAAGGTCGAGAGTGGCTGGAACATAAATTATACGAAGAGAGTCATGTGTAATAAGGCTAGAAAGGCAGGATAGGCCCAGGCTGTGGAGAGCCACTACCTGACTAGCTTCCTACCTACAGATCTAATAAGTACCTGATTTGAACTCAGGTCTTCCTGACTCCAGGTTCTGCACTCTATCTATTATGGGACACTTAGCTGTCTCATGATGAAATAGGCGGAGCAGGAACTATTATCCCTATTTCTCAGAGGAGCACACTAAAGCCCAGAGAGGTCAAGTGACTTATTCAATGTCACACAAACAATCAGGGGCAGAGCTGGGACCAGAACCGGTCTTCCTGACTTCTGGCCAAAATCGAACCCCCTCAGTCTGATTGCTGTTCCATGGTAGAATCTCAATGGCTGATTGTTGATCGTGGAGGGATGGGAGAGGCTAAGTGACTTGCTTCAGGTTACCCAGCAAAATCCAATCATGGAACCCAGATTGACCAATGGATCAGCACATATGCATGAAGCACTACTACTAATAATAGCTAGCATTTATAAAATGCTTACTGTGTGCCTGGTGCCATGCTAAGTGCTTTACAAATATTGTCTTGTTTCATCCTCAGCACAATTCCTGAGGGGTTGTTTTTGTTGTTCAGTCGTTTCAGTCATTTCTGACTCTTCATGACCCCATCTGGGGTTTTCTTGGCAAAGGTACTGAAGTGGTTTGCCATTTCCTTCTCCAATTCATTCTACAGATGAGTGGGGCGGAGCCATCGGAGTAAAAGCAATGACTTGCTTGAGCTCTTCCCCAAACCCCTTCATTTTACAGATGAGGAAACTGAGGCAAATCGGGTAAAGTGACTTGCCCAGGGTCACACAGGTAGTAAATATCCATGGAAAGATTTGAGCTCAGGAAGATAAGTCTTCCTGATTCCAGACCTGGCACTCTCTCCACCATGCCACCTAGCTCCCTAAGAGGTAGGTGCTGTTATTATCTCATTTTACAGATGACAAAAATGGGTTAAGTGATTTCCCCAGGGTCACATAGTAAGGGGCTGAGATCAAATTCTAACTGGGGTCTTCTTGACTCTAAGTCTAGCATTCTATTCACTGTACCACCTGGCTGCCCTCAATGTGCTTGGAATGGTTAATAAAGTTAATCTAGGCCATGAGTGAAGAACATGCAGCCCTCTAGGTCCTTAAGTGTGGCCCTTTGACTGAATCCAAGCAAGTTTGTGGCCCCAAGGCTGAAGGTTCCCCACCCCTGAATTCTAGTCCTACCGCAGGGAGCTGAGTGGCTGGATGAGATTTCAGGAGGGGGTGTCCAGTTTGGGGGAGACCCTTTGGGTTAGGGATGGGCCGCAAGGGGTAGTGTGGAGGAATGGAAGGACCAGGAAGCCAGGAGAGCTGGTTAATAGTCTCAGTTTTGACAAAAACTAGTTCTGTGTTCTTAGATAAGTCACTTCTCTCCATTTCTTCATCTGTAAAGTGGGGAGATTAGACTAGGAGGTCTTTCAATCTCCTTCAAGCTCTAAATTCTGTGATCCTCTGAATTTCTGCTCACTGGGCTTTAGGACGATCTCCTAACCTATCATCCCGTGATTGAACCAGGAGGAGAAGGATGGAGTCCACTCCAAGACTCAATGCCACCACGAATGACAACCACGACAGCCTGTCTGAGGCTCAACTTCGCCCCCTCTTTGCCACCCTCTGTGGCCTCATCCTGCTGGTTGGGTTGCTGGCCAATGGGCTGATGCTGCTTATCTTGGGCAGGGGCACCGGCTTGAGGGGCCAGGCCCCATGCCCGCTCCTGGCTCTGACCAATAGCCTCATGGTGAACATCACTGTATCGGATCTGGTCTTCCTGGTTTATGTGGTCCCCGTTTTGCTGCTGACCTTCCTCCAGGAGGACTGGTGGCTGGGCTCCTCCGTCTGTACCACCAGCCAGAGCTTCAACATGGGCACCATGTTCTGCACCTTCTACAGCATGGTGGCCACTGCCCTCCTACGCCATGCCGCTGTGGCCTTCCCCACCATGGCCTTCCCAGCTGGCAGAGGCACTCAGCTATTGCTCTGCCTGACCATGTGGATCCTGGGTTTCTCTGTGTCTCTGCCCAACTGGCTGTACCAGAAAGTGGTGGAAGAGGGCAGGGAAGACGGGGAGGAGGTGGCTGGGGGACCAGGATCGGAGCTCATCCATTCATGCCTGATGCTCCTGGGCCCCGCCCAGATCTCCTGCTATTTCACCCTCCTCGGGGCCCTGGCCTTCCTGCCCTTCGCCCTGATGCTGGTGCTCAGTTTCACTCACCTGGGCTGGCTGTTGTGGAGTGGGGAGTGGACCCAGGTCCCACTGGACGTCCGACAGCACCGAGAAGCCACGGGCCTCATCCTAGTGGTGTTAGTTGTTTTCGTAGTCATGTGGGGGCCCTGTTCTGTGCTGGGCTACGTGGCTGCCTCAGGAGACCTGCCCCATACCTTCACAGTCTTTGTGGCTACCAGCCTCTGCACCATTCTAGCCTATTCCAACTGTGCCGTCAGCCCGATTCTCTGTTTCTGCCTCTCGAGACAGTTCCAGGCAGGGCTCAAGGACCTCTTCTGCTGCTCAACCCTGGAAAGGGTAGTCTTAAGACATGGTGGGATAGTGCAGGGTGTCCAGGGAGGCGAAAGTGGGAGGGTGGGAGCCCCAGGGGGTCTATGGGGAACTCCTGCCTGAGGGGAGGGGGCAAGATGGAGAGCTGAGATGCTTAGAATCATAAACTCATAGAAACCCAAGAACGCAACTCATGCCCCAACTGATAAATAGTCAAAGGATATGAACAGGTAGTTTTCCAATGAAGAGATCAAAACAATTTGTAGTCATATGAAAAAAATGTTCTAAATCATTATTAATTAGAGAAATGCAAATTAAAATACCTTCTAGATATCATTTTACACCTATCAAATTGACTAAAATGATTGAAGGGGAAAGTGACAAATGTTGGAGGGGATGTGGAAAAATTAGGCATTAATTCATTGTTGGTGGAATTGTAAACTGATTCAACCATTTTGGAGAGCAATCTGGAATTATGCCCAAAGAGTTATTAAATTGCCTTTACCCTTTGACCTAGCAATACCACTACCAGGTCTATTTCCAAAGATGATTAGGGAAAAAGGAAAAGAAGCTTTATGTTCTAAAATGTTTATAGCAGCCCTCTTTGTGGCGGCAAAGGACTGGAAAGTGCAGAGATGCCCATCAAATGGGGAATTGCTGAACAGGTTGTGTTATATGATTGTGATGGAATACAAGAAATGATGCTACGAGAAATGATGAGCTCAATGATCTTAGGAAAACATAGAAAGACTTTCATGAAACAATGAAGAATGAAATGAGCAGAACCAAGAGGACACCGTATATGGTAACAGCAACATTGTTTTATGAACGACTTTGAACGAATAAGTCATTTTGACTACCGTTAAGTACCCAAATTAACTACAAAGGATATATGAAGAAAGATGCTATCTGCATCCAGGGAGAAACCTGATAAATAGAAATATGTATAGACTAATTATATATATAATGTGTGAGTATATGTGTGTGTGTATGTATGTATGTATGTAGATAGATAGATAGATAGATATAGATATAGATATAGATATAGATATATACCTATTTGTGTCTAAAGGTAGCCATCTCTGGGATGGAGAGGGGGGCAGAGAGTAAAAAGGAGGGGAAAAAGGAAATTTACATGATAACTTTGTTGTGTATTTAAAAGGAATAGCAAGTTGTATGTAGTGGTTTTGAGATTTCATGCGATCAGCTTTTTTGTTGTATTATGTTATGGAGATACTTGTTTTATTCCATAAATTAAAAAAAATAAAATTAAAAAATACACTCATAGGAACCACAGAATGTTCTAACGCTGAGAGTTGGAAGACGCCTTTGGGGTCAGGGTACATGAACAGGGCACTGGACTTGAAGTTAGGACACTTATGGTCATCTAATCCCAGCCCTTTAATTTACAGATCAGGCAGCTGAGGCCAGGGAAAGGGCAAATGACTTGTCCGATGGCACACAGCAAGTTAGTAGTGGAGAAAGACAGAATCTAGGTATCCTGAGTCCAAGGCCAGGGATCTTTCTTTTCTATCTTGCTTTTTCTTAGATAGTAGGTACCCAAATGGAGGGAATAGAGCAGATGAGGGATCTGAGGGAGAGACAACTGATGGATAAAGGTAAGGTTGAAGACTGAAGGACATCTCAGGAGAGGCAGCCAGAAGGGGTTAGGTCTAGGGTTGGGTCCAGGGAGAGGGTAATAGGCTATAGGAGTAAGTAAGGTATCTATAGGGATGAAAGGAAGGAAGAATGAGAGGCTAAGGAGAAATGTCTGATAGAAGCAGCAGAGCAGGGGCTGATGGTACCCAGAAGTGGGGAAAAAAGGTTGCATGCAGCTCATTGTTTCTTTTCCCTCCATGGCCTAGTCTCACAGGGCTCCTGATATTTTCTCCTCCCCTCCATTTCTTGGGTAGTTAACTTGACCTCTGATCTCATTGTTGTACAGGACTCCCAGTGTGAAAACTCCCTCCATCAATACAGGTAGCACCTGCCCTACAATTTATATAATTTTAGAGACTTGCCTGGAGCACTGAGTGACTTGTCACCATGTGACTTGCTCAGGGTCCCACCACTGGTATGTGTCAGAAGCAGGACTCAACCTAGGTATTCTTAACTCTTTTGCCAGCTCTCTATAACCTCCCCCTAAAAAAGGAACAAAAATAAAGTCAACAATTAAACAGCTTGTCTTGACCAATTAATCTCAGATATTCTCTCTTCCCCTTCTCTTAGCTTGGGGATTATGGGGTGAAGTGGAAGTAGGCAAGGGGTGTCAGAGTCAAGGAGAAATCTGTAAATGATGCCCAGGACCACAGGACGCCATCCCAGTCCATCATGGGATATAAAGTCTGTAAAGCTCAGCTAAGGAGTTTGGGCTTTATCCATGGGTCCAGGTTTCTGAGGTCTCTAGGCAAGAAAGATTCATTTTTTAGAAAAATATTTTTATTTTGTTAAATATTTCCCAATTACACGTACAAATTTTAACATTCATTTTTTAAAATCTTGAGTTCTAAATTTTCTCCCTCCTACCCTTACTCTACCTTTGAAATGGCAAACAATGTGATATTGATTATATATGTGAAGCTATGCAAGACATATTTCCATATTACTCATATTGCAAAATAAAACACATATACAACCAAGAAAAATAAAGTAAAAAAATTATGCTTCCATCTGTAGTCAGAGTTCATCAGTTCTGTCTCTGGAAGTGGATAGCATTTTTCATCATGAATTCTTTGAAATTTCTTGGATCATTGTATTGATTAGAGTAGCCAAGTCTTTCTCAGGTGATCATCGTTACAATACTGCTGTTACTGTATACAGTGTTCTCCTGGTCCTGCTCACTTCACTTTGCATCAGTTCATGTAAGTAGATAAAAAGAAGAAGCTATAGGTGGATCTTGGTTTAAAGAATTCTGTTCCATTCCAAACCATCATGCTGCCCTTCAATCCATTCCTTCCTATTCTCTCCTCATCTGTTTTCATTCTCTTGTCTTTTTTTTTTTGTCTAGGCAGTGGGGTTAAGTGACTTGCCCAGGGTCACACAGCTAGTAAGTGTTATGTGTCTGAGGCCGGATTTGAACTCAGGTCTGCCTGAATCCAAGGCTGGTGCTCTATCCACTGTGCTACCTAGCTGCCCCTGTTTTCATTCTCTTAAGGAAGGCCTTGAATTCAGGCTATGGGTTCTAGACTTTAACTGGTGGATAACAGAAAACCACTGAAGAGTTTTGAACAGAGGGAGGCATGATCAGACTGGTGCAATGTGGAGATTAATCTAGCTGTGCCATGGTTTCCCAGAGAGATGCTAAAGGCAGGTGGGCTATTGCAATGGCTGAGCAAGAGGGAATGGTGGTCTGGATGGGGTAACAGTGGGAGAGGAGAGGAGGAAGCAGCACAGGGGAGCCAGCTGTTCACACGCAGGATTCCCATTCTCCTGTGTTATCAGGTCTCTATTTTTGATTCTTGTCTGATTGGCAGGGACTCCCTAGAGGTCTCACCTAAGGTGCCCCTCCTCCCTCCTCTGCCCCTCATTTTAGGGATGCATAAACAAAGGTTTCAGGGCAACAGAGTTGGTGGGAGGAGCTGTTCTTTACCAGAATTCTGTGGGGAAAAATCCCATTGTAATGTCAGCAAGCGTACCCTGTCCTGGCTTGCTTATATGGGCCAGTCTCCCTGGCTTGTTCTGCTGGGAGTTAGAACACTGGTGGTTTCTAGAATTGAGGAATGGAAGACTCAAATCTTCACTCAACCACTTCCTGTCTAAGTGACATTGGACAATCAACGTGCATTTGTGAAGCACTTGCTCCAGATCTGACCTTTGACAGTTACTACCTTTGTGACTGAGGCAGCTAGGTGGCTCAATAGAAAGAGTGCTGGGCTGGGAGTCAAATATGGTGGCAGACACTTCCTAGCTGTGTGACCCTGGGCAAGTCATTTAACCCCTGCTTGCCTCAGTTTCCTCATCTGTAAAATGAACTGGAGAAGGAAAGGGCAAACCACTCCAGTATCTTTGCCAAGAAAACTCCCAAAAATAAGACTGAAATGACTGAACAACACCTGTGTGACCTTGGGCAAGTCACCTTAACCTCCTGGGCCCCAGGCTCCTCTTCTGTAAAATGAAGAAGTTAGATGACATAACCTCTTATAAGTCTTCCAGTTGAGTCTATCATCCCTAATGAGAGATATAATATAGAGGACAGAAAGCTGGCCTTAGAAGGAAGACCTGGGTTCAAGTCTTGCCTTTAACATATCCTGGATGTGTGACCCTGGGCAAGTCACTGAATTTCTCAGTTCCCTGGGCAGCTCTCTTGGCCTATCAGTTGCAAATCTGCTTTGGTACAGGGAGTTTCTTCACCATAAGTATCCTACGCCAATAAAATAAAATAGAACATCTGAACACACACACACACACACACACACACACACACACACACACACACACACTGAAAGGAGGCCCTGAGCTGAAGATAAGGTTCCCTTGCATTGGTTCTAGAAAGCCACAGTTCTCCCCCAGGACAATCTTTTGCACCCCATAAGAGTCAATTTGCTCCCACCTCAACCAAGTTATTTAGATTAGCTGAACTGAGTCAGAGACTGAATTGGAACTCAGGGCTCCCTGATTCCAGGTCCAGAGCTCTGTTCACTGAATCACCAGCTACTTTTAGTCCCAGTTTCAAGTCTCTGTTCAAGTGCCACCTTCTTCATAAAGCTGTCCTATTTCCCCCAGTTGTTAGGGCCCTCTGCCAATATATCCTCCATCACTCAGCATTCATTCATTCATTCATTCATTCATTCATTCATTCATTCATGTATTTATTTACATCCTGTGTTTATGTCCCTGTGGACAGGCGGACCTCCAGGAGAATGCAAGCTTCTTGAGGGCAGAATCTGTCACTTTTGAATTTGAATCCCTAGCTAGATGCCATGTAGGAGGCACTTAGTCAATATTCGTTGGTTGATCAGCTAGGATGGTGTATGAATCACACACACACACACACACACACACACACACACACACACACACACCCCAGTACCAGGCCCTTTCTGCTTGGTGAACCAGTGATAAGTCTCCCAGTTGTGCCTTCCACCCTTCCATGTCATGGGGGGCATCAGGGGAGGAGTGTAGGCCCTGACTTTTCTTTCTCCAATCCTCAGTCTGGCTCTCCCGTTCTTCCCCTTTCTCCTCTTCTTCCTCCCTCTTTGGGTCTCCTCTCTGACCTTTCCACTCAGGTCCTTAGAGAGATCATCTAATCCAATCATTTCATTTTACAGATGAGGAAACTGAGTCCCCTGTATGGCTCAGCCCAAGGTCACATTCATAGTAAATAGAAGACTTGGAGTTAAAACTGAGGCCCTTAAGCTAATTCTTATTTCCCTGCTTTACCCTTCTACTTATCACCCTAAAGTTCTTCCTCCTGTCCTCCAGGAACCCCGATTTTTCCAGAAGCTCTCCTCTGTTCCGAGAAGGAAAGGGATGGGACTGCTGTCCTTGGTCTAGGAAAGCCTCCTTGTGTCCAGTCATCAAGGCATACTCTCAGAGCTGTTTCTTCAGCTTTGGGGATGGATGAGTACCCAGAACCAGTCACATTCCCAAGTGGGGCCTCCTGTGACCTGTTGGACACATTTGTGAGACAGCTGGCTGGAGGGTTGGGCTGTTTGCTGCCAGTGGCCGGGAATGGGGCCAACCTAACTGCCCCCCCCCCACAGGAGGTGGAGCCCTGCCTTCATTAGCACTGTGCTCTAACCACTGAACCCACCAGCCCTGCCAACATGCAGCACTCCCTCATGGTTCAGATACTCTGCGACCTAATTTCATCTGTAAAATGGGGATTTTGTACAAATCTCATTTAATCTTTAAAATGAGGATAATGAGAAGGCAGGGGTCCATGCAGAGATAGAGCTTTGGCAAGATGGGGAGACAGGAAACCCAGGTGTCAGTCAGGTGCCAGTGCTACTCTGAGGCCTTACACAGGTTATAGGATTTACAGCTGGATGGGATGTTAATGACTAACCCGTAGGAATCAATTTCCTCATTTTATAGATGAGGAAACAGGTCCATGGGGGTGGTGGGGAAGGGAAGAGAATTTCCAAAGGTCACACTGGTAGTCAGTGGCAGAGCCAGGATTAGAACCCAGGGCTTCTCACTCCAAATCAGTTGCTTTTTTTCACTACAACAAATCAATTTATAAGCCCACAAAATTGGAAAGCGGCTTTTTTTTGGGGGGGGGGGTGAGGCAACGGCATTAAGCAACTTGCCTAGGGTCACACAGCTAGTAAGTATCATGTGTCTGAGGCTGGATTTGAACTCAGGTCCTCCTGACTCCAGGGCCAGAGCTCCATCCACTGGGCAACCTAGCTGTCCCATGGCTTTTGAAGTCATCTGAACCAACCTCTCAAGGCCATAGCTAATCACAACAACAATAATGAGAAGAATGAGAATGAGAATAATAATAATAATAATAATAGCTAGCATTTATATAGTTCTAATTACATGCTAAGTGCTGTACAAATATTATTTCATTTGATCCCCCATAGCAACGCTGAGAGGCAGGTACTAGTATTATCCTTATTTTACAGTTGAGGAAACTGAGGCAAACAGAGGTTTAGTAACTTGCCCCAAGGTCACACAGCTGGTGTCTGAGGCTGGATTTGAATTACTTTAGAAGGCTGATGATGAAGCATGTTACCCACCTCCTGCCAGAAGTGACTGATGGATTCACAGAGTGACAGACACATTTTTTGAGACGGCCAATATAGAAATTTGTTTTGCTTGACTGTGCCTGTTACAAGGGTTTTCTTTTATTTTTATTTTAAGAGGAGAGTAGGTGAGGAGAGAAATTATGTTTATGAAAAAAATTAATTTAATAAATTTAATTAAAAAAATAAAAAATAAAAATAAAAAAACCCCAAGCCATTATTAAGTACCTGATGTACTTAATACTCCACTAGGTTGTGGGGATACAAAGATAAAAATGAAATAATCCTTGTGTTCAAGGAGTTTCTTTCAATAGGAAGAAACAACGGGTTCATGTAGACATAAATACAAATACGTATTAAGTAAATATAAGGTAGTTTGGTAGGAAGTAGGCGCCAACCAGAGCTCAGGCCAGGAAAAGAGTAAACGCCTTGCCCCTTATCATATCACCTTGGAAGAAGTGAAAATTTACAGGTCCCTAGAAGTATCTCTGAAAACAGCTGCACAAAACCCCCAAAGCTTGGGACAGTACATTCTCCACATTGGAAGCAAACTCTTACCTTAACAAAGATTTTAAAACTCAAGTAATTGTCCGGGATCATGAGCAAACCTCGCAAAAAGAGTCAGACTGTATTATCTTACTTTGGTGAAAAGAAGATGAAAACATACAACCAGAAGAAGACAACAAAGTCAAAGCTCCTACATCCAAGGCCTCCAAGAAAAATATGAATCAGTCCCAGGCCTTGGAAGAGCTCAAAAGGGATTTTGAGAAGCAAGTGAGAGAAGTAGAGGAAAAACTGAGAGTGATGCAAGAAAATCACGAAAAACAAGTCAACAGCTTGCTAAAGGAGACCCCAAAAAATACTGAAGAAAGGAAGTAGGCGCCAGCAGCTGGAGGGAAGGCCTCCTATGTAGGAGGTGGCACTTGAGTTTTAAAGGAAGATAGGGATTAAAAGGGTACAGGTAGGCGCACAGAGTGCCAGGCCTGGAGTCAGGAAGACTCATCTTCCTGAGTTCAAATCCAGCCTCAGGAACTTACTGGCTGTGTGACTCTGGGCAAGTCACATCACTCTATTTACCTCAGTTTCCTCATCTATAAAATGGGCTGGAGAAGGAAATAGCAAACCACTGAAGTGTCTTAGCCAAGAAAACCCCCAAAGGGGTTATGGAGAGTCAGACAAGAGTGAAACAACTGAACAACAACAACAAAGGATTTTAAGAGACCGACATAAGGAGGAAGGCATGAGGCAAAGGCCTGGAGATGGGAAAATTAATATCTGGTATGAAGAACAACAGATAGGTCAGTCTGGCTGAAATATAGAGTTCATAAAGGAGAGGAATGTATAATGTCTCAAAATGAAGGCCAGACCCAGATGGGGAAGGCCTTTAAATGCCAAATAAAGGGGCAGTTAAGTGGCACAATGGATAAAGCACCGGCCCTGAAGTCAGGAGGACTTAAGTTCAAATCTGGCCTCAGACCAAACACTTGACATTACTAGCTGTGTGACCCTGGGCAAGTCACTTAACCCTGACTGCCTCACTAAAAAATAAATAAATAAATAAATAAATGCCAAATAGAGATGCTAGTATTTTGTCTCAGAGGTAATAAGGAGTCACTGAAGGTTTTTAAGCAGGAAGGGTGACATGGTTACAATGTCCAGCTCTGTAAAAAATGAGAGGGTTGGTCTACAGCAAAGGCCGCAGTGGGGCCTGCAGCATTCCTGAGTGCCGCCTGAACCAGTTTAAAATGTCACTGGGAAATATTTAACAAAATGAGTAAAAATAAGCAAGAACAGAGATAATGTTACAAGTGGTTTTCTAATTCAATAAAAGCATGGCAGCTTGCAGGGATCTGGCTTAGGGGCCCTTTTTCTATTTGAGCTTGACATCACCGGTCCAGGTGACCTCTAAGGTCCCTCCCAGCTTTGACCCCGTGGCTCTGCCCATGTCGCTGTGATGGGTTTACTCCTCCCCTTCAGTTCTACCACCTGGTTAGGACTTCATCCAGGTTGGCTATAGGCCCCAGAGAGATTCCCACAGAACAGGAGAAAAGCGAGGACCACTGCTTTTAGTAAAAGGACTCAATTTATTCCGGTTTAAGGCAGTGTCAGTACATAGCAGCTCCCACTAAAGACTCCAGAGAGGACAACACGGGTTAGAAATACAACCATCATGCACAGAAAAAAGAGGAACAGGGCTGGACAGGTGGCCAGAAGGCAGCTCCAGGCTGGGAGCCCTGGGCTTTGAGCATAGATGTATCACTTGGGAGCTGGGCAGACAAGGATGTGTCTCAAAAGGGGAGCTGAGGGAAGCTGAGTGTTCAGTGGGCACAAGCAGCCCCATGCAGCAGGACGGACTGGCATGCATCACTGACTACCTACTTGGGGGTCAAGGGTGGGCATGTGGGGAGCCAGCCTCTCAGTGTCACCGGTCACCCAGAGAGAACACCTTCCCAGGTTGGGGCAGAGATAGCCCTCGTGCTGGAGAGCTGCATTTGGGGTTGTGGGGCCCACTTCTGCTATGACAGGAGTTAGGACTGGATACAGCTGGGGTACTTCATACTCAAAGGGGTCCACATCTGGCACAGACTACTGACAAGACATTACTCCAGGGAGGGAAAATTTGCTTGGCCTGGGTACTGGGGATATGGGTTTGCTGCATCCACAACCCAAATCTCTCTCCTTTCCAGGATCTGAAATTCCACTATTAGAGATTCATTTCTTTGGGTCTGGTTTGGGGGTCTTCAGTGACCCCCAATATCATGCAAATATTCCCTTATCATACTTAAGTTATTGTGGGGCAATATCTTAGCAATGGAAATAGGAGGGAGTACAGCTATGTGGGTGGCAAGTAGAGGGGTCAGGTTACCAGGGGAGGTGGAAGGGTATGAAGGGTAATACCCTCTTGTTTGCTGCACACTTTTGTCAGAGGGTTGGCCTTGCACAGGCCTGAGTGTGGACTGCCCCACAGCCCCCTCCCTCCCTACCATTGTGCCTGGCTGGCAGATTCTTTAACACCCTCCTGAAGCTCAGACTGGCCAGGAAAGAAGCCAGAGAGAGGTGAGAGTGGAAAGGTTTCTGAGCCCCTCCCTCCTCCTGTCCCCCTCAGGGGCTGGGTCAGGAGGTAAGCCGGCAGGTGGAGGTGGAGGGGGAAGGCTGGCAGAAGCTCCCCATCTGGTTGGCTCAGCTCCAGCAAGAGCCCTGGGCCCTTCAGTTCCTGGGAAATCCTTTGTGGGGGAAGGGAAAGGCTTAATGCCCTCTGTCCTTGAGAGGAGAAGTCTGCCTTCAAAGTGTTGTACCTCATTTGGCAAGGGTGACAGGAGGCAGAGAGCCCAGGGACTCTGGAGGGACACAGCCTGCTGGGGGCTGCTTTAGCGCCTCAAGCTTCATCCTGGCTCCTGATTTGACACACTCTGATTCTCTTCTATGCCAAGCCACTGGGTCTCTCCATTATTCTATGTAGCCCTGCCCCCCTGGTCAGTCCCTCTTCTTTGCCCCACTCCTCAGCAGGTCCAGATGTTTGTGACACAGGCCATGGGGTAGATGAGGAGAAACAGAGGAAAGAGTCAGGGCTCTGGGTGGGGAGTACAGCTGGGCTGGTGCTGGGCCTGGCCAGGAACTCTGGCAGAGTCAGAGGCATGGTGAGGGGTTCCACCTAGGGGGTCCCAGGCTCATGCCTTAGACTCTACCCACTCTGGTCACTGTGGATCACTGGATGTGGTGGGAAAGGGCCTTGGGGATGATCCAGCCCAAATCCTCATTTACAAATGAGAAAACTGAGCTGCCCCTCCTCCCCCTCTCCCCCCTAGGGGTGAGTGACTTCTCAAAGGTCACACTAGTAGTAAATGATAGCTGGAATTTGAACCTCAGTGGGGTGTGTGTGTGTGTGTGTGTGTGTGTGTGTGTGTGTGTGCAGACGCATGTCCCAGGGAATTCTCCTCTTCCCACCCTGCCTGTGCCTCATCCTTAGATGTTTGTGTGCATAGGGGAGGCAGGCGGAGTGTGTGAAGGGGACCGAGATGGGGTGTGGGCAGGAGGTCCCGGGGGTGGGCGGGGACGAATGCCTTGTGCTTTCATGTAGGATACCAGCTGGTCAGGGATCTCAGCCAGTACATCTCTGGCCAGGCGAGCCATGCTGAGCACATGATTCCCTGTTCGGTCCACATAGTCCCGGAATGGCACAAACTGGAGAAACAGAGAAAGGTTGTCAGATCAGGCCTCTCGCAACATCCTCCCTCCAATCAGATCACTGCACCCCCTCCACCCCCTCAGCCAAGGGAAACAGGCACAGGCTGCTCTTAAGGACACCCTCCTCCTAAGGGTGTGGGGACTTCTCATATGGTCAGAATTTAGTATGACTGCAACTACTTAAAAATTCTTTTGAGTTCATGAGGCTATTACAGCTCTTTTGAATGAAGTTTTTGGTGCCATCCTGTTCAAAGTACAGTCATAATCTCTAAAAGGAACATGGGAGATTTTTGCAGTGCAGTTATGGTTTTGTAGGACCCTGACCTAGGCTTATAGCAAGGACCCCTTCTCTAGGGATTTGTTTCTTATCTGTTTCATCTTCTTCAGTGCCTCTGATACCACTAACGTTTATGAAAAGTTGGACATGACTGAACAACAACGATAAATAGGGAGCAGCTGAAGGTCCTGGGACAAGATGGTAAAAGCATGAGAAGGATAAATGAAAGGCAGAAGGGACTGGGAAAAGGAGGCTAACAGGGAAGGAACTGCAAGAGTCTAGGGGTAAGGAGATGAAGATGGTGTGTGACTGTGGACACAAGAGGAGAAGAAGGTGGTTAATGAAACCTATCCCTCTTGCAACCCTCCTCTTGTATTTGACTTCCAGGACACCACTTTACTGGGTGTCCCCTCCCCTCTCTGGCTATTCCTTCTACCTCCCCTGTTCATTATCACCACTGTTTCCCGAGACTCAGATCCACGCCTGCTGCTCCTCTTCCTCTGATCAGCTCTTGTGCTTCCAATTACCACCTCAACATGGAGAATTCCCTGACATTTCTATCTCCAGCCCAGACCTTTTTCCAGTCTTCCTCAGTTCAGGCACTTGCAAGAGAGTTCCATTTATAGATTTGACCAAGATCTTCAATGCGGAACGATTACCTATCTCCCCTTTTCCTGTCACTTCTGTTGCCTTCTCTTGATCACTCTGTGATTATCAAGGACACCACTGCATTTGTTGCTTTCAAACTTCTGGAACTGTTTCTTATTCAGTGTTTACTCATGCCTAGGGATCCAATTAGGGCAACTAGGTAGTATGATAAATAGAGTACCATGCCTGAACTCAGGAAAACTCATCTTCCAGAGTTCAAATCTGGCCTCAGACACTTACTGGCTGTATGACCCTGGGCAAGTCACTTCACCCTGTTTGCCTCAGTTTCCTCATCTGTCAAATGATCTAGAGAAGGCAAACCACCCCAGTATTATTGCCAAGAAAACTCCAAATAAGGTCATGAAGAGTCAGACATGACTGAAATGATTGAACAACAAAAAGGGACCCAGTTACCATAGAACATCATTGTTGGAAGGGACCTCAAGGGACCATCTAGTCCAACCTGTATGTGGCCAAGAGCCTCCTCCAGTATCCTCCAGCCTTTGATGGGATTTCCAATTTCTGTCAATGCTTTCTTTTCAACATTTCTCTCTACCCATTCCTCTCTTGTGTTCACAGTCATGCACCATCTTCATCTCCTTACCCCTAGACTCCTGTAATTTCCTCCCAGTTAGCCTCTTTTTCCCAGTCCCTTCTACCTTCCATTTACCCTTCTCATGCTTTCATTGTCTTGCACAAGGACCTTCAGCTGCTCCCTATTTATTGTTGTTGTTCAGTCATGTCCAACTTTTCATAACCCTGTGGACCACAGCATCTCAATACTGTCCGTGGGGTTTTCTCGGGAAAGATATTGGAGTGGTTTGCATTTTCCTTCTCTGGTGGATTAAGGCAAACAGAGGTTAAGTGACGTGCCCAGGGTCACACAGCTAGCAAGTGTCTGAGGTTGGATTTAAACTCAGTTCCTGACTCTAGGCCCAGCACTCGATCCACTGAGCCGCTCAGCTGCCTCTCTCCCAGAGAAATAGACAACCCAACGGAACACAGATACGGACACTTAAGGAAAGCCACTCAGGTCACCAGATTCCCTGGAGCTACACTGCCGTGCCATGATGAGGTGTCTTCGTCTCCTTCCTACCAACATACCCAGTACAAAGGATACAGTATAAGGACCAGATTAGGAACACCAGCCCAGAGGCATAGGCTCCATCTTCAGATGGGAAGAAGTCTATGTTCTCCAATTCTCACAGCTCACTTTTCTTGTCCCGAATCCCTGGCTGTGGCGGCAACAAAGTCCCTGGAGGGCAGGGACTGTGTCTGCTATTACCTCTGTAATATATACACTCACCAAAGCTTCTGGTACAATGTTCTGTTAGGTACCTAATGAACCAGTCAATTATTTGATCACAAAATAGCTAGAGTGTCTACCATGTGACTGGCACTATGCCGGGGGATACAGAAAGAGTAAAGACATGACCACTGTAGCTGGACTGGCAGAACAAAGATAAGGAGAAGAAGGAGGGGACAATACAGCAGAATGGCCAAACAAATGGTATCGATTGGGAGCGCTAGCTGGGCAAGGTCAGGAAAACGGAAGATTGGTCAGGGGTGGAATGGTCAGCGAAGACTTCCTGAAGAAAGTAGGCCTTGAGCTGGGTCTGGAAGGATGAGGCAAAGTAGGATAGATGGGGAGGAGGGGGAGGGAGAGTGCGACTCTTTGTGTGTGTGTGTATGTGTGTGTGTGTGTGTGTGTGTGTGTGTGTGTGTGTGTGTGTGTGTGTGTGTAGAAGGTCCTTAAAAATGGGTAGGATTGAAAAAGGTGGAGAATGGAGTGGGGGGCAGGAAGAGAGGGACAGACACACATGTCAATGAACAGAGGGAGGTGGGTAACAAGTCCGAAACGTTTGGAGATAATTCAGAGACTGTCCTGAACTGGATCATCCCAGAGTTCCAAGTACTTTTCTTCCTTTGCCCTGTCCAGTGAAGCCCCCATGACAGAAGGGAGGGCACCATATTCATCTGGGAGACAAGAAACAGGCAAGGTGGGTAACTCAGGGACATGGGGCATTTGGGCAGTTACCTGGACGATATCCCGCTCTGCTAACTTCCCCCGGGAGGAGATCCGAATGTCGTCACCATCTAGCTCAACCATGGCTGCACCAAGAAGGAAAGATCATGAAGGTTTAATTGAGGTATGGGCCTGACCAGACCATAGCAGGGGTTCTGCCTGGGGGGGCTCCCCCTGAATCCATGGATTCCCACATCTCTGCTCTCTGTCACAGACTCATAGAATGTCAGCATTGGATATGACCTTAGAGACCATCTAGTCTGGGGGCCACCAACCTGAGGTACACATACCTTCAGGCTGTAGAAAAGCTTGTAAAGAGGGTCTAGGGAATATCTGGTAAATAGCTCTATTGTCCTATGGAAATATTTCAAAATACTAGTGCTAGTGAACAAATGTTCCTATGTACCAAGTAAAGTTTTTTTTTTTAATGAAAAATAATCTTTTTATTTTAGTTATTTCTTTTGTATATATGCACAGTAAATGCTGGACTTTATTTCCTTTTATATTGAAGGGAATTCTACTGGAAATCAAGGGATACAGAGAGGGAAAATGCTGGGAGCCTCTGACCCAGTTCAAGCCTTCATTTTTCTTTCACCTAGAACTGTAATCACAAGGAGCTGTGGTTTGACCAGGGTGGGTACTCTCCCCACTGACACAAATCACTGTCTCCCTACAGCTTAGTTGAGAACCTTGAGGGTTGCCATAGCTGAGAAACTGGTCACCTGGAAGCCAAACAGGTGATAAGCCAGCCTCTCTGTTCTTAATCAGGCTGGCCCCTGGACAATAGACACATAGCCTCTCCCAAGGCCACTACCTAAAGCCAGAATGCCAGGGTCTGTTCTTTGCTGACAGAGCCTTTGAGAACCCAGGGTCACCTCCTATGCCAGGACCGAGAATCAGAGGAAGGAGTTAGTCCCTCATTTTACAAGGGAGGAAACCGAGGCCCAGTGAAGGGAATTGACTAGCACAAGGTCTCATGGTGAAGGGCAGAACTGGAATGAACCAGAGCTTCTAGATTTCCCCCTCAGAGATCTTTCCTTGATATGATAGCATATGCCAATCCGCTCTTCCTCCCCCAGGTTCTCAAAGTCGAGTGAGGGGAGTGGTTTTGGGGAGTTGTCAGGCAGGGCAGTGAGGGAAGGCAGCTGAAGGATGACTCTGAGAGCTTTGCACGCCTGAGGCCAGTGCATAAGAGCTGTGTGTGTTCACAGACGTTGGGAACTACCCCACACATTCTTCTTTTTACAAATAGCACTCTGTGCACTCACCTGCCCCTAGGGATGGCCAGGCATACGCACATACATGCATACATACATGTGTATATACACACACACACACGTATATATACATATATATACCCACACATTCACTCACTAACTCACAAATATCTCATTTCATTACTTCATTGCTTCCCAAGTGTAGATTTTCCACTCTAGCCATGCACATAGAAGGCAGCAGGTAATAATAATCATTATCATAATGATAGCTAACATTTATATAACGTTCATAGTGAAGAGGGGACCAGCTCTGGAGTCAGAGAGTACAGGTTCAAATTCTGCCTCTGATGTTTAGTCCATGTGTGACCTTGGGCAAGTCACTTAACTTCCCTCAACCTCAGTTTCTTCATCTGTAAAATGAGGGGAGCGCTCTAGATGACTTGACCTCTGAGTTCTCTTTCAGGTCTAGATCCAAATCCTATAAATTACTTGTCCCTTGTCCCCTGAATGTGAATTTCCCATTTCTGTCTTTGCACATCATTCTTAGAACCCTGAATTTGTCCTCCCTCCGCAGGCCCCGACCCTCTCCACCAGCCTGATTGAAACTCTTCCCTTCCCAGAAGCCTTCATGCCACCAGTACCTGTCCCCTTAAGACCTATACACAGTGTTTGAAACATGTAAATGTAGCCACAGTTTGCAAAATTCACCTGGTTTCATAGGAACATAAATTTAGAGCCAGAAGGGACCTTAGAGGTCATCTAGGCCATCTGGAGAGGTTTGTTTGAGAGTGCTTGGGGAGAAGAGGAGGGAGGAAATGTCCCCACATGTCCTTTACGTGTTTAAATTCTGTCCCCTCTTAGGACAATGATGATGGTCATGAAAATGATGAAAATAATAGCTGACATCTGTATAGCACTTTGCTGTTACACAGATCAATTGATCCTCCCAATGCCCCTGGGAGATAGGCAGAGCAGGAGTTTTTAATCGTCATTCTACAGATAAGGAAACTGAGTCAGAAAAAGGTGAAATGATCTGTCCAAAGATTACATCGTTTGTCAGTGGTGGTGCAGAGCACAAGATGACACGTCTACACAACCAGTGGTGAGCCCTCTAGTCTTGTTCTTTCTCATTCTCATGAGCGCACACACACACACCCCACTTCTCCCTACTGGCTTTTCTTTCCTCTCATACGCACTCTCTTCTTTCTGTCTTGTCTCCCTCACTAGCTCTTCTCACACATACTCTTTCTCCACTCTGTTTCTTTCATAGGCTTTTCTTTCTCTCTTCTATTTCTTTCACACAAGCTCTCTCTTTTATAAGCTTTCTCTCTTTCCTCTCTCACATTCTCTTCTATATCCCTCGTACACACATTCTTTTCTCCTCTCTCTCTTACACACACACACACACACACACACACAGACACACACACACACCCTCTCCTTTCTCCCTTCCCCTTTTGCTCTTTCTCTTTTTCATTCTCTTCTCTCTCCCCCTCCCTCTCCCTCTTCTTTCTCTTATCTCCTCTCTCAATCTCTCTTAATCTCTCTCTCCATCTTTCTCCCTTTCTCATGCAGTCTCTCTCCTCTTTCTCTATCTCCTTTTTCACCTTCTCTCTCTTCTCTCTCCCCTCTCCCCTCTCCCAATCTCTCTCTTCCTCCTCCTCTCCTCCTCCTCCTCCTCCTCCTCCTCCTCCTCCTCCTCCTCCTCCTCCTTCTTCTTCTTCTTCTTCTTCTTCTTCTCTCTCTCTCTCTCTCTCTCTCTCTCTCTCTCTCTCTCTCTCTCTCTCTCTCTCTCTCTCTCTCTTTCTCTCTCTCTCTCTCTCTCCATCTCCTCTCTCATAAAGGGAGCAGTTGGAGCCCACCCCATGGGTCCCATGGTGCTCCTAGGGAAGCATAGAATAATAGGAAAGGAAGAAGCAAAAGGAAAGCAACTGGGTCTTACCATCAAACTCAGCCTGGCCAACGCCCACGATGATAATGGACATGGGGAGTTTGGCAGCCTGTTGGGCAAAGAGCACCAGCAAGGGAAGCCAGAGGGGAAACAGAACACAGAGAGAGAGAAGACGCAAAGAGATGGGGACGGGGTGGAGGGAACAGCATAAAGGGAACAGCAGACAGAGAGAAAAGACGTAGAGTGAAAGGGATAATAAGACAAAAAGTGAGGGAGGCATAGAGAGAACAGAAAGAAAAAGGGAGAGGCAAGGTAAGAGGAAAAGAGTAAGACCAAAGAAAAGTCAGAGGACAAGGGATGACAAAAAGACAGACAGAGGACCAGAAACAGGGAGAAAGACAGGGAGAGTGGGGATTGGTCTAAAGTCTGATACCCCAGAGTAGCAGGAGCCCACCCAGGACAGCCTCTTCCCCTCTTCCTTTTTCTCCAAACTTGACTTAATGAATAAGAACCTGACACTACTGAGTTGGCAATCTGAGATCCTTCTAAGTTTTATTTGGGGCAGGGAGAGAAACTAGGGCTGCTACCACCTCCCACCCAGGCAGAGGACCCAGCCATGTCCTCCAGGACTGCTCTTGCTGAGTTTTCCTTTCCTCCATAGATTCAGGCCCCTTAATGGTCTGAATTCACATGGTCCAAAGCTAAAAAGGCAAAGAACCTCAGGTTCCCTCCCACATTCTCCCTACAACTCTATACCCACATGCAGGACAAGGTTTCAGGCCAAACATCGGGGGTCTAAAAGCAAGGCCACAAAAAAGGAAGGTGAGCAAAAGAAGGTCCAAAGCCACTCCCGTGCATGACATTTCCTCCAGAATCCCACCCAAGAGTCTTCCCATTGCATCCCCTCAGACTCACGTTGACGATGGCTTCCTTGGTCTGCGCCATGTCTGAGATGACCCCATCTGTGATGATCAGCAGCACGGAATACTGGGAGCCATCTTGCACAGTTGCCGCATGCCTTTCGGGGTTTTGGGGGGGGGGTTAGGTGACAGAGCTCTAATCCCATGCCTGGGCAGGGTCTGAAGAGGGGATGGAGTGGTCTCTATACATAATCACCTTCCCTTACTCCCCCACCCAGGAAGAGGAACTCTGTGTATGAAACTGAATGAGAAGGCCCTGAGAGAGGTTGGAGCAAGGTATTGGTGCCAATGTTTTGGGGGTTCTCCTAAAGGCACTGGGAAGGAATGTCTCTTCAGAGATGAGTTGGTGTCTTTGAGAAGGGGGTGAAGGGAATGGTTTCTCCTGGAAGGGTGTGAAAAGGGACTTACCTGGCCACATGAGTGACCACCGGTGCAAAGTTGGTGGGGCCATAGAGCTGCACGGTGCGAAGGCTTCGGTGATAGGCCTCGAGGATACCATCAATACCACAGCAAGAGGGGTTATCCGGATTGCCATTCTAGGAGCAGAGGACCAGCAGACTCCCAGAAAGGGGAGACAAGGGAGGAGATGGGGAAAAGGATCGGAGGCAAACAGGTGAGACACCCAGGGGCAGGGAGGGAGGGGCAAAGCTTGAGGTGGCCAGAAAGGGAACAAGAACAGTTCTATATCACAGGGAAGGAGGATGGGAAGATCAATCTGCAACCTGGTCCAGATGATGGAATGAAAATATTCCAGAATGACTCTAAAGCACTTTGGAATTATGCTTTTAAAAAAGTGCCTAAACATCCATACTCGTTGATGCAGAGATGCTACTGCCAGGCTTATAAGGCAGTCAAAGTTGGAAAGAAAAGTCCCATTTGGCCAAATTTAGCATCATTTTGGGGGGTAGTAAAGAACCAGAAACAAAGAGATGCTCATCAATTAAGGATTGAAATGAAGATGAGATGAAATGAATGTATTGGAATATTATCGTGTCTTAGGAAGAATGAATAAGAAGTAGGATGAATTCAGAGGTGCAGGGGAAGACTTATGAAGTGATGAAGAGTGAAAGAAGCAGAACTAGGAAAACAATATACACAATCACTACAGTAATGTAAATGCAAAGCAAATAAGCAAAAAGAAAAAAACTCAACAAAAAAACCCCCCAAAACAAATAAACAAAACCTATGAAGCTTAATCCTGCTTAATGACAGAGATTGGTCCCAAAGATGAGAAAATGCACCTCCCCTCCCTTATTTGCAGAACTGGGGAACTATGGGTGTGGAACATTGCATGTACTGTAAGACTTCATTGCTATTGCTTGCTTGTTTTTTTTTTTATTATTATTATTACAAGGGATGGCTCAATGAGGAGAGAAGGGGACAGAGATGAATTCAAAACTTAAAGTGATACAAAAACAAAAGCCATCAGTAACAATTTAAAAAAGAATCTAGAATTTAGAACTAGCCCCACCTCAACTCAAAACCAGAAGGGAAGGACCCAAGGGAGGACTTGGGGGGGAGGTCCTGAAGGGAGGGCACTGAGAAATGTCTCAGGGAGATCACATAGTGGAGGTAACAACGCAGAAGGGGTGCCTAACTCCCTAGTACAAGGGCCACCATGATTCCTTGGTGGGATGGGCTCTCCTTATTCTGTGGTGGGAAGGAAGAGGATAGGTGGAACAGGACAGAATATAAAAACACCAAACAACAGCTGGGCATGGTGGTCCTGCAGAAGTTTCAGAGGACCCTGCTCATTCTGGCCTGGTGATCTTTGTGATTGGGTTCAAGTCCTGTCACATGTTGAAGGAAGGTAGAAGAGGAATATTCCAGATAGTTCAAAAGGTGAACACTGTTCGAGGGTTCTCTGTGTCCCACTGTTCTCAATACTTCCCCAATGCTGAAGGACTGCCATGAAGTTGAACTCATTCCCCTGTCCCCATTGCCCTTAAAGTGACTAGAGTTTGAGTCTCTAATTGCTGAGGAAGGAGACACCGCCATGGGGTCACCTTCATGGGCTCAGTCTAACTCAACCCAATCCAACAGGTGTTTACTAAATGTCCCCTATGCACCAAGCACTGGGGTTCAGAAATGAAATAGAGATCCTGCCCTCAAGAACCTTACATTCTACTGGGTTGGAGGGGGGGAGAGATGCATGGGATTTGAATGGGATTCTACTACTCTGCCGTTCTGGGCAAGCTGGTTCATGGGCCCGAATGATTTTTCACAATCTATTCCCTTCTCCCTTCTGTTACCTTCTTTTGTCACCTGGGAATACCCTTGCTCCCTGATCCCCACCTCAGATCAACCTTTCTAGACATCTCTTAAGTTTTCACATCCTCTCTTCTGGGTTGCGTGAGTATGTCTATGTGTGTATGAGCAGGTAATTCAACCAAATTTCTGCTCCTGGCACTGAGCTTTCAGAGCTAGGGTGAGTCTCAGAGCCAACTTCAGAGAGATTTAGAAGTATGAATATGTGAAGAAGGGACTGGGGCAAGTGGGGTGGGTCAGAGAACAAGCTAGTCTGGTAGACCTTGGGGTCACTCAGAGGTCCTAGGGACTTCTAGGCTGGGGCAGCCATTCTCTGTTAAAAATGCCCTCCTCCCTCTCTCCCATTCCAACCCTCCCCCTGGACTACCAACACCCCAACTCCTCCCCCATCCAGTTCCTGCTCTCTTCTGCCCCTGCCTATGACCTTATTCTTCTCTCTCCCTCTCCCTCTTCTCCCCATTTCCAGGCTGACCTTAGAGGAGACACGTACCAGTGGGAACTCGTGGGAAACTCTGCCATCAGGAGGCAGCTTGGCCCCAAAGCCCAGGGCTGGGAACATCTTGTCACTGTCGTAGTCCTGGATGATCTCACCGACTGCTGTTAGCGCCAGAGCATAGGCGTTCAGCTGGTACGGGCTCATATAATGCAGGGAAGTGGACTGGGAAGGGTTGCCTACCAGAGACAGGGGGTGTCAGGCTGGTCTGGGCTGATCTGGTCCCCCGAAGTCCACCAGAGGCCCCCAAGACCTCCGTGGGGGCTCAGGGTGAAGTTTCCTATGGTCCTTTCCCCACCATAACCCAGATTGAATGCAACTTAATTCAATTCTATCGGACAAGCATTTTTTGTTTTTTGTTTTTATTTTGGAGGCAATGGGGGTTGTGACTGGCCCAGGGTCACACAGTAAGTGTCTGAGGCTGGATTTGAACTCAGGTCCAGGACAACCATTTATTAAGCACCTACTTTTAGTTCCAGGCACTATGCTGCATCATGGGGATTCTGAGACAAAAACAAAAGAATACTTGCCCTCAAGAAGGTTACATTCTACTATGAAGGATTTGTTATGTCCTTTGCCTCTATCCTCAGACACATTAAAAAAAATAAATGTGTACTGCCACTTCTGTCTCTCCCAATACATACTATGCTCATTCTCCCTTCTCCTGTCTATTTAAACCCTCCCCATCCTGATCAGGTCCCACCTCCAGCCTGAAGCCCCACTGGGCCACTCTAGCCCACAAGCCTTACTTCTCTGAATAGGCAAAATTTGCTGTATGTACATTGTATGTGCACCGATCACTGTACATCTTGCATTATCCTCTAGTTCTTTCATGTGTGGGTGTCTGTCATTATATCAACTGGATTGTAAGCTCTTTGAGGGCAGGGAACAGTTCCTTCACTCACCAACAGTGCCTCACACAGGTCTGGGCACTTCCTAGGCTCACAATAACAATCTGTTGGTTCCACTTAAAAGGACTAAGCCTGACCCTGTTAGAAGCTAACTTCAGGCTTGAGAATGCTGTGAGTGAGGATGTCCTCTCACCAGTAATGGAGAGAGATGGTAGACCAGTGAAGCAGCCCAGTCAGGTGAGAGGCAGGATGGTAGAGTGGATGGCACTCTGGACCACAGGGCAGGAAACATGGCTCCAAATCATGCCCCTGACACTGACTTGCTGAGTGACCCTGGCTGCTGCTCCGCCTCTCTGCCCCAGTTTCCCTCACATGTAAAACCAAAGACTTTTGGAGTTGGGAGGGACCTCATTTTAAAACTGCCTCATTTTTCACGGTAGTTTTACAGGGGTGACTGAGGGCCAGTATTAAGTACCGAGGGTACAAGGAAGGGCAAAAACATTCCCTGTCCTCAAGGAAAACTAGATTCTAATGGAGGAGACAACATGCAAATAATATGTATAGAGAAGACATAGACAGTGTCGATGGAAGGTAATGTCAGGGGAGGGAAGGGGCTGGGAGATGAAGAGAAAGGACAAGAAAGGCCTTTTGCAGAAAATGGCATTGGAGTTGAGTCTTAAAGGAAGCCAGGGAAACTAGGGGCCAGGGGTGGGGGCGGGGAAGCATTCTAGGCATGGGGAAGAGCACAGTCAGGGGATAGAGTGAGGGGACCACATAACTGGATCGTGGACTAAATGGGGCAAGGATGAGGTGAAGTGTAAGAAGACCAGAAAGGTAGGAAAGGATCAGGTTAGGAAGGGCTTTAAATGCCAAAGAGGGTTTTAAATTTGATCCTAAAGGTAAGAGGCAGACACTGGAGATTATTGATTCAATACAAGGAAAAAATTGCTAACAATTAGAGGTATACTAAAGAGGAACAGAGGGCAACTAGGGGCCACAGTGGATAGAGTGGGCCTGGAGTCAAGAAGACTCATCTTCCTGAGTTCAAATCTGGCCTGTGTGAGCCTGGGCAAGTCACTTATCCTTGTTTGCCTCCGTTTACTCATCTGGAAAATGAGCTGGAGAAGGAAATGGCAAACGACTCCAGTATCTTTGCCAAAAACACCCCAAATGGGGTCACAAAGAGTCAGATATAACTGAAGAGCACAACAACAAAGAGTAACAGACTGCCTCTGGAGGTACCAGGTATCTCATTACTGGTGGTCTTCAGGCAGAAGTTAGATGACCACTGATTAAGGCTGTTGTAGATAGAATTTCTATTCAGACTCAGGTTCATGGGATAGCCTCTAAGACTCCTTCCAACTCTGAGATTTGTTCTATGCCCTACCCAAGGTCACACCAACATGCTCGGTTGGTAATAATGACTTAATGGGTTACTCCTCCCCTGTAACATATTTACACTAAATAGGGGCCTTCTGGCCAAAAGGGCTGAACTAAATGACTTCTAAAGGTCCCTTCCAACTCTGAAGTCCTTTGTTCTGGAGGGAGAGAGGGCCCCGGTAGCTCTGAGTGAGGCTTGGGAAAACTGGAGCCATGCAGGGTGGGGACAATTCAGAAGGTCCAGAGAAATGAAACAAGGGGCAGGTTGTAAGGCTAATAATGAATGGATTGTTTAGTGATATGATGCCTAGTAACTAATGAAACCTGATATCCCCGTGGCATAGGCATAAACAAACAGGCCCAGCTCAGGGGCGTGTATGAGCCCAAATGGAGGAAAAGGGTCTAAGAGAGCCCTAGGAAAAGTAAGGCATGCCAACAATAGCTAATATCTTTCCATCACTTTAAGGTTTACAAAGATATGTGTATAGATCACATATATAATATTTAAATATGTATTGTTGGTAAGTCGTTTTCCAGTCATGTCCGACTTTCTATGACCCCATCTGAGGTTTTCTTGGCAAAGATGCTGAAGGGGATTGTCATTTCCTTCTCCAGCTCATTTGACATATGAAGAAATTGAGGCAAACAGAGTTAAGTGACTTGCCCAGGGTCACACAGCTAGTAAGTGTCTGAGGCCGGATTTGAACTCAGGAAGATGAGTCTTCCTGACTCCGAGCCCAGTACTCTATCCACTGTGATATATAAACAAACAAACAAATAAATAAATATGTATATATGTGTGTGTGCATGTATGTATATATATATATGTGTGTGTATATATGTGTATATATATGTATATATGTGTATACACACACACACACACACACATATATGTCATTCAACAATGGGATCAGTTCCTGTGAGCTGCCCTTCCAGTCTGGATGAGATGAGGAGACCCAGTCTCAAACAGTAATTTTAATAATTATAGCACCTCTAGATCAAGTGAGATATATATATGCATATATGTATATATGTGTGTGTATATATATGTATACATATATGTACACATATGCAGATATACACATGTGTATATGGTTGTGTTTGTCCTTCGTTCTCCAAGAGGACCGTGACGTCAGGGAGATGATGACCTGACTTGCAATTGACTTTGATTTGAGTGAGGGAGGGCTGGGCAAGGTCAGCAGCCTCACTTTCTCCTCTAGAGCCGTCTTGGTCCAGTGGCCAGATATCAATCAAGATGACTGGAGATGGCCCAGGATTCAGTGGGAGACCTTGGCCCTTTTAAGCTAAGGTCTTTTCAGGTTCTCACTTTGAGTGAGGCAACAGATACATGTGTATATGTGTGCGCATGTGTTATGCGAGCATACACATATGCATACATATACACATAAATGTATATATGTATGTATAATGTATGTGTGCATGATATACATATATACACATGTATCTTCACACTAACCCTTTGAGATAGGCACAGGGATTTTGGCCTGCTCCATTTCTGGGGAGCTCACCCTATCGGTGCCAGACTTAGTGAGGATGCCTAATTGACTTAGAGTTACTGTAATTTAGAATTTCCTGACCTCAAGCAATCCACCAACCTCACCTTCTCCAGTGGTAGGGATTACAGGAATGCACCATCACCCTGAGCCAACAAGTATTATTATTATTATTATTATTATTATTATTATTATTATTATTTCTCTTTTAAAGGGGAGGAAACTGAGGTTCAGAGAAGTTAAATTGCATGTCCAGGGTCATCTAGCTAGTAAATGTCTTAGAAGATCAATCAATAAGCAATAATTAACTGTCTACTAAGTACCGGGCCCTGTGCTAGGAACTAGGGGTACAAAAGTGAGACAATCCCTGACCTCAAAGAGTTTACATTTTCCTAACAGGACACAACATGTTCATGGTTAAGCACGCAGAAGCCACATAAACCTAACTTCACAGTCATTTGGGTATAAGGTGGGATTTGAACCCAGGCTTTCCTGACTCTAAATCTCATGCTTTCAGTATTATGCTCTGCTAGATCTCTTAGCTGCTGGGAGTGCATTACAGAGGACCACAGAACCTAGTCCTGATTTTGTTTTTTTTTCCCCTATAGCCAGATGCTGAGCAGTTCAGGTTCAGAGCAGGCCAGAAAAATGAGTGAGAAGGAAAAACCATTTTCTTAAAGAAAAAAAAAAAGATTTGTTGTAGCATAGGTCTCTAAGGATTGCATGCTTAATTATTTTCCGTGGGTCTGTCCTATGAGCTAACTGGACTGGAGGCCCCTGGGAGGTAGCACTCATGTGTCATTCATTCCCTTTTGTTTCCCCCTACCTCTTAACCCCACAGGTCCTCAAACACATAGCAGGTGATTCCAAGATGGCAGCAGCTGAGCGGTTAGTATGTATGGGAGCACAATGCGGTCCTAGGAGGGAGCACCGGGAGGGACCTTAGTCATCTCACTCAACACACAGTAACCCTCCCTATGCCTTGAGAGTTTGCTGAATAAACAAATACAGATGGATGTAATGTCCCTGGCAGGAGCCTTGATCTCTTGTGCCTTCTAGACTCTGTCAACCTTGGTAGGGAATGCCCACAAGTTATCATTCTTGCTTCCAAAGAGGGGAAATCGAGGCAAAGGAAGTACCAAGGATAGGGGGCAGTGCTTGGCCAGGATCATCCACCAGACTATGGTCAACAATCCACTCCTTAGCCCTTTAAATCACATCCCTCCCCTCTCCCCCTTTCTTTATCCATCAAGGAAATCACTTCCCTCTCTCAGTCACTCACCATTGGAGGCAGTGAAGTCAATGGCAACCGTGAAATTGATCTGAGTCCTAGGAGTGGAAGAGTAAGAGCAGTTATTACCTGAGAAGGTGAGTGGAGGACAGAAGACCAGCTGGTACTTCCATATGCTAGCTGTGACGTCTAGGGCAGGTCACTTTGTATAGCTGAGCTTTTCCTCTTCTGAAAACAGGGGGACAATAGCCCCTGCCCTGTCTATCCCAAAAGGTGTTTTGTGATAACTGGGTGTGAAATACCTTTGTAAAACAAGAAGTGTCTAGAGTCAGGAAGATTCCTCTTCCTTTTATTTTTTTTTATGGTGAAGTAATTGGGGTTAAGTGACTTACCCAGAGTCATACAGCTAGTGAGTATTATGTGTTTGAGGCCAGATTTGAACTCAGATCTTCCCGACTTCAGGATCAGTGCTATATCCACTGTGTGCCACCTAGCTGCCCCAACACTCTTCTTCCTGAGTTCAAATCTGGCCCCAGACACTTACTGCCTGTGTGACTCTGGGCAAGTCACTTCGCTCTGTTTGCCTCACTTTCTTCATCTGTCAAATGATCTAGAGAAGAAAATGGCAGTATCTTTGCCAAGACAACCCTAAATGGAGTCACAAAGACTCTGAAAGGACTATACAATGATATTTAGCTGTGGAATCTCTTTGTAAAACAAAACAAAACAAAAAACCACGTTTGTTGTCATCTTTTCCTAGGACCTCCAGAAAGAAACAGGAAGCTGGACAGTTGCCCTCAGCTACAAGTCCGGGCACTGATCTCACAGCCACCTCTAGCCTCAGGTGACAGACATGAGGGGGATACGCTAGAGAAAATTGAAGAGTCTGTTTGAATCACAGGCAAAGTTTCATATCAGTCATTTACACCACAGGATGAATTTGAGTCTCCATATCATATCTTTGCCTATGTATCCGAGGAGCTCCAAGACATTTTTGGCCTATTCTCTCATTTTGAAATTAAAGACTCTGCCCTTAGCACGAGGACATTTCTGAGGCAGGGAAACACTTTTCCATCCCCCAGAAACATGTTAGAAATTATGTTCCAATGGAGCCCCAGAATTATCTGTTCCAAGATGAGTTAAAAACAAAGGTGAAGGACCTATCTAGCGATAGTACATTGGAATGGTGGGGGAGCCCTTGATCTCCTCCTCTCCCTTGGCTCTCCAAATTCAACACAAAATCTTTGTAAAGTGATCTGAGCATGGCAAGTGCCTGTCGAGGCTCTCAAAGGAAGAGTCATCATCATAATAATGAGAAAAGGACCTGGGCCTTTAAGCTCTCTGGGCCCCCGTTTCTTCATCTGTAAAACGAAGGGACTGGACTACATTGTAGGCCCACAAAGGTCCCTTACGGCCAGGGGTGTGCTGGAGCCAGCTCACACTGGTTAGCTTGAGAACCGATGGCTAAATTTTCACCAAGAGCATTTATATCTGGGAAATCAGGAAACCCTATAAATCAGGGCTTGATTTATTGTTTTGTTGCACAGTAGAGAAAATGTTAATGATGCAGATTAAATTTAAGAGTGTGTCATGTACTTTTTTTTGGAGAGCTGGCTGTTAAATATTTGCCTGCACATTGAATTTGAACTCAGGTCCTCCTGACTCCAGGCCCAGCACTCTATCCACTGTGCCACCCAATTGACCTTACTTGAGTAACTGTGAGCAAGTCATGTAATCTCTCTCTGATAAAGGCATCAGGGAATATTGGAAAGAACTGCATTTGGAACCAAAGCTAAGGTCCTTTCCTAAGGTCTGGCTCCAACCCCTGCTCCTTAATAGCTACGTAAACCGGATGATATAGTAGGTGACAGATTTAGAGATGAAAAGGACTTTGGCCAAAGATCATCTAGTCCAATACTCCCATTTTACAGATGTGGAAGCTGATGCCCAAAGAAATTAGTTGACTTCCCCAAGGTCACACAGGTAACAAAATAACTGAACTGAGATTCAAACTCAGGTCCTCTGACTTCAAAACCAGCCCTCTACCCAGTTCACCATGTTAGATAGTCAGTTCCTTTTCTGGGACTCTGTTTCCCCATCTGTAAAATGAAATGGTTGACCAGGTGACCTCTTAGGTTCACTCTACCTCTGAATTTTATGATTCTGTGAAATACAGGTGGGAATCCTGGTGGGGCATAGATGCCTAGCTATGTAAACTTATCTGTGATGTCAGGGGCAGCATGGTAGTGAAAAGAGGTTTGTACTGAGAGTCAACATGACTTGGGTTCGAATTCCACTTTCTGACCCTCAAGTTGCTTACCATCTCTGCACCTCAGTTTCCCGATCTGTAAAAATTAGGGGATTGGATTTGATGACTTTAAGGTTCCATCTGCCTCTATATTTCTGTGATCTGAAATCTCTCCTGCAGGTGAGGACCAGAGCCTGGCTACTGGGCTGGCATCCCTTCCTAACCTAGAGGACACAGCCTTCCAACACCCTGGCTCCCCAGGGTGCAGCCAATCAGAATGGTCAGCTGGGGTGATAGGAGGATGCTGAGACCCTGGGGGAAAATACTGCTGATGGAGAATCAGGGAAGGAAAGCCCAAGATGACACCCCCATCTTACCCCATGCCTGGGCAGGCCCTTCCCTAGGGACGTGGCAAACAGGCTTTCGGTGCTAGAGAGGCCCTCAGAGACCATCTGGGCCAACTATTTCATTGTAGAATGGAAAACATTGACACCTGTGCCCTCCCACAGGGCCAGGGTAGCAGCTTTGACCAGCTGGGCCTTGCTCTACCGCAGGCTTTGCCTGTCAAACTCTGGTAAGAACAGCTGGTTTGAAGACAAAAACCTTGGGTTGGAATCCCGAGTCTGTTTACTAGCTGTGTGACCTCAGACATGTTACCCCCCCTCTGGGCCTCAGCTTCCATCAGCAAAACAAGGGGGCTTTGGACTAGATGACCTTCCAGCTCTAACATTCTATGCTCCTAAGAAACTTGACTTGAGGCTGCATGGGAACGGTGGAGAGAAAGCCAGAAGATCTGGGTTAGAATTCTGAGTCTGCCATTCACCAGCTGTCTGACTTCAGGCAAATCAGGTAACCTCCCAGAGCCCACGTCCTCATCTGTAAAATTGAGGGGTTGGACTAGGTGAACCCCTGAGGTCCCTTCCAGCACCAAATCTGTGAGCTTAAGCCCTCTTGCTTTTAACTTCTCCCTCAGGACAGTCTCACGATGCAGGGGTGGGGCAGGTATGATTATGAAAGCATTTTGCTGATGGGACTGTTACTAACAGGTACATTTTGATGTGGGCAGAAAGGAAGCAAGAGGTCTAGAGCACTGGATGTTTGTTACCCTGGGAGGGCAATTTCAGATAAGGGACCAGAAAGGAGCATCTAGGGCAGAATGAGGGCATTGAATGCCCAGATAAAGGAACTAGAGGAACCTAGGTCTAGAGGGGAGCTTGGAAGTTATTTAGTCACAGATCTAGAACTCGGAAGCTATCAGAGGCTGTCCAATCCCACTCTCCTGTTTTACAGATGAGGAAACTGAGGCCAAAGGAAATTGTGACTTCAATGTGAGTTCAATGTTCTTTTCTGGTATGAATGAACAGGCACTGACAGGGGCCAGCTCTGACTGTAGTGCTGAATTTGACCCAGCTGTGTCCCACCTTCCATGTGACTGGACAGCCAAGCTAGGAGGATGAGGGATCCAGAGCATGTCAACTAGGAGCCAGATTTTGTCCTTTCCCTGTGCTCCAAAGCACATGGGCAGCCTTGCCACTGTGACACCCCAAGAGCAGCAGGCCTGCCAGGAGCTGCCTCCAACTGCCTGGAGGTCCTTTCCCCTTTTGGTTTCTCCCCGCCCTGCCCTGGGGCATAGGGGAAACATCTCTCTAGGCAATTTTGCCTCCACATCAAGGTTACCTTACAGTCTCCTGGTTGTTGGTGACCTTTCTTGCCTTTCTTTTCCTTGATTCCTGAGTATGTGCTTTTCTGGGGCTGTTTTTTTTGTTTTGTTTTGTTTTTTCATCTAGACCTGTGATTTCCCCAGATTGGAATCTCCTGGTGTGGAAACACCCTTCACTGATGCAGGTCAGCAACTCATCAGTAACATCATCTTAGAGTAGAGGTTCTTCATCTTTTTTGTATCATGGAGCCCTCTGGCTGACATCACCAGACAGCCAAAGGCCTCAGTTTCCTTGGTTGGACTGGAGAGCCTCTGAGGGCCCCTTCCAGTTCTAGAGAGCTTCCAAGCTTCCCTCTACATCTATGTTTCCAAGATCCCTTTATCTGGGTACTCGATGCCCTCATTCTTCTTTGACCTCTGGTGAAGTCTATGAACCCTTTCCCAGAATAACGTTTTTAAATAATTGAGTTATTGCTGTTCAGTCGTGTCTGACTCTTTGTGACCCCATTTGGGGTTTTCTTGGCAGAGATACTGGTGTGGTTTGCCATTTCCTTCTCCAGCTCATTTTACAGATGAGGAAACTGAGGCAAAGGGGATGAAATGACTTGCCCAGAGTCACACAGCTAGTAAGTGCCTGGGGCCAGATTTGAACTCAGGTCTTCCTGACTCCATTTCCTGGTGTCACCTAGCTGCCTTTAGATAATTGAAGAAAATGCTAAATTTCAGTTAGAGGTTAGTGAAAATGAAGATGTAATTTTTTTTCTCCTATCCAAGCATACAGATGCCTCTGAAATCTCTCCATGGACCCCCACCCAGGATAAAAATCCTTGTCTTGGATTGTTGCTCAGCCCACTGAAAAGTTAGGTGACTTGTCCAGGGTCACCTAAGCATGGTGTTTCAAAAGTTGGACTTGAATGCCAAGTCTACCTATGTCCAAAGGTGGCCTTCTATCCAATTCTTCATGATGCCTCTGCCTAGGCCTCCTTTATCCCTGTTCTGTCTCTCTGTATTCGTGATCCCCTGTTTCTCCCTGCCATCCAGTAACCACATACTCCTTCATTCCTATCTTATCTGTCTTGCTTCCTGACCCCTTTCTTCTCCTTGACCTCTGCTAGCTATGTCTCCCTTAATTCCTAGCTTATCTGCTTAGATTCCCGATCCACAGCTCTTCCTTGACCTCTGGCAACTTCATGTATTCTCACTCCCAGTTGCCCACCCAAACCTTTGATGACCCGCTTGACCTATGGATAATCCCTCTCCTTCAGCTCTGGTGCTCTCAGTTCCTTCCCACCTCCCCAGCATAAAGGCCCTCATTTGCCTTGGCCCCTGGTATCTAGGCATAATGCGACCATTGCCTCTTGCCTGGTGACTGTCCCGACCTTGACGTCTGCCCTGTTGCCTTGCTCTGCAGCATTTTGTGGCTCCAAACTGGGACGCCAACCCTCCTGTCTTAAGGGCCAGCAACTCCAGGACCCATTGGTTAGTGGAATTCTGTATTGAGTGGGTTAAGAGGCTTAAATACGTGTTGTTATTGTTGATGTTAAGTCATTTTTCAGTCATGTCCAACTTTCCATGACCCTCTTTGGGGTTTTCTTGGCAAAGACACTAGAGTAGTTTGCCATTTCCTTCTCCAGCACATTTTACAGATGAGGAAACTGAGGCAAACATGGTAAAGTGACTTGTCCAGGGTCACATAGCTAGTAAGAGTTTCTGACTCCAGGCCCGGCACCCTAAGCACTATGGCATCACCTAGTTCCATCAGTCATGCCTGACTTGTATTAGACTCTTTGTCCGTGACTCCATTTGGAGTTTTCTTGGCAGAGATACTGCAGTGCTTTGCCATTTCCTTCTTAGGCTCATTTTGGCAATGAACCAATGGATAAGGAAACTGAAGCCAACAGGGTTAAGTCCAGGGTCACACAGCTGGTGTCTGAGGGCAGATTTGAGCTCAGGAATAGCCTAGAACGCTATTCACTACGTCACCTAGCTGCCCAGAAGTTCATGAGTCAGAAGTGGTATTTGAATCCACACCTCTGTACAGAGACCAGAACATCTACAGAGCTTCCTCTCTGAGCCCGGAGGCACCAGTGGTGCCTTAGACCACTAGACCAGCCTGACACTTATTTAAGTATAGGTGATCCTCAAATCCCAAACATTTGAGGCTGTCCTTCAGAATCAGTCAGGCCAGTGATGCCCAGAGTGACATAGGCCCAAATGCACAGGGGTGACACCTGGAACTCTGCATTTGGGAACTCCTATGACTTTTAAGGCCAGCGTGTAAGGAGCCCTTCTCTCACCCTCCTTTGATATAATCCAAGAATGTGCATTCCGACTCCACTGCGAAGGACAGTAGCGTTACCTTGGGGGGAAAAAAAGACAGAGCATCCGTTAGCCATGATGGATATCACAATGGGGCAGAGCTGGATTCGGGGGCTGGATGGTCAGGTTTTCCCCCAATCAAAAATCTCTTAATTCAGTGTCTATTACATGCCAGACACTGGCTAGAAGCTGGGGACACATATACATAAGTGAAACAGGCCTGCCCTCAAGAAACTTATTTTCTCATCGGGGAAACAACACATCTAGGTCTCCCCTTACTTTTCTGTTCAATCCAAATTTAATTGAAAACACATTTATTAGGCCCTCCTGAGTGCAAAGCACTTGGGGAGGTTCAAAATTTGAGGCTTACAGCTTAGAAAGTGCAGATTAGCACAATGCAAAATAATGCACAATTAAGTATATTAAAGAGAGAGGTGATGAATGAGATGGGAGGGGGAGATCATTACAAACAGAAGGGGGAATAGGGCATAGGCAGCATTTGAGTTGGGGTCCTTAAAAGAGGCACAAGAATTCAACAGGTAAAGAGGAAGAGGAAGAACATTCTTATAAACCGTGGGGAGTAACCCTCAAGCTACGTAGTTTGGGATTTCACCAAATTCTTCCCTCCTTTTTTGGGGGAGCATTGGCCTTTTAAATCCCCACTTCAAGCTCAGGAAGTCTGTTTGCTTTTACAACTATCTCTCCCCTCCCCCATTACCCTCTATCTTAAATATCCTTCTCTATCCCTTCTTGCAAGTAGCCTTCTTCATTTCCATCTTTGTTACTTGTACCGCTGTTGTTCAATTGTTTTAGTCATGTCTGACTCTTCATGACTCCATTGGGGGTTTTCTTGGCAAAGATACTGGAATGGTTTGCCATTTTCTTTTCCAGCTTATTTTACAAATAAGGAAACTGAGGCAAACAAGGTCAAGTGACTGCCCAGGATCACACAGCTACTAAGTGACTGAGGCCAGATTTGAACTCAGGAAGATGAGTCTTCCTGACTCCAGGCCTGGAGCTGTATCCACAGCACCACTCAGCTGCCCTTTGCTAATTGTTAGTGGGTATGAAATTGTCCCAGTCCAAAATATATTGGTGTCAATATATTCCAGGAGTCCCTGGAAAGTACTGCCCTATAGAACTGGAAAATAAAGGGATGCCTGTTAATTGGGGATCGGCTGAAAAAGTTATGGTATATGAATGTGATGGAACACTTTGCACTGTAAGAAATGATGGCTGTAAAAAAGGGATATTTTCAGAGAAACCTGGAAAGACTTGTATGAACTGATGCAGAGTGAACTGAGCAGAACCAGGAGAATAATTTATGGAATAACAATAATATTGTAAAGATAAACAACTTTGAAAAACTTAGGAACTCTGATCATCTCTGATTATCACAATGAACAATCACGATTCCAGAGGACTCATGATGAAACAGACTACCCCTTCCATTGGGAAATAATTTTTTTTGGATGTGGCCAATGTGGGATTTGTTTTGCTTGACTATACATGTTTGTAAAAAGGGTTTTATTTTTCTTTCTTTCTCAGAGGTGGGAGTGGGGCAGAGAGAAGAAGGAATGGAGGAGTGTGGGAAGGAGAAAAAAAGCAATTAAAAAATTTTAAAGAGAAAGTACCACCCTGCATCAGCCAATAGGTCCCTAAACCTGGGCTTCTGTGCCTAGTGTGAGCCAGCTGGGATAGGCTATAGAAGGATGTGAGTAATCTCCCTAATTTTACCCTTACTGACTAGGGATGGGCCCCTCCATGGCTTCCCTTTATAAGCCCACTATGACTGTCCAAGCAGGAATTTACACCTTAAGGGACGGGGATTGGACCTGAGATTTCAGTCAGACATGAGGAACTCCCAGGTGAGGAACTTCCTTCTACTAAGGCACACTAGCACCTTTTAATCTTAAAAAAAAACACCTAGAGCACTGTTAAATAACTTTCTCACAACCAGTTTATGTCAAAGGCAGGATTTGAACCCAGGTCTTCCTGGCTCTGAGGCCGTTATACCACATTGCCTCCTGTGTTCTTATACCTACTGATATTCTCAGCCTACCCCCAAATCTCCGGGTAAGGGGTTCTCTCCATCTCCCACTGACTTTTGAACTCATCCTAGATTTGCCTCTTTCTAGTTTCTGGGATTAGCCCCACCAGCACCTCATCCCAGAATCTGGTGATCAAGGGCCTATTCCTCTCCATCATCTGGGGCCTTTATCTTTCAGGCTTCATTTTCCAGGTTCCTCTCCTTTACAGTCTCTAAGCTCCCAAACTGAAGAATCCTAATCTTTTAATCTGTCTTCATACCACCAGCGGGGGAGGCTGGGGAATAGGTAAATGAAACAAAACCCTTCTCTCCAAGAGCTCTGTTCAAGAAAGCCCCAGGAAATGCATATGCATTCTCATACAGCAAGTTTCTACTCAATGTAAGACTCGGGATTTATGACACCAAGGGCAGGTGCCCGTCAGCAACTTATCTTTGCCCTACATAGCATCGAAGGGCTGGCCAAGTAGCTAAATGAATGTAAGATGGTTCAGAGAGACCTTCGACCTATGTGAAGAAACCAGCTCTTTTCAAAGCACTCTGCTCTTCGGAGGATACCCTCCTCTGTTCATGGATCATTTAGTGCAATCAAACTGTCCCCCACACATGGAATATGTAATGTAATATAACTTGTACCTAAGCAAGAATTTCTTCTACAATTTGTAATAACAGCCCAGGCGTGTCAGCTGCAAATAGGAGCTATCCAATCAGGAAGAACCTACTGGGAGCTAGGCGGGGCAGTGAATGGAACACTAGCTCTGGAATCTGGAAGACCTGAGTTCATAATCCTGCCTCAATCATTTACCACGTGACCTTGGGCAAGTCACTTAACTGTTGGCTGCCTCAGTTTCCTCATCTGTAAAATTAGGATGATAATAGCACCTATCTCCCAAGGTTGTTGTGAGGATCAAATGAGATAATATATTTTAAACACTTTGCAAACCTTTAAAATGACATATAAATGTGAGCTGATATCACAACTCCCCCAGGGCAGCCTGTTCCACATTAGGACAGCTCTAAAAGGAGCTTTTTTCCCCTATACTGACCCTAAATCTGCCTTTCTGAAAATCCCATCCATTGGTCTTTACATCATACCCTCAAGTGGCCATGTAGGCCCTGCCTAAAGGATCTGGGAATGTTTAGCTTAGAAAAGAGAAGATGCATGGGGACATAATAGAGGTATTCAAACATCTGAAGGTCTGTGACCCTGAAGAAGAAATAGACTTGGCCCCAGAAGGGTCATAGGATTTTAGACCCGGGGCTGGACAGCACCTCAAAGGCCATCTAATTCAACCCCCTCATTTTACAGATGAAGAAACTGAGGACCAGGAGGTTGTTAATAACAATAATAATAATAGCTAGCATTTATATAATGTAAGGTTCACAAAGTGCTTTACAAATGATGTCTATGTACATTTGTTACAAGAGTTGTGCTTGTTTTTTTCCTTCCTTTTTCCTAATAGAGGAGGGAGAGAAAATCAGTTTTAGTTAATTGAAAAAAATTTTAATTTAATGTTTTTAAAAACAAGGAATGAGCTGCCTTGGGGCAGCAGTGGGTGGCCCTTTACTGGAGGTCTTCAAGAGAAGGCTAGATGATTGTGTCTTGAGTATGTAGTAGAGGGAGTTCTCATTCTGCCATGGATTGGCCTAGATGGCCCAGAGGGTCCTGTGAACTCTCAAATTCTGTGATTCAGTGAGCCCTTCCTGTGACCTCACTACTTCAGGAGGCAACAAGTAATAAGGTCGCCTTGCTGAAAAATAAAAACAAAAATTGGTAAATCAGGGTCATAGCTAATTAGCCAAGATTACTGCGTTTCCAGTGCATTTCCGGGAGGGGACCTGCTGCCTGGCTTCACATAAGACCACCCATGGGGAGGGGGTGTAGTTCCCAGCTCGTTCTGCGAGACTTTCTCCGACGGGATCCCCCAGGGCTCTTGGTTTCTCTGAGATCCTCCCCCAGTCCCTTTGATGCTCCTCCATGTGCCCAGCAGGTTTCCTCCTGGGCTGCTCTGTGTCGAACAGATAGAGGGGCAGCTTAGCTGCAGCCCGGATTGCTGAGAAGCCCCACCCCCGTGGGAGTTTTTCTTGTCCAAATTTCATCCTGAAACAGGCTGCCTGTTGTCTCTGTCATCTCCAGGGAGGTGGCTCCCTGGGCACCCCCTCTCCTCCCCGCCCCCACCCCGGCCCTGCCTTCTCCCCATCCTCCCCGGCTCTAGCTCCCACGTCCTGCCTGCCAGGGCTACTTGATGCCTGACACGCTTCAGAATTCAGAATGTCTTCATTCAGCCCCTGGGGGAGAAAGGAGAGGGATGGGGTGGGGGTGGGGAAAGAGGGGAAACTCACTGTGCCAGAGTTCAAGTATTTCTTTTTCTTCATTTTCTTTTTCGGGTTTACCACCTGAAGGAGGGAAGAGTTGGAGGGTCAGAGTGGAGGGTCTCTAGACAGCTGGTACCACTTCCTGCAGTGCCTGGAGTTTATCTGCTCGCTTGGCTCCCCCTCCCAGCACAAGGGCATAAGGGGGTCCTTGAGAGCAAGAGAGTTACAAATACCCAGGGAAGAACCATGTCACTCACCTCCTCAACACATACTCTCAGGTCCATTCAGACCTTTCTCTTCTAACTATCACCAATACACCATGTTTGCTTTTTTTTTCTTTTTCTTTTTAGGCAGTTGGGGTTAAGTGACTTGCCCAGGGTCACACAGCTAGTAAGTGACGCACCATGTTTGATGGATCATTGGATCATAGATTTAAAATTGGAAAAGACCAATCCCAGCATTTTGCATATGGGGAGACTGAGGCCCAGAGAGATGAAGTGACTTAGGATCATTGGATCTGAAATCTAAACCTGGAAGCGATTGTAGGGGCCATCTGGGCTAACTTCTTAATTTTACAGATGGGGAAACTGAGGCCCGCAGAGGTCAAGTGACTTGCTCAAGGTCACACATGTAACAAGTGACAGAACTGGAGTTCAAACCTAGATCGTCTGACTCCAAATTGTGCTCCCCTTCCACTCTGCCTTGTTATTTGTTTGTTTCTGCCTCCATATTTTGGGCTGTTTCTTCCACACGGAATACCTTTGATCTCCCCCATTCCTATCACATGGTCCTCATCCTTCAAGGCCCAGCTCAAATGCCACCCATCCATAAAGCCTTCCCTGATTTCCCCAGACCCCTTTGGAACTCCTGCTGCATTCACTGTTAATATCGTATCCCAAAGACAGCCTGGGGAGATGGCTACAAAGCTGGCTTCAGAGTCAGGAAGACCTGAGTTCAAATCCAGCCTCAGATACATACTAGCTATGTGACCCTGGGCAGGTCACTTCACCCTGTTTGCTTCAGTTTCCTCATCTGTCAAATGCTCTAGAGAACGAAATGGCAAACCACTCCAGTGTCTTTGCCCAGAAAACCCCCAAGTGGGGTCACGAAGAGTTGGACATGACTGAAAACAACTGAAAGACAACAATAGGGAATAGACCTATGATTTCATAAACATAGGGAACTCCCTGAGGAGGAAATTCCATCTACCAATACAGATCAGATCTTTTCTGCAAATTAGAGTCTTAGAGAGTTGCCTAGAGCACTGAAAGTGTAAGTGACTTGCCCAGGGTCACACAGACAATTTGTGTCAGAGGTGAGATTTGAACTCAGGTCTTCCTGACCCCCAAGTAGGCTCCCTATCTACTAAGCCAGGCTATACCTCTGAATGAAGTAGCAATGATACCTAATACTTACATATATATATATACAGATACATATATATGTATATATATGTGTATATATATACATATATGTGTGTGTGTGTATATGTATATACACACATATATATAAAATCATAGGATTTAGGAATTAAAGGGGCCTTAGAGATCACAGCATCCTAAATCTAGGGCTGACACTTCAGAGACCATCTACCCAATCCATTCATTTTACAATTTATAGGAAACTGAAGCCCAAGTAAGTGAAGTGACTTGCCCAAGGTCATACAGGCAATAAGAGAGTCCTCTCTAGAACCAGTGTATAATCTAGTCTAACCTTCTCATCTATATTTGAACCCAGGTCCTTGAACTCCAGAGCCAATATATAGTCTAGTCTGACCTCCTCATCTGAGCAGAGATCCAGAGAGGTTAAAGTTAAGTGACCTCGCCAAAGTTATCCAGGTATTAAGGAACAGAGGTGTGATTTGAACCCAAGACCCCTCACTGCAAATCAGAGCTCTAACCAGAAGTTCCGGAGGCCTGAATAAGCATCACAATAGTACTCTCAATTTTTCAAGATAAACTCCATTAAGAGGGGTAGGGTAGAGAGTCATCATCCCATAACAGGGAGACACAGAGTCTAGACATTGGCCTCCTCGAGCAGAAGCATCTCAAGGCTATTGCTGGGTGAGCCAATCCCAGGGGAAGAGAGCAGGGTAGGGCTAGGCTGGGGAGGGACTTCCATGGGGCATGGATGATGGGACTGATATGGGGAGGAAGAAGAAGCACCAACATATGGTAGTTTCCTATTTAGCTAAAAAAAAAAAAAGGTGCTAAACAGCTATTTTTTAACCTGCTGAATGAATACAGACACTGCAGGTGTTCTGTGAATTCTGGCACCTTGGCACAAAGCTCTGCTTGCTCTGTCCTGGTTACACCTTTGCTGCAAATCAAGTATTCTTTCTACCACGCCTCATTTCCCCTACATCCTTTATGCTGACTCTATCATTTGATTTGCACAGGTTCTCACAATTTCAAAACGGTGCTTCTATACATTTCTGTTATACGTATTTAAACATTTTCACTAACTCATCGAGAAAATTTCCACACACGCTTCATCACATCTCAGTGTCTTATAAACAAAACGATCCCTCATTTATGTTCTTTTTTTTCTGTTTCTCTGGTTATTTCCCCATCACAGCCCTGTAGGCTTTCTCTCTAGACTACTACTTTCTTATGTGGGAACAGGAATTGTTAGCTTCGTACTATAGATCAGAATACTGAATGAGACACGGAGAAGTAAAGCATTTTGTCCAGGGTCACACAGCTATTTTTGTGGTAGATACCTAGTCCAAAGCTTCCAGTTCACTACTCAACAAGTCTTGACTGGATACTTACTTTGCAAAAGGCCTGAGGGCAGATGCAAGATTGGCCCAGACACCAGCCCTGTCCTCGAGGAGTTTACAATTCAGCAGAAGAGATGGAACTGAACTGAGAATGCTGAACTGGGAATCATTGTGCCTGTTACTGTCATTTCCTCCTGTGTGACCTTGGACCAGTCACGTGACCCATTTAGGCCTCTGTTTTCTCATCTTAAAATAAGAGGCTCGGGGCAGTTAGGTGGTGCAGTGGATAGAGCACCAGCCCTGAAGTCAGGAGGACCTGAGTTCAAATCTGGCCTCAGACCAAACATTTGACACTTACTAGCTGTGTGACCTTGGGCAAGTCACTTAACCCCAATTGCCTTAAAAAACAAAAGATCAAAATAAGGGGCTGGACTAGATGGATTGTAAAGTGTGATATGATAAATAGTACAAGTATCTATATTATAAAACATTATGTTGTTGTTACATCATTTTAGTTGTGTACAATTCTTCACGACCCCATTTGGGATTTTCTTGGCAAAGGTACTACAGTGGTTTGCCATTCTTCCTCCAGATCATTTGACAGATGAGGAAACTGAGGCAAACAGGGTGGAAATGACTCGCCCAGGGTCACACAGCTAGTAAGTGTCTGAGGCCGGATTTGAACTTATGAAGACGAGTCTTCCTTACTCCAGGCCTGGCACTATCTATCCACTGCTCCACACAGGTGCCCATCACATATGTGCCTAGTACATACTAGGTGCTTAATAGATGCTTAATGATTGAGAGGATCAAGACAGGCTTCCTGTAGGAGGTGGCACTTGGGCTAAAGGAAACTGGAGGAAGTGAGGGAGTACACGAGGTGAAGATGAATAGGAAGTGTATTCTTGGGCTGGAAAATGGCTTGAGCAAAGGCCCAGAGACTAAAGATGGATTGTCATCTCTGAGGAACAGTAAGTGGTGATGTGAGTTTCATCGCCTAATCCGGTTAAGAACCATGGCAATAGGTTCTGTTTTGCAACTAGAAATTTGTCACACACGGCCAAGGAGGACTGGAGGGTCATTGCCTCACAGGCTAATTTTTCCCTAAAAAGGCAATGAAACTATCATCACAATTTAATTGATCCAGGGGATTAAGGCTTGAAGCACTAGGGAAGCTTCCCAGTCACCTAAGGCATGAAAGTCCAGTCCAGAAAGGACACCTCAGGCCTGAGGATTTCCCACTGACCATGAGTCAACACCCCCTTCTGATTTGTCTCTCCGTCCTGGAGAGGATGAGGGATGCTGGCTCAAATGAACCCACAATGAGCTGGAGGAACAGCACATGGGCAGCTGTGCAGAACAGGGGTTTAGGGAGGGGAGAGGCTCCCCTAATCGGAGGACAGCGATTAGGAAAGCATTGCAATAGTCCAGGTAAGAGGACACAAGGATCTGAGCTAGCGTTGGGCAAGAGGGCCTTGGAGGGGCCTTCCAAATCTGGGTCTGCTATGTTACAAAGGGGTAAGAGAATGGACAACTTGGAAAGGGACAGCATCAAGGGCACCAGTGGAGGGGCTGGCATTTGTAAGGAGTCATCTGCAGAGAGAGGGAGTTGATATGGTCACCTACGTGAGTAGAGACAGGAGATAGATGTGAAATAGAGCACACAGACTCAATAGAAATTGGCAACACATTGGTCACCCTTGAAGAATGAAGAGTGGAGGACGACTCCAGGGTACAAGCCAGGATAACTGGAAGAATGGTGGTAGAAATAGAGAAGTAAGGAAGAGAAGAAGGTTGTGAGCATTTATTAAGTGCCTACTGTGTATCAGCATTGCACTAAGCACTTTACAAATATTTCATTTGATCCCTAGGAAATGGGTGCTGTCATTACAGCCATTTTACAGAGGAATAAACTAAGACAGAGGTTAAATGATTTGTCCAGGGTCATACAGCTAGTAAGTGTCTGAGACAGGATTTGAACTCAGGTCTTCTGTCTCAAGACCTAGAACTTCATCCATTGCGACATCTAGCTACCTGTGTGGGGTGGTCATAAATGAAGCTGATGAGATCACAGGTATGAACACAGAGACAGACAGAAGCAGAGGTGCAGACAAACAGATAAAGAAGACAGGAAGTCGGCAGCTAGGTGGTGTGGTGGATAGAGCTCTGACCTTGGAGTCAGGAGGACCTGAGTTCAAGTCTGGCCTCAGATACTTGACACTTACTAGCTATGTGACCCTGGGCAAGTCACTTAACCCCGACCGCCTCACCAAAACCAAAACAAAGCAAAAAACAAACAAACCAGGAAGTGAGAGAGAGAGAGAGAGAGAGAGAGAGAGAGAGAGAGAGAGAGAGGGAAAGAGACAGGAAAACTGAGACAGAGGGGCTAGAATGACAGCGAAGAAGAAGAAGAAGAGAGAGAAGAGGGCTCAAGATAGAGAACTGGGGACACCATCAATAGTGGGTAGAGTATGGATGATTACGAAGGAGACTGAGAGGTGGCCAGAGGAGAACCAGGAGAGAACAGTGTCTTGAAAGCCTAGGAAAAGGTGTCTAGGCAAAGGGGTGGTGAGCAGTGTCAAATGCAGTGGATAGAATATTATTCCTGAAGTCAGGAAGACCTGAGTTCAAATCCTGCCTCAGACACCTACTATCGGCGTGACCCTGATCAAAGTCACATGACTTTTCTCAGCCTCAGTTTCTTTATCTGTAAAAAGGAGATAATAATAGCACCTCAGAGGGTTATTGTGAGGATCAAACAAGATAATATCTATAAAGTACTTTGCACACCTCAAAGGGCCATACCTACCATTATTATATGCTTCGGAGAAGTTGAGGGTGAGACCTCAGAAAAAAAAGTCACTTGGTAACCTTGGAGAGAGAAGTTTCATTTGAATGATGAGGTTATAAACCAGATTGCAAAGGGCTGAGAAACGAGTGTGAGGTGACAAAGAGGAGGCAGCTTTTTCTAGGAGTTTGGCTGTGAAAGGCAGGATAGCTTGAGGGGACGGCAGGTCAAGTGAAAAGTTGTGTTGTTTGTTTTTAAGGATGGGCTGGAATCTGGGCATGTTTGTAAGTGGTAGGGAAAGAGTCAATGGATAAGGAAAGACTGAAAAATAGACATAAGGGCTGAACAAGAGGGTCTCTGAGTTCTCTTCCAGCTCTGAATTTATGGATGTAGGATTCTAGGACTGAAGGGGCAAGCAGGGTCATACAGGGTCATAGAGGATATGGAAGGTGACAGGCTCAAGGAGCCCAAGAGAGGACTTGGTGTTTACAAAGAGTCATCTGCAGAGGAATAAGGCGTTGATCACCAAAGGAAAAAATGTAAATGTAAAATGTAAATGTGAAAAATGTAAAGAAAAAAATGAGAAGAGGGAGTGAGAAAAAAAATGAGAAAAAAGCAAAGGTAGGATTTTGGAAAAAGCCTACGATAAGAAGGTTGGAAGATACATTCATGCACACACATACACACATATGCAAAGTCAATGCATTTTATACCATGTAAATTATATTTTTATGCACAGATAAACACAAACAGATAACAGACTCACATTCACTGAAAGGCCAATTATTTGAGCAAGTGACAGAGAAGATGGTTAATATGATGCACGGCTAACTAGCTGGGTAACCTCCGTCAAATTTCTTCAACTCCAAGCACCCCGATTTTCTCCTCTGTAAAATTAGGCAGTTGACTAGCCCCATCATACCCCCTTCCCACTTCCCCCAGGGAGGCTAGCTCTGAAGGGCTAGGATACATACAGAGGACCAGCTCCCCCTAGGGGCCTCAGGGAAGTAGCACAGAGCTGGCCTCTGGTTCCCAAATATTCTCTACACTCCATCTCCTGTCTCTTGGGGTGGTACAGAGAATTTCCCAATGTCACTAGGGAATGTCAGGGCCAGGACTTAAATGCAAACTTGTGATTCTACAACACTGTACATGGCATTGTTTTCAGCAGGGGATCGCTGACCTCCTACCCTTCCCAGGAGCAGAGTGGCTTCCGTAGACTCCCTGGGGAGCCTTCTAGCTCTACTGGACCTGCCTGGAGGGTAACTTCCTGAGGAGTGGGTTGGGGAGGAAGTTTGGCTGAACAAGCTTCATGCCTTAAAGCGGCTTTATTGGAAACCCACAATCAACAGGCCCTTTCTCTTCTTTTCCATTGAGGGATCAAGACCTCCCCTGTGTGAAGAATTCTAAGTATTCTGATCTTCTCTCATCATCTGGTCCCTGAGAAGACTAAAATAAGAGCCTAAAGAGAGATTGGTCTCATCCCCCACTCCCTTCAGAGGCAGAGAACAAGAAAATTGAGCCTCATTTAGTAAGTATAAAAAATTAGGGTGCTGATCTACTTAACCCCTTTGATCACTATTCAGTGCAATAGATGTATTTATTGACCACCTACTATGTGCCCAGACCTCAGCGAGGTCCAGTGGGGAACACGGTGCGAGAAAAAAGTGTGGCCCCTGCCCTCAAGGGGCTTACAGTCTTTTGGAGGAGAGGAGACACACAAAACAACTAGAGAGCAATGAACATCACCCAAGAATCCCTAGGTTCAAGTCTCACCTCTGACACACATTGGCTGTGTAATCACTTAAGCTCTCAGTCATTTAGTCAATTCTCAAAGACTATGAGTTATAGAAAAGTTGCTGACCTGCCTAACTAAAGTGGGTTTCTTAATTGGGAATAATTTATACCAACGGATTCAGAGGTCTAATGCAAAAGACCCTGCAAAACCCATCACTTAAAGGCAGAAGTCCTTCATTCAAATCTAGGCTCTGACATTTGCTAGCTGTGTGACCCAGGGACATTGCTTCACCTCTTGGAATCTCAAGGTGCTTATTTTTTTAAATCTATATTTAAAAAAATATTTTTATAAAAGGCACTAGAAAGGAAGCTTGACCTAATAGAGGCTTAGGGTCAGGAACAACTCAGTTCAAATCCTGACTCTGTATCACTTAGCACAGCACTTTACAAAGTGTGTTTTGTTGACTGACTGACCATGGGAGAGCTAACCTTTTAGGTTAGTCCCAAGCAAGTCTCTGAGACTGCAAATTATAAGGGAGTTTCTTAACCTAGGATTCCCTATACCAATAAAATCATAAATTGAGTCCTTATTCTTAACAAATGGTAGAGTGAGGTGATTAGTTCAGATTAGTTCAGAAAAGGATGGGGGACATCAGTGGAATTGGAGGAGGGAGCAGAGAGCTCCATGGAGGAAATGGAACCTGATCTGAGCCTCAAGTAATGTGTAGGGTTTGGTTCTACAGAGAGGGGGTAGAGCATTAAAGTGGCAGGGAAGGACATGGGCAAAGGTTCAGAGGTAGGAATTAAGCTGGTGAGGCAAGCATAGTTGGAATTATATCTGTTCTTATAGAGGAAAAAAATCAAGTCCCAGAGAGGAAAAATTATTTGACCAAAGTCATTCAGCTAGTAAGTGACTGAACTGGAAATAGAACTCAGGTCTTCTTGCTCTCCCACCTGGTGCTTCCTCCTATCCATCCCACCCCCATCCCTAGAAAATGAGATTTTTTTTTGCTGTTGTTTTTGTTGTTCAGTCATTTTAAGTCATGTCTGACTCTTCATGGACCCTTTTGGGGTTTTCTTAAAAGATACTGGAATAGTTTGCTATTTCCTTCCCCAGTTCATTTTACAGAGGAGGAAACTGAGACAAATAGGGTTAACTGACTTGTCCAGGGCCATGTAGCTGCCTCTCAAAAAATAAGATAGAGAAATATAAAGAGACCTTTTGAGGCCTGGGCTGATACAAGGCTAAGGGGACATCTGAAATCACAAGGTGGGCTTTTACGCCCCAGGCTGCAACTCCCCAGATTCAGGCCTTACCTAAAGGATATGTGATCCTTTGCTCTTTTGAAAGATAAAGCAAACAGCAGGTTTTGGAAGCAGGGAAGAGACTCACCTCATAGATGTTGAATTGACTCTGCCCACGAGCCAGTTCCCGGTAGCTAGTGGTGAATTCCCCAATGAAGTCATGACTGCAAGGGAAAGCAAAACAGACTGAGCCTTAGACTAACTCTCCTCCCTCTGCCCTTTTCCTCCCTCTCCTGACTCCAAAATATCTCCCTCAAAAGATATCCAAAATTCCACCATTAGAGCTTCATTCCTTCCTCTCTCACTCGTCCCTTCTTTTGTTCTTGGCTCCAGAGTTTTGCCTTTGCTCTATGACTTTTCTATCCCATCAGCTCACAGTGAATGTAGATAGCAATTGTTTCTGTTTTGACCAGAAACCCTGATGGTTTTCCCCTCCCAGATTGTGTTTTTTTTTAATTAGGTAAAAAAAGCTATTCTCTGCCTCATTTCTTACCCTAGCCTTAATCACTGAATGGGTATTGCCTCAGTCAAACTGAGAACTGTTAAAGGCCTTAGTTTAAAAAGGCCAAGGTGTCCCACTGCATCCTGGGCCATCTCCAGTCGTCCCTATCCATATCTGGCCACTGGACTCAGATGGCTCCAGAGGAGAAAGTGAGGCTGGTGACTTTGCACAGCCCTCCCTCACTGAAATCCAATTCACTTGCATGTCATGGCATCACCTCCCTGATGTCATGGTTCTCTTCGAGAACGAAGGACAAATAACAACATCAATGGCTTTTTTGGAGGAGGCCAGAAACCCTAAGGAAGGCAGCTCTGGAATAGAATGCATATTCCATATGCGAATTAAGGGAAGGCGTGATAGGAACATAACTCTGATGTCAGAAAAACAGGATTCCAATCCCATCTCTTATGCTTACTACCTGGTGACCTTGGGCAGGCTAGCTAATCCTTCTGAGCCTCAGTTTCCTCATTTGTAAAATGGGGAGGTGGAACTAGATGACTTTCAGCTCTAAAGCTATGCTCCCATGAAGCTCTTTGACCCTGAATGCCCAAGGAAGGAGTGAGAATCGAGGTGGGTCACTGACTTCACAGTTTTGCCCTGAGTTCACCCCCTCGCTACAGTCCCTGGCCTCCTCATAGACCTACTAACACCCTTACAAGAGGAGAATGATTCTTTTTAGTGAGCAGAGTTGCCAAGCACAGCCTTCAGTACAACTTGGAGAAATTTGACCTCTGACTCCTGGCCCTGAATCCCACTGGCTCCATGAAAAAGAGAACCTCTAATGGTAACTGCCACTGTATCAATCCCTTTAATGAACTAAAGTAGCCGAAGCCCAGAGCTCCTGATTAGTCAGTCAACTAGCATTTATTAAGCGCCTACTATGTGCCAGGCTATGATGTGCTAAGTGCTAAGGATACAAAGAATGGCAAGAACAAAACAAAACAAAAAACAGTCTCTGCTCTGGAGCTCATAGTCTGGGGAGACAACGCGCAAACAACTGTGTACAAACACACTATTGTTTGTTGTTGTCGGTCAGTCCTTTCCAACTCTTCCCAACCCCATTTCGGGTTTTCTTACCAAAGATACTGGAGTGGTTTGCCATTTCTTTCTCTAGCTCATTTTACAGATGAGGAAACTGAGGCAAACAGGGTGAAGTGACTTGCCCAGGGTCACACAGGTAGTAAGTGTCTGAGGCCACATTTGAACTCAGGTCTTTCTGACTCTAGGCCTGGTGCTCTATCCACTGCACCACCTAGCTGTCCCCAAACAAGTTATAGAGAGGATAAGTTGGGGTTGATCAACAGCATGAAAGGAGATTGGGAAAGGTTTCTTGTTGAAGGTAGGACTTTAGCTGAGAGTTGAAGGAAGCCAGGGAAGCCTGGAGGAGCAGGTGAGGAGGGACATAATTCCAAGGTGGGAAGGTCAGTGAGTACACCTGAGAGGCAGGAGATGAGCATCTTGTGCAAGGCACAGTCATGAGGCCAATGTCACTGGACTGCAGAGTAGCTGGAGGGGAGGAAGGTGTAAGAAGCCTAGAAAGGGGGGAGGGGGCCAGGTTAGGAAGGGCTTTGAATGCCAAACTGAGGATTTTCTATTTGATCCTGGAGCTAATAGGGAGCCCCTGGAATTGATGGAATAAGGGAATGATACTGTCAGAAAGATCACTTTGGCAGCTGAGTGGAAGATTGACTGGAATGAAAAGAGATTTGAGGCAGGCAGGCTAGTCACCAGGTTATTGCAATAGCTGAGGCATGAGGTGATGAGGACCTGCACCAGGGTGGTGGCAGTGCCAGATGGGGCATATTGAAAATGTGTTATGGAGATGAAAAGGGGAGGACTTGACACTGATTGGATATGGAGTGGAGAGAGAGAGTGAGGATTCTAGGATGATACCTTGGTCTCAAGCCTGGGTGGCTGGGAGGATGATGGCTGAGTAGAAAATAAAATAAACCACACCAAGTAGGGTTCTATGTGACTCTCATAGGGTCATGTAGGAAACTATCCCGTCTTCCATTCTCTAACTCCTATTCCCTATTCTCCATCCCCATGCCTCATTATCTATTCCTCTTTTATAGACCATATTCCCATCACCCATTTCCTTCTTCCCATCTGCAGTTCCCCATTATCTATCCCTCTTTTACTAGTCTCATTCCCCACCCCTCATTTCCTATTCCCCATCCTCAGTCCCTTCCTTGTCCTTTCCTTATCCTTCATTTCCCCCATTCTGCATTATCCATCCCTCTCTGACACCCTCATTCCCTGTCCTCCTCACCTATTTCATTCTCTCCATCCTTACTCTCCTACTATCTTTCCCCATCCTCTACTCTCCATTTCCCACACATATATTCAAGTCCTATCTCCATCACACATTTCCTATTCCTCATCCTTAGTTCCCCATTATCTATCCTTCTTTTACCATTTCCATTCCCCATTACCCTTTTCTTATTCTTCATACTGTCCTCCTTATCCTTTCCCCACCCTTCATCCCCACCCTCCATGATCCATCCCTCTTTCACATTCCCCATTCCTCATTCCCCATCCTCCATTCTCATCCCCATTATCTATTCCTCCTTCATATTCCCCATTTCCATCACCCATTTCCATCCTGTCCTCCTTATCCTTTTCCCACCCCCCATCCCCCATGGTCCATCCCTCTTTCACAGTCCCCATTCTCATCAATTTCCAATCCCCCATCCTCAGTCCCCCATTATCCAGTTCCCAACCTCCATTTCTCATTCCCTATCACCCCCACTGCATTTACCATTTCCAATCACCCATCCATTTCCCATTCCTCACCCTCCACCTCCCATTCCCCATCTTCTATCCCCCACTTTTGATCCTCCATCTCCTGTCCCCAATTCTCCTCTCCTCTCATCCTCCACACCACAACCAGGCCCAAGATTACACACACATATATTCAAAAACGGAGCAGCCAGTAGCATTTGCCTTGATCTTACTCTTGAAAATATGCTTTTAATAGGCTTTGCAAAAAGAGTATCACTTTTGCTCACACCCCCTCCAACCCATCCTTTTTACCTCTGCCAGAATAACCTCCCCCAAAAACCCCAAACCTCAAAACCAGCCCTCCAGCTTCTCCTTCTTACTTGGTGAATAAAGTATAGACCCCTCCGCATAGTGCTCGAGGGCCTCCACACTCTTTCCTCCACTCTCTATTTGCAGCCTCATATCATATTACTTCCCTCCACATAATCCATGCTCCTGCCAAATAAATCACTTTACATCTCTGAAAAACCGTGGAGTATCTGGAGAAGCACTGAATTTGGAGTCCAAAGGGCCTGCAGCCAAACCAATCTGCCGCTTACGAAGTGTGTGATCTTGGGCAAGTCCTCTCCCCACCCTGGGCCTGAGCTTCATCACCTGTAAAATGAAGGCTTTGTTCCAGAGGATCTTCCAGGTCCTTTCCTTGGGCTCTTTGTGATGCTCCTTGCATACATGCCATGCTCTTCCCCACACACATGCCTTTGTCTCCATTGCTCCTGATTCCTAGAATGCCTGCTGAATTTCTAACCATCCTCTGAAGCCCAGTTTATATATCTTCCTTTCCAAGAAGCCTTCTCTGACCCCCCCCCCAAGTCAGTAAGGACTTTAAAAAACATTTTGCTAATACCTCCTAATGCACTTAGGATGGGGATAGGGGTGCAGACCTCTGGTTTCACTCTTATAGGTTATTCCTAGATAAAGGAACTCCCTCTAGCACCTTCTCTGGGACTTAGAGGCTTAAAGAGTTGCCTAAAGCACTGAGAGGTTAATTAATTTGTCCAGGGTCACACAGTAAGGCTGTGTCAGAGGAGAGACTTGGAAACTAGGTCTCCCTGGCTCTGGGGCCAACTCAATCTCTTCTGATGCACTCAACATACAATATTTTAGAAGCCATTTGTGCAGATGTTATATCCCACTAGGGCACAGTATGGTCCATGACAGCAGGCCCTGGGCTAGCTATGGTTACATATTTATGGTTCCCATATATTATGTAAGTGTGTGTGCATGTATGTGTGTGTGCATGTATGTGTGTGTGTGTGTGTGTGTGTGTGTGTGAGAGAGAGAGAGAGAGAGAGAGAGAGAGAGAGAGAGAGAGAGAGGAGAAAAGGAAAGGAGGGAGAAAGCAAGGGAGAGAAAGGAGAGAGAAGAAAGAAGGAGAAGAAGAAGAAAGAAGAAGAAGAAGAAGAAGAAGAAGAAGAAGAAGAAGAAGAAGAAGAAGAAGAAGAAGAAGAAAAGAGAGGAGACAGAGAAGGAAGAGGGAAGAAAGGAGAAAGTGAAGAGAGAGAGAGGAGAGAGAGAGAAAAAGAAGAGGAGGAGGGGAAGGAGGAGGAGGAGGAGAAGAAGAAGAAGAAGAAGAAGAAGAAGAAGAAGAAGAAGAAGAAGAAGAAGAAGAGAAGAAGAAGAAGAAGAAGAAGAAGAGAGAAAGGGAGAGAGAGAGAAAGAGGAGTGATAGAAGGAGAGAAAGAGGGAAAGAGAGAGCAAGAGGAAAGGGAGAGCAAAGGGGAGAGAAAAGGAGGGAGAGGGAGGAAGAAACAGAGAGAGACAGTGAGAGAAAGGGGAAAGAGAGAAAGAGAATAGGAGAGAGGAAGAGGAGAAGAGAGAGGGATGGAGGGAGGGAGGGATGGAGGGAGGGAGGGAGAGAGCTAGAGCCAGAGCCAGAGA